ACTATACTACCAATCATACACTAAGCAGCTTAGTGGGACCAGAATCCCTCGTTTAAAAGCTTGAAATGCAATCAGAAATGTATACATATTGTTCTATCTCTAAATTAACACAATGTGTTTTCAATTCTGGAAGAATGCTTCCGTTTAGGTCTGAAATTTCCCCTTCCATTTCAGATTCAAGTTTCACACACCAGGGTATCAAATTTGATATGGCTGACGCCATAATTAAGTGTCAATTTAAACAACATAATACAGTTCAGTAATAAACATAGAAATTCCCAAAAAGGTGAAAAAATAGAAACTATAACAAAATACAAATATTAACATCACAAAATGGGATTAGACGGAGTACAAAAATGTAGCACAGAAAGAGTCAGTCAGAATATATTACAAATATGTACATGGAGGGATTTTCCAAAAACAAAGCCTTCAAAATGGATTCTACAGATAGTCCCACCCTTCTCAGTAAGAAGAATAGAATAAGGAACATTTTTAGGACATTTGGAGTGTTCCATGGTACTATCGTCTGTCCAGCGTTTTTCCTTCTGCATATAAATGACCTTCTTAATGTCCTTTCTTCATCAGTTACTCAGTTTGCAGACGATGTCACGATACAGAGAACGGTCGATATTGATGGTAGTCTGAGGCTTCGAAATGACCTACAGAAATTACTACAATGGTATCGAATTAATTAGTTACCGATAAACACCTCCCAGTGCATCATAATGCATACTGGTCACCAAGAGACAGGTGCACACATAATGAAAAACACAGAGCTACTTACTGTCCAGAAATACAACAGCCTAGGTGTCACAAATGGCCAATACTCTAAAAATACTACACATTGACGTGCAATAGCCGCCAAACGATGGTCTATACGTTGAGCCTTTGGCTATATCGATAATAAGATTTAGAGTACGGAATTCAAGAGGCTAGCACTTGTCTAAGAAATCTGGTCATTTGTTGCAAAAGGTTCTACGAACAGTAAGAAGGCTGAATCTTGGAATCATGAAGCTGTTGTGTGAAGAGATACTGGTTAAATAAAACCTATTTCTTTTATCATATGGGACTAGAGGTGAATTAATTACAGTTTCCAAGTTTTCTAATGATACAGTTGCGTTTAAAATGCCCTCAATTTTCGCCTTCAGAGGCAGAGAGTTTACGTAGGCACTAGAAAAGTTCACAAACCCAGAACAAATTACTTAGTAGCTGACTATCGAATCTCCCTCTGAAACATTAACCCGTGATTCTGGCTAATTCTGTTGCGAAATTCGACGAAAGTTTGAACAAAATAAGAGATAAATATTTTCAGTACTAACACAGGCCACCCAGCCTTCTGTTTTTTCGAAATTGAAAGAGTAACTCGGATTTAGCACATCACTCGTAGCGCGGATTGTAGATATTTACGTTACGTCACATGTTTTCTATTTTTCACTACTTAACAATCGTTCAGACATTTGTAAGTTTTAATAAAAACGGTAGAGATATCAGTTTTTTCTGGATTATTAAACAAAGGTTTTCAGATAAAAAGTTTTGCATCTGACTAAACAAATAATCAACGCTATCTCACCGTTCTCTTTTAATTCATTACATAGAAACATTTTCTATATCAGTTTTTCTAAAGAAACCAAGCTTGTCAATTGTGCGTACGAAACTTTTCATCATTTAAGTTGACTTCAATTTACCCATATTATCAAGGACTATCTAAAATAGATTTTGAGTACCTAATATTCCATTGTCGCTCATTACCTTATGATTGAACTGATACCCTTTAATTTAATAATTTCCGTCTGTGTTAGACTGTTGTATCCGTTTTCCTTTATAAAACCTGTAGTTAGGGTCATGTTTATCTAAACAGGTTATATTCTCAAGTGAGCCAACTTTGTCTGTCAAGTTAATTCATACTTTAACTCTTAAATATTTATGATTATCCATCCGTCTTCTACATATTTTTTAAGACTTGTCGGTAATTCGATGACATGGGGCTGATATCACAATAGAAAAACCATATACGGTAGAGTTGCGCACATGTACTGAACGTAAGTCCATGCGACTCATTACATTATTAGCTAACAATTTACCATAAATTGATTCCGAGTTGAAGTAAAAAGGTTGAATGATCAGACGTATCTAGGATAAAATCTCTATCGATTGAAATATATGTTACTTCTTGATGTTTCTTTCACATGACTGGAATCTAGAATCACTTTTTGAACTTCGTTAAGAAAATGCAACTTCACCGGATTAGTCGTGACTGTCTTGTCACTATAGCAAAAGTCCAGAAAAGTAAAGGCTGTAGCTCACAAGGTCGTGTTTAGAAGTAGTCAAAAAGAAACTTTGAACTTAGGTTTCATGCTGTTTGGCACTCATCGACCAAATGAGCCTGTAATCCTGGGGGGAATGATACTCTGACGGATTTGATCCCGTATCACTCAGCTTCATAGTCGGAGACGTTACCACTGAGGTATTTTGGCCCGATGTGACGTCCTTTATGACTGGATTGCGTTTACGATTGATCGATCATCGGATAGAGACCGATATCAAGCCAAACCTAGTGCTGACCCAATTCTGTTGATCAAGTTGCAATGCGACCACTAATCTCAATGACTCAGCATCTCATGCACCTAAAAATTTCACACCTCACTTTACCACACAGATTACCGTCTCCAGCGGTAAGGCCACTTGAAGCCCCGGAGTCAACACATCACAAACTTCCCATAAATAGGCAGTGCGTGACCAGCCTCAAGCAGTTGTCCATTTGACTGTGCGGTCACGCTACCAGGTCGCTCAGATCAACGCTAATCCGATTTCCTTTCCGGGTTCTTCGAGAAATACCCTTCCACGGTTTGGGCAGCCAGGAAGTGACAACCGCCCTCATACTCGTAACAACACACGAGACCGAACTAGTCACAATCAATTGGCCCCCATACTTTTTAATAAAAATCTTACCTCCATGACCAAGCCTCCTTACTTTCTTTTGTTACCTCGAGCCGCTAATACAAACGTCTCGAGTTCACGAAACATTATTCCTGGTCTCCTGAAACCCCGTTCTAAACTATGTATTAGAGCTTCTATTGTTTGAACCTTGTGCCAAGTAGGACAACATGCTTCCTTAGCTAGGACTCTCCTCATTACCTGTTTCTCTTCCCAAATTTATTTCACTGACTTACACTTCTTGAATAATTTATTCGAACCCTAATCTTCGCCATTACGGCTAATACTTCTACTATCTCTACCACTATGGGATTTGAACTGATATCTCTGGATCCCAGTAGACAGTCGCTTGTGCGCTGCCAGACTTAACAGGAGAGTAAGGACTCGGAAAGATTGGGACACCCCGAATTACCTCTTAGTTGTCTCTGCCTATGCCACCACTGACTGCAGCTCGGACGAGATAAAAGATGAGTTTTGCAGAAACCTCTCGAACCTTCAAAAAGTTAGGCGCTCGGATATAGTAATAGTTGCAGGTGTTATTTCTAGAAGCAGGTCTATGACAGAACCAAACAAGAATGAAGAAAGTGGACAGCCCTGATAGACACCACTTGAAGTGAAGAATTCTGATGACAGTTGGCCATAAGCTCTGACTCGGCCAGTAGTATTCAAGCAGAGAGCTTGTATAAGGTTGATGTACTTCTCCTGTATTCCTTTTAGTGACAGACTACCATAGAACCTCACAATCGACAGAGTGGAATGCCACTTTAGGGTTGAGAAATACTACTATCGTGTGACGCCTGAATGAGTTTCTATGTTCTAGCACCTGACGTAGTGTGAATATGTGGTCTAGTTTTCTCGAGTCTGCTCTTCACGAGCTCTAGTTAGGCATCGAAGTATTATCGAAGACAGTATCTTAGACATTATATTAGTTGAACTGATTCCTCTGCGACTGTCACAAGAATTTTATCCTTTCTTATAGACTTGCACAATCAGTGATTGACATCAGTCTATGTGACTATATCCAGTTCCCAGATGACTTCTAGGTGGATCTTATGGTGTCATGACTTAATGAACGGATAATGGAGACCATCTACAGCAGCTTTGCTCAGATGACCGCCTGTTCTTGGCAAACTAAATTTAAGCTTAAGATTAACATCTCTTGACCCAACACTAGTCACAACCAGATCATATTGCCATCAGCAACCGATGGAGGGTCCAATAGTGGACTGTCACACGTTCTGAGACACATGTTTGGATTCAGATCATGTTATAGTGAGAGTGGATATTTGTTTGAGGTCTAATGGACGTAGATAAGACACTGCTAGGAAACCTCCTAGGGTTCTACTTAATGTTAAAAAAGCCAAGGATAAATTTCACGAGCAACTAGAAAAGCAGTTAGGCAGACATATGTGTGATGCCTACCTCGAGGCAGCTTGGAATGAAATCCAAAAGTCCAAAGGCGACATCAGTGGCATCTGCTAGTTTGGTAAACCGTAAGGTCAAAGAGAAACAGTGGATCTCAGTGGCGCCTACCGAATTGATGGATGTTTGAAAACTCATCCCATCTGGCTCTGAACATGATGATGAACGGAGTAAGCTCGAGCGCAGTATGATAAGAAGAGTACGCAATGATCGCGAACCGTGGTGGGTAGCGAAAGTAACAGAGATGGAAAAGACATTATTCATAGGTATCAGTAGTAAACTATTCAGACTTATCAAGGAAACCTGGACTAGGAATTCAACTGTTTAGCGAGACTATCTCAGAAAAGGTTGGTCGCTCGTAGTTGGATGCTCATGTTAGTTAGATATGTCTTGCTTCCACTAACCCCGTTTTAACTAAATACAATCACCTATAATTCAGTCGTAGAACTCTGACTTTTCGCTTTACATATAAAAGTATTTCACAGTTACAAAATAACATAACCATAGTAGGTAGGCCAATTATTCACCTTCTATGCACCTAATAGAAATGTTTATTGTTTTATTTCAGAAACGTAGTAGAACTCGCTCATTATAAACAAGTACACAGGTGTCTATATATCAAATAATTCTGCGTTTTCATCATCATGGTGAAGCAACGTTGCCTTGATCTGCTATTGAATAAAATACCTTCCAATTTCATCGCATACATTGATAAATGTCACGTCTTCCAAAATAATGGTAATTCGCTCTGGAAATGTTTAATAAATGAGAATTGTGAAAAATATACGTGTATACTTGTTACTTCTGAATTATACAATTATAAAACTCTCGAGAATTCTCATCAATCACTCAAAATTTTACATACCAGTAATTATGAAAATTCCGAGAGTCTTGTAAATAAGCTGTCAGAATTATCCTGTTTTGTTGAAAAGAGAGACCATCAACAAATATTTGTCTTCATAGAGTCATTGTCTTGGTTTTTGATCGATTGTCCTATCGATTATGAATTTGATTATTGGTGTCAATTTGTCATCGGTTCTTTGTTTAATCTTTCTTTAGCACCGAATGTAAACCGAGTAATTTGTAAATTTAATCCTATAATGGATAATTATAACAAAGCATATTATGGTGCATCCTCCACGATAATTGATACACTAGAAGCATATGCAACTTCTGTTATTTACTGCCTATCACTGACAGAAACTTCAATTCGTCCCACGAATCGAATTTATCAATCTCTGAAATTATTTCATCGTCGTAGTCTTCAGGGTGAGTGTAACAAAAGCATAGAGAACTTAATCTCTTTCAATAAGTCTTCATTTACTGAATGTGGTACCATCGAACTTGATACACAAACTTTGAAAATCCTCAATTACTCGGTCAATAAAAATGAACCAGATTCTCTACCGACACCTGATTCTTTACCTAAAAGTACTTTCAATCTCACTATGACTGAAAGTGAAAAAATTGCTCGTAGTCTCGTTGTTTTGCCTCACGATGCAGTACGGCTATCCAACACAATGAAAAGCGATGAATCTTCTAGTTGTGTTATTCAGTACCAACCTGATTGTTTTGATGATTTAGATGATGAAGATCCAGATGATGATTTAGATATCTAAACACATGTTCTAAATATATTCTAAATTACTTAGATATAACAATGTATAAAAATGAGTATTTTGAGGCTTCACCTTGTAAAACCTTTCCTTTAAGCTGTTTTATTGTTGACGATTAAAGCATACTTTCTAATGAGTAGTTTCTTAAGAAGGAATCCCAGGTTACTTTATACTCTTATATTCTTGTGTTGATTGCTTTCCTAAACTGCAAAGATCACCTAATATGACGGCTGGTTACAAAATAAAATTAACTATTTAAAAAGTACTCAGTCACTAGGAACGTTTGTATTGTAGCGGAATTGCACTGAGTCATATTATTCAGGAACTAATAATTCAGTATTATAGTCGTTGATATAACTATACTTTCACTAAGAACTGTATCGTTTTTGTCAAAATTTTAATTTATTTATACATTATATATTTCCAATGTATTAAATTGTAATTATCTCTTGTATTTCATATAAAACAAACTGTGTTAGGTCATGTAAAATTATATTACAACGTTCGCATTAAATTATATGCATTCAGTATCATTTTCTCAGTTGATATGTTTTCCCAATGCAATTTATTGGAAAGAAATTAAGTTTAAATTTGTAAAATGATTTAAATATAATTGTAGTCCAGTTGATTTTCGTGATAATTCAGTACAACCTTCATTGGATGAAATAAATCATTTTGATTCCTACTAATTTAATTTTCGAAATAATTCGGTGTAATTTTCGTTCAGCATGATATTCACATGAATTGATTTTGTATGAAGTTCGTCCGGTGTGACAAATTCTCTAATTAATTATTACTACGATCAAATCTGTATATAGATGAATGGACAAAAATCGGTCTCTACCCATGAATTTTCTGGTTATGCTTTGACTTCTGTTTATAATTAGAGGGCAGGGAAAAGAAGGTAGGAAATAGTCTCGGTCATTGTTATTTAATTCGGATATGGGAGTTATCAACCTAGTGACCAGACGTGTAATTTTTCGAACACTAATTTCTAGCTAGTGTGCATGCGCAGAACTAAAAGACACTGTTCAGTAGTGGTAATATTAAGTAGTAAATGCGAAGAACTATTTGCAGTAAAAACCGTCATCCGAAGAAAAGTATCTTAGTTGATTTCAAGATGACACATATCTAAATAAAGCCGATAATTAATTTGAGACGGGTGCAGAATCCAGTTGTATATTCATGGCAAATTCCCTGGTACAGACGAGAGTGAGGGGAGTCTTCGCACTTAGCGATGCGTGTTTAGCCAATTATAGGGGTTCTATTTGTTGACTTTTCATGGAGGGCTTGTTGTTTTTGATACTGAGAGAACGTAGAGTGAATGTCCGTCGCACAAACCGGGTTGGTAGATATGGAGAATCAACCTAGGACGTGTAGGAACCCCTGATTTCAAACAAATGGCTGCCATGGGACTGCATTTCTGAACGTTGTTTCATTGTCTTGAGAATTAGACCTATAGGTCAAAGACTCGGGAAGTAACCTTCTAAGAAAACCAACTACTTTGATTTCGGCTTTTGGTAAGCACCCTTGCTCACACAGAATCATTGATTTGTGTGGTGCATGAATACTCAGGTGGTTCTTTGTATTAATAACTATACGTTCAAATAATGTACTTACGTTGTAACTGCCTGACTTAGCTAGGACTCTGGAATATGGTGCCATCGAATAAGCAATGCTGTTGTTAGGAAACGGGTACACGGTAAGGATGGCAGATCAATCGATGAAGTAGTGATTGTTCATCAGTTGAGGTGTTTGGGACACGTGTTACGTATGCCTAACCACCGATTGCCTAGGCGAACAATGATGCCTGGTGTATTGGTGGGCTGGAAGAAAGCTAGAGGCGCCGAGACCGGAACGTTGCACAAAGTCACTGACAATTGGACTGATCCATGTTGGTAGGTTTAAACTACCTGGTCGGGGTCCGAGAGACAATAGTGACCGATGGTTAGAGACTTGTAATGACATGGCTCAAAATCGTCTTCAATGGCGCAGGTGCATCCATTCTTTGTGTCCTCCCAAATTTTAATCTGAATTCCTCGTCACCTCCATCTTTCTCGCCTCAAATTTATTTTACTGAATTATACTTTGATAATATCTTCAAACTGTAATTTTCTCGATTGATGCTAATACTTTACTATTCTACTTCTCTGGTATCTGAACTGAAAATTGCGTCTCTAAGCTATTGTTGTATGGCAACTTGGACTGATGTACATACTTACGAACTTTGAAGTTGTTTCTGACTGGCTTACTTGCCTCCGTTACTACTATATACGCCTGATTCTTTTATTGAAATCTACAGATATATTCGATACGCCTAAATTTCCTCCTTCTCTTACTGTGGATTTCTTATAGAGATGTGCTGTTTACGCTCACCACTACTTTAGTACATGCTTGCTGGACACGAACAACTAGGTGTACGTCAACATTTAACAAGTCGTAGACAAATACAATGACCGCTTACGATTCTAAGTTAAAAGTAACAGCACTAAGCCGAAACGCTTAATCAGTTTCTGGTAATAAAGATTGTAAGCGTGTTTGCACATCGATCCTCTGAATGTCAATCTTTTCAGGTCTCAATTTTTCCTTGGAAACGTTTGCCACTGTGAAGGGCAATACTTGTTCGGATGCAGTATCCTAGTTCATCACAAGATGAGAATAGCAGGATTCTTGTTTACGTTTATCCAATAGTAGTTTTCGGACCGTTTTATGGGTTACTCGTAAATTAATCTCATAAGATTTGGAAACAGTAATCATAGTAATATCAAATTAATCATTTCCAGATATCAATCTTAAATGAGTATAGGGACCTAAATTCTATTATATGGTCTGAATGCAGAGGACTATGCAAAGAAAAAAACTGTACGTAACTATGCGGAACCATGCAATTTTGCATGACGCATGAAGCTGTCATGAGTCAACCATATAAAAATATATTCAACAACAAAATTTACGTCCATTTTATAAGGTGTTCAGCGATATGACCTGCACAAGATTTCACGAAGGCTTATTCTACTTAGTACGGGCTTTGGACGATCGGATTAGAGTCACCTATCGGTTCACTGGATCATTTGTCTTCGCTCTCGTTTACCAGCTAAGGTGAACTCCTAATAGTTCAACCATATCAAGTGACGAGCATAACAGAGTTTTCAGTCGTCATCAAACTAACTCCATTTTATCTAAGTTTGTGTATGACAAGGAAGTCCCGCAGTTCTTGGGTTTATCTGTCATTTACTATTTTTACCTTCCAAGCACTATTTTGTAAGTGTTCCTGGCCTAAAAGTGCTCTTATTTAGTGTTTCTTGACTAACTATGTGGCTCGGTACGGAGTGGAGAGCATTTGGTGCGTACCCTTCTCATATACCTAAACAAAAATTACACAAGCCGAAGCTCATTCTATTCATGTATATAGACATGCTAAAACGGCAGTTTTTATCAATTTCATGGACGACGAGAACTCTCAAATTAATCCGAGTAAAGGTACAAATGTGAATTAATCCCATCTCTCTCTACTGCACACGTTGACTAACAGTGTTTCTCTTATTACCTAGAAGCGCTACTAGGAGGCCTTAGGTCAGATCATGCTGAAAAAATATGGAATGCTGTGCGTCACTCTTGCACAAGGGCCATCCTTATCTTCCTGTAGTTGTAATTTTAGTATATGCACCATTGAAGTAAGTTTCATAATCCATTGATGCCAACTATAACTCATTTCACAGAAACTAAAAATTTAGGTAAGTCAGTCTCCATGAATAAATTGAAACTTGGATGTGCAAGAATATAAACACATTCGAATTTTACATAATGCATCCGTGTTTTTCAGTGAGTGTGGTAGTTGATTAGCTCCTAGAAGATGCAGGCATAGGTTGTAGCCGCGCATTTGATAAACAATAAAGGAAAAACGACAAAAAAGATAGACACGAGAGATGAAAGTATTTTCATGGAAAATTAAACGTGATGAGCAACAATTGACGAATAACATTTAATCAAATAAAATCTGTACAACGGTTAAATGTAATTGAATTAAACTCAAAAGAGGATGATCTACGTTCGTTACTGTGAGTTTTTGTTTCATCTTAATAGATTGGATACATGAAGAAAAAAATCTTCATAGAATAAATATACTGGTTAAAATAAATACCCTGTAAGCTTGTAGTGCCTCCACATACATTCCAGTTCGCTTACATTTAATTTGGCTAAGCCCTTTCGATTAATTTATTTCACCAAGCCATTTGTAAAACAATCACTCATATGTACCATTGGCCTTTATTATTGTGTAGTTTTTATGAGCTAGTATGACTGAGCATTGCTTAACGCCTACGCGCATATGCATCCTATTCGCTTTAATATTGATCTCTTAAATATCACGATGACTCAGACATTTTCCTATGTATATATACGAACATTTTAATCTTACTGATTCACTCGCCTATTCGCTCGCAAGTGTGCCTGCCCCGGTCTGCTTGTCGTCTTCTGCCATCCCTATTTGTGGTGTGCCAAAATAAACGTATTCAACACTTCGAGTTTACCGTCTGATTTATAAACCGTCAGACGCTATTTGGTAACGATTGTCTGAACGAGCTAATTACGAAGATTAAGAACACGTCGAAATTGGTCACCACAAGCTTTTAGTTTAAAGAAGATATTGTTGGTGATATAATGAAAAACTGCATCTCGAAGGGTTAATTCACAAGACAGTTCGTACGGAAAATCTTTATAAAACTTAATATAGTCACTCTCTTATAGTCCTCTGAGTGAAAGCTAAGTTGCCACGACTGGTCGATTTAATGTTAATATTTCAATTCACCTACCTCTACGAAGTTAGGCCCATAGTTGTTCATCCATTGAAGACAGTTTTTCTTCCTACCGAAGAATATTTCCTATAATTGTTTAACAAGGAATAACACAGATCATTGAAGTCTTCTTTTCTTCAACGTGTACTTCATTCACAGCATTCAGTTTCAGATACACATCACACAGTAAACAAATTAATGACCAGTTAAATAATTATATTTTAACAAAATGTTACAAACTATGGAGCACAAATATAACATTGTTTTATAATTTACATAAAGGTAAATTAAACCTATAATCAAAATAAGTAAAACGATGCAAAGCATTAATATTTTGACTAATTTTTAAATATTTCAATTCCGTTTTAAGTCGATTTCTCGTTTTATTTATTGTTCTTACTTCATCAATCAATTTATTTAATCTCTCAGTCTCTTCTTTTTTCAATTCATTAAGTACTTTTAAAAACTAAAATGAAAAAAAGCAGGGAAAAAGTTAAATGGATTATTTTTAATAGAAAGAAAACGTACTTCAGTTAACTTTTGCTTTCTCTTGTCAATTTCATTTGAGCTCATTTGTGTATATTTTATGTATCGATTATCCAGATCAAATTTTAGTTTTCCAATGTATGTTCTGTAAAATAAAAGTGTACTTTAGAATGAAAATTCAGTCAATTTCAAAATATCTTATACAATATGCTATGGAATGGATTTTTTTTGTTTTCAGAAATGCCTTGATTGTTCAATAGTCAACACAAAATTTATGGTCTTTCTCTAGGATGTATGGAATGAAATATACACGGCGTTTACATATAAGAAGCGTTTCTGTTCTTTCATCTTTAGAGGTTTTAAACAAACGTAATAAATACTTTTTTATATCAGTTTCCAACGTGTCATCAACTAATGTCACTGAGTGACGCAAAATAAAATAATTAAACTTAGTTGCGATTTAGACAAAATTCATCCTATCAAAAAATTAGTTTGAACTTAACTCTGTTGTCTTTTAACAGATTGGAGTTCTGTTTGACATAAAGTTATGTTCAGAACTAAACGCTCAGTAATGTTCGGAAATTCCATTTTAAAGTTCATCTTGAACAATGTGTGGATGCATGTATTTTTACATTCATTACAAAAATGAAAATTGATTAAATATCTTTTTTTAATGGTAAGTGTACAATTCATAATCTTCAGCCCCGTCTCATTACTACTACCACAGGATACATCTGAAGCTGAATGCTGTGAGTCAGTCAGTCAGTTTCAACGTAGAACTTCGTATGTATGTACATAAGTTCATTTTGCCAAACCACATTATCACAGAGACGCAAATGTCAAATCAAATCCCATAGTGATAAAGATAGTAGAGGTATTAATGGTAATGAAGAAGACTACGGTTTGAAGATATTATTCACGAAGTATAATTCAGCGAGATAAGGTTAGAAAGACAAAGGTAGAAGTGCTGACGATTCCAGAAAATTAGGATTTGAGAGAGCTCAACGAGTGCATGCACTTGCGCCACTGCAAACGATTTTGAGCCATGTTATTTCAAGGTCTCTAAACATCGATTATTATCATCTCGCGGACCCCAACCAGGTAGTCGACAATTACCGACATGGCTAAGTCCACTCGTCAATGACTTCATGGATTTCTGCCATGTTTTGGTTTGGCCGCCCCTAACTTTCTCCCAACCTATTCCTACACTACAAAACAAAGCTCGACGAGGCAGCCGGTGGTTGGGCATACGCAACACATGTCCAGACCACTTCAACTGATGAAGTTTCACTACTTCATTTATTGATCTGCCATCCTTACCTAGCACCCGTTTCCTAACGACAGCATTGCTTACTCGGTTGTCCCACGGTATACGAGCAATGCTGCTCAAATATCTATGATCGAATACTAGTAACCTACGGACATCTTCTACTCTTAACGGCCATGTTTCACAACCATATAGGAGAACGGAGTGAACTGCTGCGCAGTACAGTCGTCTTTTGGTTGGCAAACGGATATCACGCCTACGCCTTAAGTGACGCACGTTGGCAAAAGCCAATCGAGCTTTCTGTATCCGAGCTGAGATTTCGTCAGTCACCAGGCTATCAGCACTGATGAGGCTCCCCAGATAAGTGAAGTGATCAACACGCTCGACTACTTCACTCGCTATCGCTAGTTCAGGTGCCGATGAAACCCAGTCTTCAAGCAATATTTTGCATTTCGAGGGTGAGAACTGCATCCCGAACATGCTCGCATTGTTGCTTATGGTAGTCAGAGGACTCCGCATTTTATCAGTGTCTTCACCGAATAGAACCATCTCATCGGCATATTCTAGATCAGTAAGCGATTTTCCTGGTAGAAGGTCAACCCCTGAAAAATCTGACGAGCTTAATGTTAACTCTAAGAGGATGTCTACGACAAAGTTAAACAAGAATGGAGAGAGTGGACATCCCTGACGGACACCACTTGAAGTAATGAATTCTGGTGACAGTTCGCCATATGCTCTCACCCGACCAGTGGTGTTCGAGTAAAGAGCTTGTATAAGGTTAATGTACTTCTTTGGTACACCTTTCAATGACAGACACTGCCACAGAATCTCACGATCAACAGAGTCAAATGCCGCTTTTAGGTCCAGGAACACGACTATTGTCGGACGTCTAAATGTGTCTGTGTTCCAGGACCTGTCGTAGTGTGAAGATGTGGTCTATACAACCACGTCCAGGTCGAAAACCAGACTGGTTTTCTCTAGTCTGCTCTTCACGAGCTCTAGTTAGACGTCTAAGTATAATCGAGGCTCACAATTTAGTAACTATATTAGTTAAACTGATTCCCCTGTGATTGTCACAAGAAGACTTTTGTCCTTTCTTGTAGATTGGGACAATCAGTGATTGAGACCAGTCGGATGGGATTACGTCCAGTTCCCAGATTCTACCTAGGATCTCGGTCAGTCTAACTGTTAAAACTGGACCACCATCCTTAAACATCTCAGGGGTAAGCCTATCAGGACCTGCTGCTGTACTTCGCTTTAGATTTCCTATAGCTTTCTCAACTTCATGTAGACTGGGAGGACTTAAATCGATTGACCATTCAGGATGACTGGAGATCGTGGGCAACCGAAGCGTGGCTCGAGGCGAGTTGAACTGATCCCTAAAGTGTTCTGCCCATCGATCCAGTCTCCGGGATTGAGAATGGATAATAAGACCATCCTTTTCCGAGATAGTCTCACTCACATTCGGGTTCCTAAAACCGGTTTCTTTGATAAGGCGGAAAAGTTGTCTAGTGTTGCCTATCGCCGCTGCCTTTTCCATCGCTTTTGCTTTCGCCACCCACCACTGTTCACGGTCGTTACGTAGACTTTTTATAAGTCTGCGCCTAAGCTGACTACGCTCTTCATCATGCTCAGAGTCAGGTGGGATGCGTTTTCGAGCATCCATCAGTTCGGTGGATGCGACTGAAATCCACGGCTTCATCCTAGCCTTATGGTTTACCTTGCTAGCAGATATCACTGCTGTTTCCACAGCCTTCTTGATATCATTCCAACCTGCCTCCGGATGGGAATCACTTGCATGGTCGCCTAACTGTTTTTCTAGTTCCTCCTGAAATATTTTCTTAGCTTGATTATCATCAAGTAAAGCCCTAAGAGGCTTCCTTACGGTGTCTTTCCTACGTCCAGTGAATGCTGTGAATGAAGTACACGTTGAAGAAAAGAAGACCTCAATGATCTTTGTTATTCCTTATTAAGCAATTATAGGAAATATTCTTCGGTAGGAAGAAAAACTGTCTTCAATGGATGAACAACTATGGGCCTAACTTCGTAGAGGTAGGTGAACTGAAATATTAACATTAAATCGACCAGTCGTGGCAACTTAGCTTTCACTCAGAGGACTATAAGAGAGTGACTATATTAAGTTTTATAAAGATTTTCCGTACGAACTGTCTTGTGAATTAACCCTTCGAGATGCAGTTTTTCATTATATCACCAACAATATCTTCTTTAAACTGTAAGCTTACAGGGTATTTATTTTAACCAGTATATTTATTCTATGAAGATTTTTTTCTTCATATATCCAATCTACTAAGATGAAACAAAAACTCACAGTAACGAACGTAGGTCATTCTCTTTTGAGTTTAATTCAATTACATTTAACCGTTGTACGGTTTTTATTTGATTAAATATATTCGTCAATTGTTTCTCATGTATATGTAATGGATGATTTATACTGTAAGGATATTTTGTTGATTCATGTTCTTGTTCCAATTTATTTAATTCACCAGCATAAACCTCATCATTTTCAAGAGATTTTCTTTTCAAAAAATCATAAAATATTTGTTGATTAATATTCCAATCATTCAATTTATTTTGAATACATTTTATTTCATCTTTAGTTTTAGTACTCAGTTGTGACTCAATAATTTGTTTTCGATAATGTAGCCATGACTGTTCATTGATCCAGCGATTAGTAGTAGGATTTTGTGATGTTGTTGTTGAATTTATACTTATTTTCCATATTGGATGATTAGCTTCATTACCGAATATCGCCTTATTGAATTCCTCATGTGCCTTTCGAATCTGAATAAAAAAGAAAAATATAAAAACACGTTTACTTTGTAAACATTGTCTTGTTTAAACTAATGTTAGTAATTTAAGGTTTCTAAAGAAACCTTTCTGCATGCGGAAGGTATGAAAAATTTAACTATGGTAAATTGGACTACCTCAATTATCAGGTGACTATTTTATTTATTTAAAATCCTGTTCATTGTTGGTATGATTTCAATATTATAGCCCAAAGATATGAGTTGTTAAAAATATTTACTTAAGTGGACTGGGGAAATAATCTTTGGAAATGATTGTTAAATCCCCAAGTCTAATTAAGTGACTTAAAAATAATGTTTAGAAGGTGGCCAGCAGAGTAATGCTATATTTACTACTAAAATTCACATAATTATCACTTTTTCAACGTGAAATAGGAATCTTTAAAATGATCATTTTAACTAAGCGCATCATTGTTATGAAATAAATATATGAATATGTTGACAGATAAATTCAATCTAAAAAGCGGATCTTGATAAGTTTAGCTTGATGTTTTAAAATTGCGGATTCAACACTTTAACGCTATGATTTTAAATTCAGCGGAATGGAATTAACATGCCGGTAATTTTTTCATTTTTGTTGAATGTTAAAAGATTTTTTATCGAATCCTAGAAACTTTGCCATCCTGTTTCCTCTCATTAAATGAAGCTTCAAAGATGATGTTATCGGTTACTTTTCGAAGAAAGATATAAAATGGAAAGATTCCTTCAATATTCACCTTCTTTCCGAACTCTCAGCGTCAATCATTTACGTGCCGTTAGCCATCCGGTTTACCAATACTAGTTAATGGATGTAACTTGATTGGTTTCATAATGCTGTCTCCTGAAGTATTCATTGACGTAGCTAAATCCACAGGATATTTCCACTGTACAACGCAAAGTATTCTCGGAGGCCAAAACCTCAGGATAATAATAAATGAAATCTAAGAGATAATGGTGAGCTGCAAAGTTACATTTTATCCCTTGGTGAATTTCGAGAATGTCAGATGGGTGAACAATATGAACTACAGTAGTTTTTCTTTGCTATTACAGATTAAATCAATTTGATTACTGTTTTCCTAGAGTTAATTGATACATAGCAGAATAATGAAATCATTTTAACAATTATTTTAAAAACAATAAACTGCTCTTCTAGTAACGAATAGGTTTATTCAGTTTCTTTAAGAAAAACTATGTCATTAAGTATACAGTAGTGAATTAGTGAACTGTAATGTTTAATATTTAAATTTTTTTAACACTTTTGTGAAGTAGTTATAAAATTGAAACATTAAGATATTGAATTTGTCTTACTACGTACCTCTAATACGTTTGTTAATTATATTCCGTAAGGTGAAGTACATGCTTACAATCTTGTACTACACATTTTTTTAAGTCCGGTAACTGATTAACAAGATAACATATACAGATACATTTTACTATCATAATTATAAACTGGTCAAAGGCATAGACTTGTGAATAGTCATCATGAAATTCGGGTTTTTGGATTGTTAAATTATTTTTAACTAATTTGCACCAGCTATGATAACAACATTTTACGTTTAGCAACCATGATATGTCTATTTCCGGTCACGTATAAGTAACTTTCTTCTTTCGATATGGGCTTCTTTACGGACAATTTATGTTTGGAAATATTTTTAATGTTGATAACGTAAAACTAAGTAACAACTCTTTATTTAATTACAAACTGTTATGTTTGAGAACAGTTACTGTTCACACGTTTTTTAAATGACAGGAAAATTTATATTATCGAACGTTACTATTTGCAAAAATAAATTCTAAATAAATGTTTTTAGCTTCTCTTGCTTAAATTATACTTCATTAACGAAAGTGTACACTGTTGTTCATTTAGTAATGTTTGACTCATTGAACGTTTAGCGTCAATTAGATGTATCGTTTACATCATCTAACTACAGTGATTGATTCGTATTAAAACACAAATAACACTTGTAATTAAAAATCTGTGTCTATCGACAATAAACTTATCATCATAAACGCAAAATAGTGATTACTTTCTTCTAGTTTATTTTGGATAACATCAGTTTGGTCAAACATCATGAATTCAATCATTACTGATCACTGAACAAATAGTGTCGCACTACAATACTTGACAATAACAAGGCATTTTTACAAGAAGTTTATCAAGGTTCGGCATATTACTAATAAAAAATATTTATGCTATTGAGTAGATCGACGTTTTGGATAAGTTCATAACATAAATACGATAAGACTAACTTGATAAGTTCGTAATAATTCCATTTTCCATTTACGATATTTCTGTTCATAGAAATATTTTCTAATTAAAATCCATCCTCGTGTTGCTTTTAACCATTTTTCAATTTGTTTCAAAAGAAGTAACTGGATTTCAAGGTCATCCTTCAATCGCTAAAGAATTTGTATCAAAATTTAACATTTTATGTAAACGGTTTATAAGTTAGGGAAAATTCAACCAAACAGAGTTGAAACACATTTTCTTCTGATTCTTTTAACAAAGTTAGATATTTTAGAATGTTAATCCTATAAAGGTTCTTCAAACAAAAGTATTTCTTTGTGAATATCCACACCGTTGGTACTATGAATATGCTGATAAAACACATGAAAATCGAGTTAGTTTATATTATTCTATCAGAATTTTATCCATTACTCTGGAAAATGTTCCTCTATCCAACTTATTGCCATTTCTTTAAGTTTAAGAAACTCTTTGTTTACATATTAATAAATTGTAGGCAAACCTTTGATTTTGATCAACATAATGATTCCATATTCAAAACAAAATTGTGAAACCAGCGAGAACCAAGTAACTACGGTCATTATTAATCAACAATTTAGTTTATTAATCATGGTAGTATTATTATCAAAATTTATTTGAAATAATTTTTATCACCAGAGCTACTGTGATCAATGTGTGAGTTAATTAAATATTACCTGCTTTTCATTTCTCATTTACACGTCACATACATCTTACTTATTTCAACTTATTTACTAGTAATTATTACGGAATATCATGGACTGATGAATATTTGTAGCTGAAATGGATACTTTTCGTTGTGTCATGTTCCCTGAGCTCGATGACTAATCAAGCGTTATTTATGTTGTCCAGAACGACAATGTAAGCTTTTCGATAAAACCACCATTCTCAAGAACGCCACGACCAAATTTGGTTGAAATTTATTCTCGTATTACATGCATCAGTTTAGTTGTTTTAACAGAAAAAATTAAATCCATGTCCAGATAGAATAGACAAATCATTGTATGGTTGCCTTAACATGAACTTGATCAATAAAACAACGATTTTTCAAAACTTTTAGTTAATTCGTATAAGCACAATTGACGAAAACATTCGTAACCAAGCGATTGTGATATTGTTCTCACTCGTTTAAGTGAATTGATTTTAGGGATTTGATTGTCATTTCGAAAAGTATCGTCAGATTTCTACCTAAGATAGAAGTGAACATTCTACTGGTGGCAATTCAGTTTAATCTCATCACCGTGTTGATGATAATTTATCTTTTTTGGTCGAGTTCGTATTTAGAGTCATGGTTCCGTAATTAAGCCATCCAGTTTATAAAATACATAATCGTGATAGGTGAAAAATATCCCCAATTTATGGAAACGTAATTCCTTTTTTAAACGTAACATAACTTACGCTTATCTCTTCATTTCGATCTCTCACTTCATTTTGAAATAGCTGATTGATTTTTTGCATTTGTATTTCATAACTTTGTTTATTTCGAATAAGATTCTAGAAATATATGAAACACTTCCAAAAACAGAAAACAATTCATATTCAATAGGTTTCATTTCATGGACCATAAATTCAAAAACTGGACCATTAGATTTCTATGTTTATCTGAAAGGCCGACAGTCCTAAGCTAAATCTGGTACAGTGTCTTGGTCGCGCAACGATGAGAATTCTCAAACAATGTACCTAGTCCTTCCTGACTATCCGGTGGTTCTCCAATGGATGTCATCTCGGGATATAAATTATAATCAAACTGAGCATATTTCCACAAGCAGAATATCTAAATGTTTACTTGTGATGGCTGATGAGCTGCTAATTCATTCCAAAACTTTTAAACATTTCAGTCACATGCATTTTAAAACAGTTAATCCCTTTGATAAGTTTGGATAATGTATTAAGAAGAGAACAAAGATTCTCGAAACTATGCATTAGCACAATACATTTCGAATAATCTGACCATGCATTATACTCGGCTGAACAACTGTCAACGGCAATGCTATGGGTGTCTGAACCGAAAAAATGTCTACCCCTTATAATTTGGCCTAATTGATTGGTTATGTGCTTTTTTCCCATATAAAACTGTTTGACGAATGAGTTTGCTGTTATCCTAACGGTTGAAAAAATTAACTAAGCACAATGGAAATTACGTACAATAACACAGAAGTAATGTGTCATATGGTAAATAACTATACATAATGATTGAGTGGTAGAATTTTTCGCTAATTTATGTTGTAGTGACGATTTGAGTGATGACAAATGATTTATTGAGTGACACCTTGTTGTAGCCATAGCGCTTAATGAATATCATGTGACAAATACAAAACACTAATAAGAATACGTTTACCACTAGAAAACGTGAGTCAGCTCCGAATCCTTGCTGACACGTGACCCGATTGATTTTTCCTCCCCACTATGCCTCTTAGTTCAGAAATCCGAAACCAGTCTCCACAAGACAATACCTGTGGAAAATCAACGACTTAATAAAGGACTCGTTTCTTAAATAAATGTTCTACCCAAAAAATGAATGTACAGAAAACCAGTAGAAAATAAGAGATCACGTGGCTACATGACTGAAGTACTTTGAAATTTGCTCTAACTGACTAAAACAGTGAAGTGAGTTGGCGCATTAAGCTTAATCGATATTTAAGAAGTCTATTCAGTGAGGTAATCTAAAGAAGTTATGGCTGTTCAATACCATGTGCACTAAATTTTTCAGCGGATTCTGTCTATAATAAGAGTCTCGAATTTTAAAATGGAGGTTTACTCGAGTGCCGAAATCTATAAATGTCATTTACTTCATTCCGCAAACGTTTCTGGTAAAAATGTTGGCACAATCGGAAGTTTGTGATATATATATATATATATATATATATATATATATATATATATATATATATATATCAAATGGAAATGACTTAAATCCTGTTACGTATCACTAACTGTTAGAACGTTTTAGTAAAAAACTGTAACATTTAAAAAGCACCTATTGCGTCGATATTATAAAGAGAGGATTACAATGAATATCATTCAGCGCTATGTGCCCACCGATGATAGCTGTGGAGTGGTTGAAATAGACAACACTGAAAACAAAGGTATCATGGGATGATATGGGCTGTGAATAAGCGACGGAAATGGTGAGAGATTTGAAAAACCGTGTGCCTTCGGTAAAATGATTCAAGGTGTCAGCATATTGCCGGACATCGAAGCAACATCCTTTGTATGTTACCCCATCAACAATCTAAGGAATCAGTATAGCAATCAGACAATTCAAGAGAGGCAAAGCAGCAGGACCAAATCGCATATCAACTGAGGCACTGAAGGCAGACGTAGCACTAACTTCAAGGATACTCCACGCTCTCTTCAGCACGATTTAGGAGGAAGAACAAGTACCAACGGACTAGAAAGAAGGGCACCTCATCAAGATACCAAGAAAGGAGATTCCAGCTAGTGTGAGGACTACAGAACAATCACTCTACTCCTAATACCAGGAAAATTATCCAAAAGGGTGTTGCTAAACTGAGTGAAAGATTCAGTAAACGCTCAACTTTGAGATCAGCTGGCTGGATTATGTAAAGGTCGACTGTGTGCCGGTCAAAACGCGACACTACGGATTATAGTGGAACAGACAGTTGTATGGATCTCACCATTCTACTTCAAGTTCCTTGAATATGAGAAAGCGTTTAATAGTGTTGATAAAATGACACTATGGAGGCTTCTTCGACACTACGGCGTGCCTGAGAAGATAATCAACATCATACGGAATTCCTACGATGGATTAAACTGCGACATTGTACATGGAGAACAGCAGAAAGACTCCTTCGGAGTGAAGACCGGTGTCAGGCAAGCTTGCTTACTCTCATCTTTTCTCTTCCTCCTGGTCCTGGACTAGATTATGAAGATGTCAACCTCTGGAGGGGTTAGAGCACAGAATGCAGGAGGTACCTTGGACGCAGCTGGACGATTTGGACATCCTAGATGATCTAGCTCTTCTGTCTCACACTCAGCAACAAATACATGGGAAGACGACCAGTGTAGCAGCAGCTTCTGCAGCAGCAGGTCTCAACAAACACGAAGGAAAAAGCGTGATTCTCCGAAACAACAAAACATGTACCAACCAAATGACACTTGATGGTGAGGCTTTGGAGGATGTAAAAACTCTTATATATCTGGGCGGCATTATTGATGTGCAAGGTGGATCTGATGCCGATGTAATGACACGGATTGGCAAAGCAAAGAGAGTATTTCTAGAACTGAAGAACATTTGGAACTCAAAACACCTGTCAACCAACACCAAAGTCAGTATTTTCAACACAAACACCAGAATAGTTCATTTGTATGAATCCGAAACTCAGAGAACTACATAATCCATCGTTCAAAAGATATGGGAGTTTATTAACATTTGTCTACACAAGATACTGAGGATCCATTGTCCAGACAACCTACTGTAGGACAGAACAAACCAGATTCCAATTCAGTAAGAAATTAGGCAAAAGCTCTGGAGGTGGATAGAAAACATATTTCTGATGTCACCCAACTGTTTCATGAGGTAAGCCCTGAAATGAAATTTTCTAGGTCAAAGGAAAAGATGAAGACCAAAAAAATACATTGTGTCAGAAATTGGAGTCAGATATTAGAAGAATGAATAGAACTTGCCAATGATTTGAAAGGAGAACCCAGGATAGAGTTCGTTGGCGAGTCCTAGCTGGCGGCCTATGCTTTACAAAAGGTAACATGTGTGAATAAATTATAATTAAATAGATTTATAGATCAGATGAACAATTTTGAAAGCATTTTGTTTTATGAACTAGGTGGTTTGATTTTATTTTCATTATAAGGAATATTACTAGCACCTACTTTATGTAACAGTGAACTTTTGAGTTATTACATATACTCTAAATCAATTCATCCTGATGAACTTGTTTGATATTGGTATACTATGAAGTGGATTGAATTTTGATAAATTATCAAGCATGTATATTGAAGCATCAATTTATTTAAGATAGAAAGTTGTTTGGAATAGATTAATGCTATCATTTTATTCTCTTAAAATTTTTGTGATATTGATAGTATTGAAGGAAGAATTGTGGTAAAATAACTGTTACTTGTTAAACAATGATTTTTATAAGTTTCCTCTGAATAATATTGGTGAGTGACCAACTAAGTGTAGATTGGAAAGTCATGAAGTTGAATAAATTTACAGTGATGTATGATGCTACAACTTGAGAACAAAATAATACCCAAAATAATTGTATAAAACTTACTTCTTCAATGTCATTGATTTCATTTGTTAGACAATTCACTTGCTTTTCTTGTTCTTTACGTAAATCTATACATTTTTGCAACAGTTTTTCCCGATCTGATTTAGTACTCATTGATTCCTAATAAATATAATTTTAGTGGCAAAATTTCATATCACATTCTTTTAGGAATGCATTATAAAATATACTTTTTATATATCAAATGTATTAATGGTTGTATTAGTAATATATGTTTATATGGCTAGTAATATAAGGAATCGATAGTGACTATTTATCCAGAGATAATTTTATGCAGGTTTTGACAATAGCCAAGAAATCATTATAATCTACGAAATGATTAATAGTTATTTTAATGGTTATATGCCAAGCTGTGAAGCCATGAACTTGAGATTTGGAGTGAATTTAACTTGAATGTTTCGCATCATATCGTTCTTATACCCTCGTGACTGAAATAGTACGAAAGCTGGAATTCGTTAAGTGAGTCAGAATCACTTGATGAATGCTCGTTTCAATTCATTAAACTTTCCAAGATTTATTTCGATTGATACTAACTGTATGTAAAATTTGACAAGGGAACGCCGATTCGATTCAAATACTTCATGAATAAAAATGCAATTTTTAAAATGACTTTATTTTTGAAAATTTTTGGTGATGTGGTCAAATTAAATGAGCGCAGTAAAATCAATAATTTACAGAGAATGACCTTTAAATTCATTTCCTCTTAATTAATTTATGATCAAATCGACGACTTACTAAATCATTGTATTTAAATATTATTTCATCATTTAATAATTTGATCACAGTTGACCAAAATACTAGATAAAAATATTTAGCAAACTATTATCAATGCAATCGAAAATGCACACAATATCACTTACATGTTTGGATATTAGCTGTTTCATAATGCGTAATTTTGCTCTGTAGTACAAATGATGTTGATGTCATTCTTTATAATTATTAATTATATTTTGTTCAGGGAAAAAGAAGGAGATAGAAGAAATGGATCGGAAAGAAAAATCATTGTTGGTTTTAAATGCTTAAAATGAATAGGGATTTTGGAAAGCCGATATTTGAAAAGGTTTAATCGCAATTAATTTTACAACTACCGTTGAGAATGTAAAGAAAGAATTGTACTAGTCAGTATATTATTTAATTGTCAGTCTGACCATAAACAATAGAATGTGAAATAAATGTTATAGGGAAAGACAGTAGTTACTATACCGATTGTTAATTATATGCATATATTTCTTTGTTTTACTCATATATAGCAGAAAAGTTACTATAGTGACAAGAGTTTGTTTGTTATGGCAAGGATTCAGTTAAAATAAGGGAAAGACAGTCAATATTTAATCATTCCCCCTATCGTCTTCAACAGACTATGGAAAGATTTGTTTAAATGTTTAATGTAGGCATAGATTTTTTAAATCGTAGCTGAAGAGGTTATTTCTTGAAAGAATATTAATAACCAATAAAAACCCAGGTAACATTCAGTAAAAAAAAATCAATTAGCTGTGATTGTACGAAGTTAATCGTCACAATTTTCTTATATACTCAAAAGATTACTGTTTCTTTGAATATGAACATTAATTTTATAAAGTACATAAGGTTTTTTCATATAAGTTGAAAATAATCAACAGTAAAAATTAAACCTGTTGGTTTTAGTATAAATAGAATTGACAGTGTAAAGAATATTCATACTCTATTAAATAAGTCGGTTATTTCACATCTCTAATAGTATGAAAAGAATAATATGACAATAAACTGTAATTAATACTAGCAAATGATTTAAAAAATCGTCCTCGGTTTATTCATGACTTAGTACTGCGGATGCACTTTAGTACACACATTGAAATAAATGTATAAACTATGAATACTAAGTTGTATAGTCTTTAAAGTTGACTTAAACAATCATACTATTTATAATATGAGATCAATTAATAAGGTTAGGGATTCGAACTAAGTACAGAAATTTTTCGCTAAATAGATGAACTAATTAGATTTAATATTCATTATAAATCCAGCAATAGTCAGTGTGCACTAATACAATGAAAGTTATAAATGTAACAGTAAGTGATAATTCGATCGGAATGATAAATTAGTTGTTAGGGTTGTCAACCCTGGTCAACTTAGGTCTTCGGGATTTTTTTACACTAACTCCAAACCCTTCGTGCCAGACGGTTTACGGAAACCAGCGTATAAGTAGGCTAAACAGATAACTGATTTGCGAAATCACTCCACACGTTGATTGTTTATCCGTCTAATCCATGTGATGACGTAAAGCTAACCTGGTTGGGCTGCACAAGATAATCATCATAGGTATGAGAAAAACTTTAAGGTTGTTGGCTAGAAACAGGTCTAATATATACAGATGCACTTATTTGTTTTTTTCATGGGCCACCACAAGGATTATTTTGACCACCTAAAAATATAAATTATTGTAAGCAATAATCATTCGGAAAACAGCCTGATACATTAGTCTCATTCGCTACTTTTAGGATGAATCAAACGCTGACAGCTTTAATTTAGTAGACAAGATTATAATTAATATCATTAGGTTATAATACACTCTGGAACTATCTTTAACATCCATGTAACTGATACGCTAAGGAAACTGTGACTTGTAATTCGTTGAAAAGTTTTCTCAGTGTGTGCATGCTAATAAGGATGATCGCGTTCAGAAACGATTGTAAATTATTAACGCTTATGTTGACTGAGACATCTAAATGATTGCTTGTGAATAGCTGATTTCCTTCAGTTACTCTCCTAGTTTTCAAATAATTTCTGTAGTATACAAAATACAATGGATTTTTTAACCCTTCATTTTAATGCAGTTTTCATATATTATTTACATTTGTCTCTCCTTTAGCACTCAAAGTTTGCCATTACATCACTTTTGGAAAATTCAGGAATAGCAATCACGTTTCAACCATACAATATATATTAGGTTTGAAAGCGTCAGCAAGAGAGATTTCATAGAAAAACTGATTTCAGTCATTTACACTATAAATTCAAAACTTGCATATAAATTACTCCAAATCACAATTTAGTTAGCTATCAAGACAAACACAGTCAATCAACAAAAACAGAGAAGTTCTTACAAACGTCCATCACTTCAAGTTGCCATACAGCATTAGCACAGAGATGCAATTTTCAGTTCAAATACCATAGTGGTAGAGATAGCAGAAGTATTAGCCGTAATGGAGAAGATTGGAATTCAAATAAATTATTCGAGAAGTATAATTCGGTGAGATAAATCTAGAATTCAGATTAGAATTTGAGAGGACAAAGAATGGATGCACCTGCGCCATTGCGGAAGATTCTGAACCATGTCATTACGAGTCTCTAACCATCGGTTACTATTGTCTCTCGGACCCCGACCAGGTAGTCTACACTTACCAACATGGTTCACTCCACCAGTCAGTGACTTTGTAACAAATGTCCCAACCACCTCAACTGATAAACAATCACTACTTCATCAGCTGATCTGCCATCCTTACCGTGTACTCGTTTCCTAACAACAGCATTGCTTATTCGTTTATCCCATGGTATGCGAACAGTGATTCGAAGACACCGGTGGTCGAAAACCAGTAACATACCAACATCCTCTACTCCTAATGGCCGTGTTTCACAGAAGTAAAATAGGAAGGAGTGAAGTGCTGCGCAGCAAAACGGGTATCTCGCCCACGCCATAATTGATGCACGTTGGCAAAAGCCAGTCGAGCCTTCTGCATCCTTGCCGGGATTTCGTCACACGCCAGGTCATCAGCACTGATGGGACCCCCCAGATAAGTGAGGTGGTCGACACGTTCAACTACGTCGCCCATATCACTAGTTCAGGTGCCAAAGTAAGCCAATCGTGAAGCAACATTTCGCATTCCGAGGAGGAAAACCGCATCCCGAACATGCTTTCATTGTTGCCTATGGTAGTCAGAAGAATCTGTATTTTGTCAGCGACTTCAACAAATAGAAGTATGTCATCAGCATATTCTATGCCAACCAGTGAATCTCCTGGTAGAAGGTCCACTCCTGAAAATTCAGGCGAAGATTTCTTATTTCTAGAAGCAGGTCTATGACAGAACCAAACAAGAATGAAGAAAGTGGACAGCCCTGATAGACACCACTTGAAGTGAAGAATTCTGATGACAGTTGGCCATAAGCTCTGACTCGGCCAGTAGTATTCAAGTAGAGAGCTTGTATAAGGTTGATGTACTTCTCCTGTATTCCTTTCAGTGACAGACTACCATAGAACCTCACAATCGACAGAGTGGAATGCCACTTTAGGGTTGAGAAATACTACTATCGTGTGATGCCTGAATGAGTTTCTATGTTCTAGCACTTGACTTAGTGTGAATTTGTTGTGTGTGCATCCACGTCCAGGTCGGAAACCAGTCTGGCTATCTCGAGTCTACTCTTTACGAGCTCCAGTTAGACAACGGGGTATTACGGAAGCCAATATCTTATACATTATATTAGTTGAACTGATCCTTCTGGGATTGTCACAAGAAGACTTTTGTCCTTTCTAATAGACTTGGACAACCAGTGGTTGACAGCAGTCGTATGGGATTACGCCCAGTTCCCAGATCCCACCAAAGATCTCAGTCAGTCTGACTGCTTAGACTATACCACCATCCTTAGAAATTTCAGGGGTAAGCCTGTCAGGACCAGATGCTCTCCCTCGCCTTATATGTCCTATAGCTTTTCCAACTTCATTAACAGTCCGAGGAAGTACATGAATTCGTCATTCAGGTTGACTGGAGATTGTGGGCGATCGAAGTGTGGCTGAGGGCCAGTTGAATTGATCCCTAAAGTGTCCTGCCAATCGATCCAATTTTCTGGCTTCAGAATGAATGGCATGACCATCATTTCCTGAGATGGTTTCGTTAACAGTGAAATTCTTAATCCAGGTTTCCTTGATAAGCTTGAATAGTTGTGTACACCTGACTAGCACTGATGCCGTTTACATCTCCCTCATTTTCTCTATCCACCAAACTTCTTAATCGTTGCGTAGGATTTTAATCAGCCTGAGCTTAATCTCAGTCCGCTCTTCGTCATGTTCAGTGCAAGATGGGATGAGTATTCGACTATCGATCAGCTCGGTAGATGCTACTGAGTACCACTGTTTATCCTTGACCATATGATTTACTTTACTAGTAGATATCACTGCTGTTTCCAGAGCATTTCGGACATCGTTCCAAGCTGCATGGAAGTGTGGATCACTTGCATGACAGCACAACTGTGTTCATAGTGTCTACTGAGATATATTCATAGGTTTGTTATCATTAAGTAGAACCCTAGGAGGTTTTCGTTGCAGTGTCTTTTCTACGTCCATTAAGCCTCAAACAAATATTCACTGTCCTTATAACATGATCTGAATCCAAACATGTGTCTCAGAAAGTGCGACAGTCCACTATTGAACCCTCTATCGGTTGCTGATAGCGATGTGATCTGGTTGTGACCAGTGTTCTGTCGATTTCGAGGGTCGCCAGGAACACGCAGTTCTCTGAGCATGGATGCAGAATAATCTCGCCGTTATCCGTCCTCTGAGTCGCGACACCATAAGATTCACTCAGGTGTCTTTCCTTTTCACTAAGTCTACCTACCTGGGCATTAAAGTCACCTGTCACTATCACCATATCACAGCGCCTAGTTGTTTGAAGGTTCGAGAGGTTTCTGTAAAACTCATCTTTTATCTCGTCCGAGCTGCAGTCAGTAGTGGCTTAGGTAGAGACAACGAAGAATTAACAGAGAGTGTCATTATCTCTTCCAGTGCTTACTCTCCTGTTTAGTCAGACAGCGAAAATATGACTGTCTTCTGGGATTCAGAGATATCTAAGACAGCTAGTTCTGCCTCAGAACCTAATGCTTCATGTACACGAGCGAGGTATTGGGGATTATCATCAAGGTTTGCAGAAATGCGATGCCTCGTTCATGATGGCATTAAATCATGCATGTTATAGCCACAGTGTTGCTAACCATACTTGCATTTGTTTCGTTTGACATTTTATACGCTGCTATTACCTTTATATTTGACTGGAAATTAAATGTTAGTGAGTACATTCTTTTATTTCATCATAGTGTTTGTTGTTTTTCCAGACATTTCTGCTGGCTTAAGTCACCCGAGATCTATTTGTCCATTTCGAGGATAAACAGCTGCCTAGAAATTCAGACATTCCAATGTTGATTGAACAAGATATTCGCTGTCTAATTTGTTCATGTATCTGGGCTTGCGGAATATGCTATATTCGGCAATATGACGTTCCTAATTTTCGTTGCTGACCTCTCTATGTACACCGGCTTTTATTTTTATAATTTGTCTGCAGACTATTTTGCCTTATGGGAAGCACCAATATGATATACTGATTCACTATAACCCAAAAGGAACCTAAAGCTAACGGAAGAATTGACACACGACATTGATTTAACGTTCAGTTTCGAAGACTGTCGAACGTCACCAATTTTAGTTACAGAATAGATTTCAGCTTACTATCTCGTCTGCTGTCTACACCTCTCTGTATTCTGAGTGGATCTTAGTCTTGTTCATTTACTGACAAAAATCCTACGATAATCTTAAACTTGTCCTAATTCAGAAAGGTGTGTTGATATCTTACTACATTACGTGAAGGTTCTGGATTCACATCACTGACTTCTAGAACGTCACAACATTATTATTCCCATTATCAACAAGGTGTGAAGGAATCTTTCTGAACAAGTACTGGATTGTGCTGCAAAGCGTGTAGAAAAATTTGGGAGTAAAACTTGTGCAAAGCAACTACACCAATTAAGTATATTTTCGCTTATTGACAGGAGAATGCAAGACATATTTATAATGGTGAACAATACAGTAATTTTTCTTATCCTTCTGCTAAAAACAGTTTATGTGAACTTCAATATTGAGAATCATACGTCAACAATTGTTGACCTGTACAGGTACGATTACTCTTTGCCACTGCGGGTAGGCTTCACATGGAATGTTCCTCTAGTGAACTTAAGAGCCTCTTTTCAGTAGAGATTTCTGAGTACTTTACTATCTATTTAGCAACCCACTATCTTAGGTCTTTTTGCACTAACAGCTTTGATCCATACATTTTGTCGTTACTGTCAAACATTTTGTCATCAGTATTGCTATCCTATCATCACTAAACTTACTGCTCATCCTGCTTTCGTATGTTGTTTTAAGAACTCTTTACAGATAATTTGCGTTTATTATTCACTTGCTTATTCTGACATCCCTTTTTATCTTAACTACACATTTTTTTTCAACCACAGCTACTATTTCTGGCATTGTTACTGCTATAAAACAACTGCTCTCGAGAGTATCTGGGAAAATTTGACATCTTATTAACTATCGACTTCACTAAGATTATTACAGTTAAGTTGTTGAACTAACCACATCAAGATATCGACGTGTCACCTGAATGTAACGTTGAGAGCAAAGTTAAAAATCGTTTAGTTTGTAAAAGCTTGTTACGAAGATGCTAGACATAAATGGAAGTTTGAGATTTATTTTACTTGACATCTTACGTCCTAGTTAAAACCGACGTATTGTTAGTATCAGACTTATACTGAAGCGGGTATAAATCACCCGCCTAATCCGATTTTGGTTACGATCTCGCGTGAAAATGCCGAAAATGGTTAGTTTCCTTACTAGTCTCTATGTTCTTAGGTGCCTATTTCTGTTGTCACGAAGGATGCACAGTTAGACTTTTTTATAAAGAAAGGTACTCATGGGAGAGAGCTCTTTTCACAGGTGAGTTTTTTTGTAGTTATATAATCGGTTCAAAGGTTTGCACAGCTCTTGGTATTAGAGAAATGTGGTATTTTGGTTTGCAATATGTTGATCCTAAAAAGGGAGTCACTTGGGTAAAAACTGACGATAAGGCACCCGTACGTCCTAAAAAGAAGGATGGTCCAATGCAATTTTTCTTCAAAGTGAAGTATTATCCAGAGGACCTATCAGTTGAACTAATTGAAGAGATTACTCGTTTGCACTTTTACTATGAAGTAGCTACTTTTTTGCCAAACAATTTTACTAAATCTATAGACTAAAGACGACATTGTCAGTGGAAAATGTTACTGTCCAGCAGAAACTGCTGTTTTGTTGGCTTCATTCCAAGCTCTTATTCGAAGTGAGAAAAATGGTCCACCTACTGTCGCTAAAGGGTCTTTGAAAATTTCTAGATACCTTCCAAAGAAGTAAGTTCTTCGAATCAGTAAGTAACTGTTAATTGTGTTGCTTTAATATCGAGTTATATGTCAGACAATTATGAGTCTCCTACTCATCCCGTCACACCTTTCTTGATGCTGTTAGATTTCCTGTAGTTCATTCTAACGTGATTTATTCATGCGGACACGCTTCTCATTTTCTAACCTAGATTTTATGTGCTGTACATTTTGAGACAGCTAGAAGCTAGGTGGCCGCTACTGAGTAATGTAATTATTCCTCTATCCGCTTTTTACTATGGTTCTGCAGTATAATATGTGTAGGTTTAAAAATGCTTAGGTTCTAAATTTTGGGTTGAAAATGTCGGAAGTAATAGTTTCTTACGATGGGACCACCGAGTATCGAAATGACTACATATTTTAGATGCAGTTGTGGATTTTGAAGGCTGGTGATCAAGGAGTGCTTAAGTTAAGAAGTTTCACTGTTGCGATCGAATGCTAGTGGTCTTAATTAAGTCAAGAGTTTCAGAATACTTAGATAGTGATTTCTAGAAATCAGTCTCCGACAAGTTTATTCCTTTTGATGCTCAATTTATTATCATTCCTTTTCGGAGCTATATCATCTGATTATAGATTTTATTGTCGTTTTTTTGCTAATTCCATCTCTGGTATACCGAAATGTGTTTACTTGGAGTAATGTATTCAACCTGAATCTCAAGTTTTTTTCGGAATTACTTTGCATTAGCATCAAAGAAAAGTCTTTTCGGGGGTATTATACACATGATTGATCAGTAAAGTTCGGTCAAAAATGTATCCAAACTCTTAATTAATAGTTAGATGGATTGCATATGCATGAAAAGTTACCCTTCGAGACAGTAAAGCATACGCTAGCATGTTTCAACAAATTATCTTGTAACCCATATTTTGTTATTCAGAGAAATGTACCATTTCTGAATAGTTCAGAGTTCTTAAATGTTTGTTTGTCTTTGATTGCTAAGGAAATACTTTACCTAATGTGTAAATAATTTTCCTTCAAAAGAATAAATCTCCTGTTCTTTAAATTGATAGTATATACAGTAGCGTCTCATTTTTTGTTTCCATAAAGCGATTCAAATCTTTCCGTTTTAGTGTACTTGAACAGTACAATCTGTCTGACGAAGAATGGGAAGCCAAAATATTAAACTGTCTCCTATCACACGGAAATATGTCCAAGGACGATGCAATAAGTCAATATTTAAGGATTGCTCAAGATCTAGAAATGTTTGGAGTCACATATTTCGAAATAACAAATGCAAAACAGACAAGTTTGTGGCTTGGTATTACTGCTTCAGGATTGAATGTTTATGAATATGAAAACCAGTAAGTTATTCGTCTTGATAAATTTCCTGACTCCGTAGTGTCCATAACACAACCACAAAGCCTCATGTCTAAACTTTAATTCACCCACCTCTGTCTGAACAGTCAGGTAGTATCCCTAGCCATGGCACTTGAATGGGGCTTCAGGTCATGTACATGTCTTTAACATTTACCTTTCGTTTTCCTAGTTCCTTATAATCAGTCTTTCAAAAGTTTTTTCCTCATCCCAATTACTTTATTCTCAAAGCCAAACAAAACATTATCTAGATACATAGGAATGATGCATGGATAAGCTAAGTTATTTTATACAATACTTGAAATTGCTAAATGCAAGTCTTAAGTTCGCTTAGTGATCCGGGTAACATCTCAGTTATTTTTTTTCAACTTCTCAGATTAACACCAAAGGTTACCTTTCCATGGAATGAAACTCAAAAGTTATCCTATTCTGGCACCAGATTTTCCGTTAAACCTGTTGAAGCTTCGGGAAAAGTGAGTAATATAAATGTTTTCTTTACTAGGTTAACCATGACTGGGAGCTTATAGATTGTAATTTCGTTTGGGCTGGGAACTGATGTACACTAAACAGTAATCGAAATTAGTTGGACTTATCATTTGAAGATAAGGTTTTCCATCGACTTCAAAAATTACCTGAAGTCATTACGGGTGTTTAGATCTATCCTTCAACATCTATTTCTTTACTGGATAAATATTTAGGTTTTAAATGCTTCGATCTGTATCCGCAGGATATACTTTCGAATACGAAAAATGCATGTAACAAACAGCACGAAATTTTATCCCATCTCACTCAGAGCTCCGTCATATATTCGTGATGATGAAAAACAACATATCACCTTCCTGATTTACAGTATTTATCTCGTGTTTTTAATTCATCTTAATGAACTGAAAGTTGTTTCCCAAATCAATTTTTTCATCAGTGTTGTTTGGCTAATTTTTAATCAAGAATTAAAACTGTCAGTATGTGGATATCCTACATCAAATTTACTATGGTCAGTGTTTGTATTTAATATAGATGTATTTAGTTTTCAGTTAAATGTTTCTCAATGATATTGTCAGTATTTGTAGTGTCACCATTTCATAATTGAAATATTGTTGTGTGTTGTTTATTTTTTATGTTAGTGGTTGGAAATAAAAAATTATATTTTGGTGTTATAAAATGTGTTGCAGTGATTAGCTTATCGGTCATTCTTTCTCTTAGAATAAAGGTATCACTCTTTTGTCTTTGCATTCACCTCCCTTTCTGTCATCGTATGTAGTGATGAAAGTAGATTTTCCAAAGTTTTCTTTGTGAATCAATGATACATTTTACTTAAGGTTTGTTAGCTTTCTCTGTTAACACAGTTTATTAATGTTGCTTTTTTCCCATTGTGCGTTATACAGATAGATTGATATGCTGACATCACCAGTTACTCTTCACTGTATCTTGGCTAATTTTAGGCTCTCGAATTCTTCACGAAAAGTGTTTATGAATCTAAGCTTATATTAAAATTATCCGCAGGCAACCATAAATTGTATGCCATCCGACGTCAACCTGATTCGATTGAAGTACAGCAGATGAAAGTTAAAGCTAAAGAACGACAGAATATGCGTGATGCTGAAAGGTAAATATATTTTGATAAATATCGCACTGTATATTATTGGTACTTCATTTTCTGTACAAATTGTTATTAGTCAGTCAGTTAGTTACTACTTAAAACTTTGTACGTACGTACATACGTTCGTGTTGCCATACAACATTTGCACACACGCAATTTTCAGTTCAAATACCATAGTGGTAGAGATAGCAGAAGTATTAGCCGTAATGGAGAAGATTGGAATTCAAATAAATTATTCGAGAAGTATAATTCGGTGAGATAAATCTAGAATTCAGATTAGAATTTGAGAGGACAAAGAATGGATGCACCTGCGCCATTGCGGAAGATTCTGAACCATGTCATTACGAGTCTCTAACCATCGGTTACTATTGTCTCTCGGACCCCGACCAGGTAGTCTACACTTACCAACATGGTTCACTCCACCAGTCAGTGACTTCGTAAATTTGTGCCATGTTTCGGTCTTGGTGCCTCTAGCTTTCTTCCGGCCTACCCCCACACCAGACATCATCGTTCGCCGAGGCAGTCAGCAGTTGGGCACTATGAGTGCTTTGATCCAATAAACTTCATATAAAATGTTTTTATTTACTGTCTTTGTAAAGCACAGAAATCATGAATAACATTTCTGCCATAATTGTTGTGTGCTTCATGAGGACTTGTAAAAAATGCGATATTGGGGTATGTGCTCGGTATGCATACATTCCGAAAAAGGCTAATCAAATTTCAGTTCTGAAATCGTCAATGGTATACGGTGAACCATTACAAACCATGAAAGAATACTTACGATGCCTGTCTCCCGTCAAACCTAAGTAAAATTGTCAAGCTTGCTTACCAATATACCGACCAGCCCAGGTGGCTGATAAGCTCTATAAGATGTTCTTGTCTAACCTTTCCCAACTTTGCTATTTATAGTGTTAGTAACGTTTACTTTAATTTCGATGAGTTTACTACCAAGTAGATCGCCCTTTATAACTTCACTATTGTAAAAAAGGTCTTCAGAGTTGAATATCTACGTCGGTTTATGAAATTATTATTAAATATGAAAGAAACTTATGAAAATTTACTTTTGATCAAAACGAATTTCAGAATTCATCGTAATAGGAACCATCGTTAGATGACGTGATTTATACATTATGAAAAACCTTGGTGGTCGGGCTTATATGTATTCACCTAGATCTTAAAATTTGATGAATGGTATGCGGAATATATTTATTCCTAAGTGACAGCGATTATACTCTTGATCACAATTTCCATTCTTTCTCGGTAAAACGCCATAACATAAAAGCAAAGAATGTCATCATTTCCGCGGGTAATATATCAAGACGTAACTTCCAGTATTCCTGTATACAGTACCGTATCACGATATCACACTTGATTACCTAATCATGGTATTTACAGAAAACACGTCTCAAGATTGTATATGCGATACATATGGTTTCCTTACACTACTTAGTTATCGGTTTGTATTGACCTAGCCATCCCCCTTGTAAATATGGCTGTCATATTTGGCACTCATCGGCTCTCTGTTAATGATTAATGTGTTTTGATAATTACTTGTCATTATGTTGCCCAATGTCCCGATCAGAAATTAACTTTGATAATGCGACTTATAAATTACTTATCGGGTTAACTGTAGCTTCACCAAGTTCAAAACATTGCAGAACTAAAACTAGAGACCTGGGTGACCAACCAGGTTCTGTCAAGCCATTACTAACCAACAATGGATTGTATTCATGTTCGTAGTTATTCCCTTTTCCTATATTACCATATTTTAGTAATCTGTAATCACTCTCATTCGCATCTATGAAGTAAGCATACATGCGACTGTACATGAAAAACAGTCGTGGTAAAATGAAGGACTAGAGACAGGATGTTGATTGCCTGATGTTGTTGCATAGTGAAATAATAGTCTACCTTCTTGGATAGTCAAAATGTGTTGCCGATCACTCGAATATCCAAAGGTTTGTAGCCTGACATCATATCTCAAAATCAACTACTTAACACACGAGATATCACTTGTACGTAAACTTGGGGTAAGAAATTGTTTAACGCTGTTGCATCTCGTGATTTTTCAAAAAATCGATGCTACAATAGGTGTCTTCGAAGCATCGCTCGTGTCCTTTTGGAATCATTGACTAAGTAATGTCCGGATTAGGAATATAAAAACGAGTAAATTTGGTTGAGGTAGTAAATATATATATCAGCTTTAGTGATTGAGGCATATCGCATATGTTCAGTTACCATCTACCTCAACGTGCAATGTAGGCTTCAAAAGCAAAAGTTGGTCAGACAAAAACATGTCACCAGCCTATGAAGACAGTGATAATTGGACTGAGTCATGTTGAAAGGTGTAGACTACCTGTTTGTGGTCCTCAAGATCATCGTAACCAGTGATCAGAGACCCTTAACGACATGACTCAGAAGTGTTTTTTCTATTACCACTAATACTGTTACTCTCTCCACAATTCACATTCACAAGTTCAACTCACTGTATTAATGAGGTATGACAACTTGTACAGGTGTACATATATGTCATGTTCAACGTTTTATTTGACTGACTAATCACCATTCCCTCCATAACTATAGTAGTTGCAACTCTTGAATTGGGGTTATCTTTTTGTAAAGTTTAAAATCCTACTCATCTTGATCGTACTTGTAAGCTCACATCCGCTAACTCTGCTGATGCTAAAAATATCTACTTGATGGTCTCGATTTAATTTGATTCAAATAGTTGTTGTGATCATAAACTAAATTGCATCAGTTGGCATCCATTATTTTATACAATGGTAAATCTGTTAAAAAGCTCCGTAAGATACACCTGAAAAATCCCCCATCCAGACATTCATTCAATAAGTTTTCTTTTTTCTTTTTTATGAGCAAATTAAAAAGTCTACATTTATTTGGTTTGCCAACTACGCACGCTTTGTAGTTGATTAGTCAATCTAGTAATTCTCCTACTTCACTCGATTTTTGAGCACTTAATAAATGCTTGTTCATATCTTGACTGTAAATCTCAATAACTGAACGTAACAGTGCACTATGGTGATACATGTAAAGACAATAATTTTGTGGTTGTTTATAATTCTTAAATAATCATAGCTTTTTTGCTTCTATACAGGTCTGATTATTCATATTTTAACAAACTCAAACTAACTTCTAATTAATTAATATATCATTAAGGGAAAAGCTTCGTGCTGAGCAAGAAGCGAGGGAAGTAATGGAAAAACGACTACGAGATATGGAACGTTTAATGCACGAAAATGAAGAAGCATTTGCACGTACCCAAACAGTTTTAGAACAATATGAATCCAAAGTTAATGAATTGAATGCACAACTTGATGAAGAAAGACATGCACGACAACAACTTGAAAGCCTACAGCGTTACCTGGAAGAAACAAACCACAAATTAGAAATTGTAAGATTAATATTTCATGATCATCCTAAAAAAGTTTTATTTAGTGTATAATAAATTTTGTTTTATTGAACGATCAAACACTTTCGAAAAAAGAACTCCAATCTCAATCTTTATCTTACCACGTAGTAACTATTAGCGATTTGTTGCCGAAAAACTTGCTCATCTCTGTTATTAAAAACACTCACTTTGAACTAAAAAGTTGCAGGACTGGGTAAAGCACCCAAGTTGGCTTTAGTCTAACGATAAAGTTTGCTTCTTATTCCCCGTCATTAATTTAAACCGATTTTCCATAACACCCTTATTGAAAAGTATCACACCTACTACTTCACATAATGAGTTATCTTAGTAAGTAAAAGTATATATTAATTGTGAACCCTACAACAGCTGAACTCCTTTCAATTAACGAATACTATTATGTCGCCACACTTTTATTTTGCACTAGTCGATATCATCTCTAATGTTCCTATGATAATTCTAGTTCTAAATAATTATACTTGATTACATTGTTGTACTAATCAAACCATTCATTTTAAAGGATGATTTTTTGACATACTGTTCGAGAAGTTGTTACTATGCTTTAAGTCTTCGTACACTACTAGATAGCGTCGTATATTTTGCTTTGAAAAATATTTTCTGATGGTCATTCAAAACAGTAACCTAATGCAATGTGATGTTAGGACAATATTTAGTAATTAGATGTCATGCTGTTTGATTGTAGGAAACCATGCAGTCACTGGAAGATCGTCAACGTCTAGCAGAGGAACGCGATAAAATCACTGCTCAGATTTATGAGCAAACTCAACTCCTCCAACAGCGAGAAGAGGAAAAGCTCCAATTCGAGGCTGAACTTGCTCGCATTCGAGCTATGCATGAAGCAGAAGTGGAACGCTACTCTGGAGGGAAACGAGAGTCTGACGGTTAGCTATCTACCACTTAAATATTTTTCTGAACCTAACTATAATGATTAGTTCGGAACAAAATAACTCATGATGTGAATTTCTCAGCTTTTGGAGTACGATCTTAACCAAGTGTTTATCAAACCGCAAACAAATAAAGTTGTTTACCTTTTATGAAATCCCTAACCTACATTTAACCACCATATATATATATATATATATATATATATATATATATATATATGTATATATTTAAGTGCATATATTTATAGCTGTAGGGTGCAGCTATTTCTGGTCAGCTTAATGTCTCAGCTCATGTCGTCTTTCGTGTCAAAAAATACGAAATCACACGCTCAATTATTATCCAGAACAACAATTATGTGTGTTTAACACTACTGTGTCATTACCTCTATTCTGAATCGGTGATCTTGATTTTTAATCAATAACAAGATATGGTAAACAAGTGTGGGGTATATATATATGTATATAACCAGTTATAATTCATCTGCTTCCTAACAAAATAGTTTTATAGATAAACTGTTGGCATCTTCCAGTCTTCGCCATACCTACATTAGATACAATTAAACATTGTGTCACTCCATTCACAATTCTGTAACTTAGTATACCTTTACCTTACCTTACCCTTTCACCGATTCCTGTAAGTATCAGTATGTATAGTTTCATTTAATTTATTATTATCTATTTGCTTACGTCTGTTGCTACTGCTATTATTGTGACAACCAACACCATTAATAATAATATACATGTATGTATTTGTGTATATGAAATATATTGGTTGTGTTTTAGAACGCGAACTGGAGGCAGTTAATAATGTTGATGAGGAATTACGTCAATCCAAACAAGACACTGATGAAGATCATGCTACACGCCTTAAATTATTACGGCAAGATCTAATTTCTGCTCGAAATGTAAACAAGATGCAAGCAATCGACATCCAATATGAGGATAGCGTAAACAAAGGTATGGATAAATATCGTACGCTGAGAGCTATTCGTGAGGGGAATACAAAAAAGCGAGTTGATCAGTTCGAATCTATGTAGTCCGTATGATTGGTTGACATCCGCGTATTAAGTAAACAAAGAATGAATTCATTTGTTAATTAAACTATTTCTTTCGTCTGTGTAATCATGTCACCGTGAAACGCTAAATGAAGTGAAGTTATTGTCAAGCTGTTTTACTAAATCAATGTCAGATTACTTTGTTTGTGTTTTTCACCTTCGCGTGTCGCCCGTTCATGTTTTTTAATCGCTCTGTCAACATTGTAATAAGATGATAACTATCATGATTCTAGTGTAAACACTATTTGATTGTAAAAAAAGAATTAAAGCTTTTTAACATTCTAAAAATATTTTAATTGTGCCTTTTCCGTCATTATCCTTTTTTGCTCAATTTTCTGATATGTATTCGTCGTATTTGATTATTAATTGTTATTACCGCTACTGTTTTTTTAGTTAATATTCATGTACTCTCTTATCCATATTTTATACAAAACAAGATCAGGTGAATGAGAGCACAACGAAAATTTTATATTAAACAAGATAGATTAAGAATACTACTGCTATTTCGAATAATTAATCAGTTCAGTGATTCGATGTTATCTACATATATTTGATATAAATATATACTTTATAAATACGTTTGTAGATTTATATAGAATTTCTTTCATGCCCGTTCCAATGTTTTCTCATATTTCACAATAGGCGAATCAAATGTCTCTTTTCTGCTGTTAGTCTACCGTTAATTAGTTAAAACATCTAGACAACTTGAAATATACTAATGATGCAGTGATTTACACTGTAAATAATAAAAACACATGTAGACAGAATTTGATAATACAGCTACTCACTAAAATGAACAAATCTAGAGTTAACAAGCTATCACCTGTTCTACATAACCGTCAGATCTACATGTTGCTTTTGGGAACCTACTCTTATTAAGCTGCGGTTATGAGGTGTGCCCTAAAATCGATGACGTAACTGTAAGTCATTTCCAGTTCAGTTCTCACCAATAAGTTGACGATTACTAGAATCATTTTAATGGTAATGTAGCTATAAGAATTCGAACTAGAAGTCGAAACGTTTCGTCTTTACTCCCGACTTTTCTATTTACGTAGTGTAAAAGGGCATATAATCCTAAAAAAACTTGTACTTAGTAATGTCTGTTAACATAACTGACCACGTTGAATATAACATTGTGCTTAAAAGAACCGTCAGCATTTCGATAAATATCAAGTTTTGCATACACCTCTTTACCAGTGTATCAGGGATCATCTACTTTTGTCACAATAAGCTTGTAGCGTAACCGGACTTATAAACACAAAGCAAGCTCAGCACATGTTTCTTGTCCTTTGTACCTGTCCATTCGTAATTTACCGAAATAAATATAATAAATCGTCTTACTATCGAATACATGACTTGGTTTTACTGTTTGTGTACATAGCTGTACAATTTGCTATACCTCAGTACGGTGAGGCAAATAGTAGAGAGACTAACAGTATTTATCTTAATAGGAAAAACAGGCATTGACGATACTACCCCAGAAAACGTCAGTTGATGAAATGAAAAGAATTATGAGGGATTTAGAAACTTAAGACCCAGGGGAAAACTGAATGGATGCACATATGCTATTAGTAGCACTTCTGACTAGTATTTGGTTCACAGCAACAGTTTAGCTATGTGTAAACCTATGCAATAAACTCGTCCTTTAGTTGTTAGGTCGATATGTCTCGAGTGATGCGAGTAGATGAGTACCAGCCGAGCTCTGAATTCGCGTGACACCAACCTACCGGGGTTGGCAAAATTTCGGGAATGAATGAAGAGATCGGCTTGTTAATCCTCCCGTACCAAGATTTCAAGGAAAGAGCCTCGTCTGGTGTATAGACATCTAGTCTACTCCACAATTAGTGTACATTTCTAAAAACCAAGGGATTTTTCTGAATTTGCACTGAGATTTATCCACTTATCCAACAAAGTTGATGGGACTTTTAAGATAAGTGAACTGATCAAAGCCCTTTATTACTTCCCTCCCTATAGTCCAGTAAATTCCAAACCACAAGTGTCAAAATATTGTGATTGCTGCGGGGCCTGAAAGTTTTAATATATCTCCTGTGGGCAGCTCATAGCTGAGCACTACTGAGAATTCTGAAACTAGAACAAAACTGCTGTTCAATAACTTCTAGTTTTCACTAGTTCACCTATCCTCTATTTTAAGTGTGGTAAATCAATAGTTTGGCAGTTAGAGAATCATTTTCGAATAGTATTTTCCTTTTTGAAATTACTTAATACTGAATGAGTTTTTACTCGCTAACTTTCATCCTTAAAATACTTTTTGACCTCAAAACTATTCGTTTCAAACAACAGTAATGTAAACCATTACATGACAGTACTTAAAACACTTACTGGTCACGGTGGATTGATTAATGGAATTTTGTGAACATCCATATCAAACTAATTATTTTTTCTATCAGTTAAATTCCAAACTATTTATTTTCATTTTTAACTGATAAAACACCACCAACGGAATACGCAGAATAATTGTGTGCGCCATTATTCATGGTGTTTAAAGTTCAAATATCAGTTTATTTCAAGGTTAGATGATGCAGTGAAATGTAAAGCTAGTCAAAGTTACCTGACTGAACATTCCGGATGACCAATATTTTTAAGTCGGGCTGTCGAGCCTTTTAAGCATTGAGATAAATTTAAGAGGAAGCTGCACTATCTGATGATACCAAATTTAGTTAAACTCATGTTATTTACTGATGAACTCTAACCGAATCGATTCCCTATCACTAAAAAAATTACTCAAGTGAAAGTTATTTTGAACATGAATGGTGATGAATTTGAAAAAAAACTAGGTCATGAGTGAATGTGGAGCAATTTTCTGGGACTTCATGGAATGTGCTACAATATTTAAGAATTAAAAGTGACCCAATTTTCATTACTTTGATTTTCACCGAACCAGGAAGTTCAATGGGGAATTCGTAGTTTGGAGATGACTACCATCACGAACATAACACCAGTTTTCGAAATACTAGATCTTAGGCAGCTGCAGAAAATTCCCCTTCTTATTGTAGAATATCTTTATCAATCGACATCAATAATATATATGAGTGGCTGAATCTGATACCTCCAAGTCTGTTGATGAATACTGTACCATTAAGATAACAATGATCAATTCGTTAGCCGTTATTTTCAATCTCAATGAGTTGTGAACATAACGCCGTAAGGAATTCTCGTTATACTCCCAACTTTTATCAATTCATAGATCGCAGCTGTGAGAAATTCATTCTGAATCCAGTCACTAATGCCAATACGATTAAGTTTCAATTAGGTGGTTCTGTGATGTATTCGACTGGGTCATCTGGTTCTATGTGAATCATAGGTACGTAAGACACTTTTGACCATAACTGATGCTACATCCAATCAGTAGAGTAGTAGGATTTCCAATCAATGTGTAGAGGTGATTGACATCTTGGAGTAAACTATGGCCTTGTTTGTTCGTCGGGAGTCTGGCCTAATCATAATAGATATTTGCTGTATTTATATCAGACAAAGCGCCGTTTTCGTTTTACACAGTACATGACTCGTATGGTAACAAACGTTGATGAATGAAATGACTCATTGTGTACCAATGATATACTTCTATTAAGTGAAACGATTATAGACTATGAGCTGAGGTAGTCACATGACCTGAATGTCTGTTTTTATAAGACTGGAATGAGTCATATAGCTTAAAATAAGTCTTAACGCTGTAAATGAATTCAAGGTAAATTTACTACCAGAATGTATCAGTGTAATTTCCCACATGATGGTTTATGCATTAATGGTTAAACTGTAATCGGAGGCTTTGATTGTAATGTTGATTCCTCTAATAAACTAAATATGATTGAGGTAGTCGTCCCTGTTTTCTATTTTAACTACATCTCAGTCTAGTTTTGTGTGGAAAGAATACTTATATACGTAAAGAAAATAATTAGATTCAAGTCAATGATGAAGACGGATGGACAATAATGATGTTAATATTTTAATATGAATTGAGATTGTAAATCATAACCTACCAACCCGAATCATTGATTCTTCCATTGATTTTATTTTAATGGGAATGTCTACAGTTTTATCAGAAAAATATGATAACTTATTACTCGAATTAATTAGTGGTTAGTTGTTGAAAACTCCGCCAGTAGAAACTTCGGGGCTACTGCCGGTCCCAAGCCCGGATAAAAGAGGAGGGTTGGGCATGGGTTTGGCGACCCCATTCCGTCGAAATCTCACTTGCCAAAAAAACGCTAACCAGAAAAAATAATTCAAACCATTTTAACTCTGCCCTGGAAGTTGGAAGATGAATTATGACGTCTCGTGATGAAAGCCGAGTTCCCTCGGAAGTCACGGGGCCGATGCCTCTTCTGACAACCAGAGAAACCATTTTTTTAGGTACATGGAACGTTCGTACATTGTGGGAGACTGGAAGACTATTTCAAGTTGCTGCAGAAATGAAAAGATACAACCTGGAGGTGCTCGGCATCAGTGAAACGCATTGGACACAGACAGGACAACTGAGACTAGCTTCAGCGGAACTGTTGTTATACTCTGATCATGAAGAGGAAAACGCTTCACACACACAAGGAGTTTCACTGATGCTGTCCAAATATGCACAAAAGGCACTGATAGGATGGGAATCTCATGGACGACGTTAAAGATCAATTCTACGAAAGGCTGCAGTCAATCGTCGAGAAATGTTCACCAAAGGATTTGACGATTCTTATGGGAGACCTGAATGCTAAGGTTGGAATGGACAACACTGGATATGAAGACATCATGGAAGATACAGAAGATACAAGTGTTTATGAACAGTTGTCTACGCAAAATACTGCGGATTCGTTGGCCAGACACCATCAGCACCAACGTACTGTGGGAGAAAACAAATCAGATTCCAGTGGAGGAGGAAATCAGGAAGAAGCGGTGGAAGTGGATAGGACACACATTGCGGAAAGCACCTAACTGCGTCACGAGACAAGCCCTCACATGGGACCCTCAAGGCAAAAGGAAAAGAGGAAGGCCAAGGAACACACTACGCCGAGAAATAGAGAAAGATATGAGAGGAATGAACAAACATTGGACAGAACTGGAGAGGGAAGCCCAGGACAGAGTTGGTTGGAGAAATCTGGTGGGCGGCCTATGCTCGATTGCGGGTAACAGGTGTAAGTAAGTGAGTAAGTACTGTTTTCGGGGTGGTAAATGCCTCAACAGCTGCTTACTTGCTTACTTACGCCTATTACCCCTAATCGAGCATAGGCCGCCCACCAGATTTCTCCAACCAACTCTGTCCTGGGCTTCCCTCTCCAGTTCTGTCCAATGTTTGTTCATTCCTCTCATATCTTTCTCTATTTCTCGGCGTAGTGTGTTCCTTGGCCTTCCTCTTTTCCTTTTGCCTTGAGGGTCCCATGTGAGGGCTTGTCTCGTGACGCAGTTAGGTGCTTTCCGCAATGTGTGTCCTATCCACTTCCACCGCTTCTTCCTGATTTCATCCTCCACTGGAATCTGATTTGTTTTCTCCCACAGTACGTTGGTGCTGATGGTGTCTGGCCAACGAATCCGCAGTATTTTGCGTAGACAACTGTTAATAAACACTTGTATCTTCTGGATGATGGCTTTGGTAGTTCTCCAAGTTTCCGCTCCATACAGTAGAACTGTCTTCACATTTGTATTGAAAATCGTGATTTTGGTTTTGGTTGAAAGTTGTTTGGAGTTCCAGATATTTTTCAACTGTAGAAATGCAGCCCTTGCTTTGCCAATCCGCGCCCTCACATCTGCATCCGATCCACCTTTCTCGTCGATGATGCTGCCCAGATATGTGAAGGTGTTAACGTCCTCCAAGGCATCTCCATCAAGAGTGATTTGATTGGTGCATGTTGTGTTGCATCGGAGAAGTTTGCTTTTCCCTTTATGTATGTTGAGACCTACTGCTGCAGAGGCTGCTGCTACACTGGTCGTCTTCTCTTGCATTTGTTGTTGCGTGTGCGATAGAAGAGCCAGGTCATCTGTGAAGTACACATCGTCCAGCTGCATCCTAGCGGTCCATTGAACACCATGTTTCCCGCCAGATGTTGACGTCTTCATAATCCTTCATAGTGTCATCCTAACCGCACCATCAAATGCTTTGTCGTAGTCAATGAAGTTGATGTAGAGTGGTGAGTTCCATTCAATTGATTGTTCCAAAATGATCTGTTATCTTTCTATTCAGTCGGTACACGATCCTGAAAGGCCTGGAACCTATTGGTGAGGGCTCTCTTGAATTCATTCAGTTTTACGGTATCCCGAAGAAAGTCTGTATTGAAATTATGTGATGTTATCTGCCCCATTGTCCAGTGCTTCTTTAGCTTCAGTTTCATTTTGGCGATCAGCAAGTGGTGATCTGAAGTTATGTCAGCTCCTCTCTCGGCTCTCACATCCTCCATGGTCCTTCTGAACTTCTTACTGATGCAGACATGGTCGATTTGGTTCTGAGTATTGTAATCCGGTGAAATCCATGTGGCTTTGTGTGTGCACTTTTGTGGGAATATTGTGCCACCGATGACCAGTTTGTTGAAGGCACATAGGTTTGCGAATCTCTCACCGTTTTCGTTCCTTTCTCCCAGTCCATTTCATCTCATGCTGTCTTTATACCCATTGTTGTCCATTTAAACCTTGGCATTTAGGTCTCCCATTAGAATGGTCAAATTCTTTGGTGAACATTTCTCGACAATTGACTGCAGCCTTTCGTAGAATTGATCTTTAACGTCGTCATTGTAGTCATTCGTAGGTGCATAACATTTGATGACGTTCAGTGTAATGTCCGCTTTCTTTGTTTTGAAGGATGCTTTAATGATCCTCGGTCCATGAGATTCTCATCCTATCAGTGCCTTTTGTGCATATTTGGACAGCATCAGTGAAACTCCTTGTGTGTGTGAAGCGTTTTCCTCTTCATGATCAGAGTATAACAACAGTTCCGCTGAAGCTAGTCTCAGTTGTCCTGTCTGTGTCCAATGCGTTTCACTGATGCCGAGCACCTCCAGGTTGTATCTTTTCATTTCTGCAGCAACTTGAAATAGTCTTCCAGTCTCCCACAATGTACGAACGTTCCATGTACCTAAAAAAATGGTTTCTCTGGTTGTCAGAAGAGGCATCGGCCCCGTGACTTCCGAGGGAACTCGGCTTTCATCACGAGACGTCATAATTCATCTTCCAACTTCCAGGGCAGAGTTAAAATGGTTTGAATTATTTTTTCTGGTTAGCGTTTTTTTGGCAAGTGAGATTTCGACGGAATGGGGTCGCCAAACCCATGCCCAACCCTCCTCTTTTATCCGGGCTTGGGACCGGCAGTAGCCCCGAAGGTTCTACAGGCAGAATTCGAGTCTGCTATGCGCTTAGTTATTTCACTGCAGCAAAAATGGAATACAAAAAATCTAACTGTAACTAATTTGTATGTTGTATCTAGTGTTATAAATGGCAGTTATTCACTTACTTTTGACTGCTGTAATGATGAATTAGTGAAACAAGTTTATCTACTGATAAATGAGAACTATAGGTAATAGGCCCATGCATTCTGTAGAATGAATCAAAATGATTAGCAGTGAATTCATGAAACAAAACTGAGCATTAGTGCTTTGTTTACACATGGATGAGTCATCAAAACCTTACTGGTTATATTTTTGTATTCTAAAATGACTAATGTTAAGTCCCTATTTATTTTTTCTAGTATTTAAAATTTGTTAGATATCCGATTTTACATAACTAAAATTTCTCTACCAAAGGCCTCATTCTTATTCAACGTACAATTATTATCGAAGCATAAATCCATTAATTATGAGCAATCATTATAGAACGACCCAGCATTTAACACACTTGTTACCTGAATCGCTTGTTTTTACGAAAAAGAATCTGTAATCAATCCAGCTACTTAAAATTGTAAATGCTAATTTGGATGACCTTTCTAAGGACACTATGTCAATGTATAGTATTAAATTGTTTATTTCTCTCTTAAATACATATCAAGCGTTATCAAGGACCTAATCGTTTTATTTATATGCACACCTATATTGCAATGATGAAATAATTTACTAAACTACTGATACTCTTTCTAACAAGTATTATTCGAATATATTAGTGATTAAGAAATTCTTACTTGAAAGGAACACATTTTTCGAAATAATTGATTATAGATAAAACAAGAATGGATTATACATGTGGTGAAACAATGGTGTGATCAATACTGACTTCAGGGAACCAGATGTGAGTGATAAGTAAGTGAAACTGGTAAATTACATCTCCTAAGGTACAGGAGTTATATGTTATCACAAATCACAGTCTACTCACCTCCACCGTAAGATGTACGACAGTAGATATAACAAAAAGAAACCAAATGTGGTTCCACTTGTACATGGTATGAGTTACATAGTTCAAAACTCAATAACTTGATGCAAATAAGGACAAAGTTTTTTTGAATTATACTAATCACTTAATTACTTTTAATGTACCTTACATTCTCGACTCACATTTCTGCTTAGGTGTATTTTGTTTCCTAAGAGACTGTGTTGTGGATTGCAATATAACTAACTGTTATTAACGATGATTTACGTGATTATGAGATTTCGCATACTTTAAATATGGCACCAAACACAACCCGTGATGATAAAAATATGCTGTGAATCAAATAGCTATATTTCTAGTTAGGTAAACTTATGGGGATTTCGACACAAGATGAGAACCGTATTACATTGTAGAAAAAACTGATAGTTGGAAAATTAGGATCGTTGATAGTCGATTAAGTGATTTGATGGTAGCAGAATCGCTACCGAACATGAAGGTCCTGAGTTCAGACGGTTGTAAGACAGTGTGCACTCTTCAGATGAATCTTATAATCAGAGAAAACGACTGTCAAGATTTTATTCGCTTTATATACATCTGATGATTCACAGCGATTATTATGCTGAAGTACTAATTGAACCGTTTCTGAAAACTCACGTTATTTTAGCACAGTACATATCTGAGTATTTATAATTTGACTAAAAAGAAATCAGACACTGATTTAACTAACTGAAAATGTAATGGAAACCCTTAAGACATATCAACAGTACTATAATTTTTATGAAGACAGATTACGTTTTAATCGGTAATTTGAAAAATGACAATTACCCAACATTTATTAAATGTCCTTTAGTACTTTTGAATTTATGATGCAACCCATATTTAAAATATGAGTTGCAAATAACTGAAAAGGCATTTTATTTGGAAATTTCCTTTATCAGATGGAAATGGGAGGAAAATAAGGAGTCAGATCAACCAATAATTTGCTTAAATTATTTGAACGAATGAGATAAATATTACAGCAAACAGTACAACCTGTAAAATCCTACTCAAGAAACTTTTATTAGAATGGTCCCAGGACAAAAGAGAAATGAACCGTTTCTCTAAATATTTAGAGAATTTATTTTACAACCTAATTATGTTTCAACGAACAGGTCTTTTCGTCATGATTACACAATACTTGAAGGTTAACACATGTGACAGTATTGTACGATGACAAGTAATCATTTCACAAAATGATTTTCATCATTAGAAACATCTTCCTAAAAGCTTTATTTGGAAAAAAAGAATGAATATTTGAAGTTACTTATCCATGAATCCATATTTTAATGAGTCACGCAACAGACTAAGACTTACATAAGTAATCTGACTAATAAAATGATCGCAGTGAAGTATTTCTACCAAAGGATGACTACCAAACCGCACCTAAGATAAATACTAATAGTCAGAATTAGAGCAACACATGTAAGCGAACAATGTTGTTTTCGATTAGATTGTCATCAGGCTTTACTCTAACGAACATGAATATTTATATGAAAATGTTAAACAAATCAAGGCAATCTGAGTCAATAGTCACAATGAAATGAAATAGATGACGTCACTACACATAATAGGCAAGTTGATAGTAGTTGTTAGCCACCCTTCATAATATTCAACTAACAGATTCATTACAATACTCCTAAGAAAAGTAAACACTGGTGAATGATAATGAAAACCTCGTAATTACAAACTATTCAGTTCAGCAAAAAAATAAAAAACACTATACAACCAAATACATTCATTTGAGATGGAAAATGTGCATTATTAACAGTACATACATTGAAATCTAAGTAGTTCGTAGTATACTGATTTTATTTACCATAAAGTAACAATTCAGTTGAAAGAGATAAATAAATTAAAGTTATCTATAGAAGAAATAAATAAAGCAAAACATTTCGAAAAGTCGTTTATTGTCAATAAACATGAGAAGAATTAATTTGTCAAAATAAGTGCACATCATGCTATCTTATAATAGAATAGTTATAGATACAACATACTATTGTTTTTCAATCGATCGGTCTATCAAACTGTACCACATAATACCTATTGAAATTGAAGGAGTAGGGTAGCAGTCATTATTACAGTAATGGAAAAGAAATTAACACTTCTACACAAGTGCATACACTATGTATGACTCATTATATATATAATATATATCACATCAATAAAAATATACACAATGAAGTTGTATCATTATTACTATCCTCACTTTTAAATGATCGAAAACTAACGAACTATGAAGAGAAGTAGGATAATAAATAATGATGAGTAATTTTGACTGTTTGTTTTGTTCAACTCCCTTGCCGAAGTAACTAAACTAAAAATGGTCATATAATCATAAGTACATCGATATACACACAAACAGAACATTTTACAGTTGTGTTTTTGTTCAATAAACAAACATACAGATAATTCATTTTTAGTCTTAAAAAGAACAATCACAATATTGACAATAATGTTACGGATTTCATTATTTACTTCAATTCGTTGTAAAGGTTAATTAAATGAACAGATAAAGACATCCATGCGTAAATAGATGCACTATAAATTGAATATTGAAAACCATTTCAGAAAGGAGAAAATTGTTGCACTTTCTTCTGTTTTAACAGAATAAACGCTTTTGAATTAAAGAAACAAAACATAAAGTCAATGAATATTAATATAATGTGCTAGGATTGTTGAAAGATTATTTCCCATTAGAAAAAAATATACTGAAATACATAATAGTGACATACACATAGACAAAGATTGATTCTGTACTCATTTCTAACAAGATACAATAAATGAAAAAGAGAGCATATAGCATGAGAATATAAGATAAATAAAAAAACAAATAGATAAGAATCGCTTCAAAAAAGGAATGATTAGTGGATTAAACAAAAAACAATGATCCGAATTCATGTTCCCAAACAGCTTGACTTGATTTATTTAATTTCTTCGATAGTTTAATACCGCCACTGCTGTCGCCAGTGCGATTACCAGCGCCCATAGGTAAATTAATATTGGTATTAAATTGATCTGAATTCACTTTACTATTGACTGCATCACTGAGAGACGGAAGATTGAAATTTTCACGTCCTTGCAGTTTTTTTGGTCCATTCATAAAAGGTGGAGATAAATCATGTGGATAGAAGTCACAGGACGAAATCTCATCAAATACTTCAGCCATATGTGCACGTACGGAATGTGCCTAATATGATCAAGCATGACAAAAACAGACAGAAAATATTTACATAATGTCATTAACAAGAAAATGTATTTTGATAAATGAAAATGATTTTCTTTACAGACTGAAGTAAATTAAATAACAACAAATACTGATAAGTTAGTCTATCCTGTACTCCTAACCATGTACTGCGTTTACATTCTCCTTAGCAAGTGTACACGCGTTAGCCTGTAGTACACCTTGGAAAAATACCAGCAACCGTATAAATTTGGCTTAAACACAAGTCTATCGAATATGTATTCATTAAAAAAATCTGTGTAAAAATGTTAAATGTATATACGAGGTATTATCCTATTTCCTATCTTTGAATTATCGCAGCTATGCAGAAAGAACAAAGTAGAAAACTTACTTTTTCACGTTGTTGAGCACAGATTTCATTGAATTCAACTGAATTAAAACATCCACTTAATAAACGATCTTCTTCAACAAATTTCGATGGTTTTTGAATTTCTTCTCCGTCACCTATGTAGATAAATGAAATAAATACATAAGTAAAATTTGTGAAAGGAAAAACGCACAAGTTACACAAAATTACCTATTATCAAAACAAAACAACAATAAACAATTCAACTTTTATCTGCTATGATCAGATACAGTTACAGTCATACGAAGTATAAACTATTACGTGATGATTATATCAAATTTCATCTAGGGAAATAATTGATTGATGAAAGAAAATCATATCCAAATGACAAAATTACAACTGACATCATTTTTGTACGGTAACGTTTATGGAGACAATGAAATTACTCAATCAGTTATGATTAACATAGAGTCTGATACAAATGTATGTCAGTGCAAGTTGGCATACTCGTATAGACACAACGAATTGAATAGTAAATATTTATAAATAATTGTAGTAACAACGAAAGTAAGATGAAACTTTGAATAATTCAGTGCGAAAAGAAGGGATGAATACGAGGAATAAAAATTAGGGAGTAATATTGAAGCTGAAGATTTAGTAGAAGATAAAAATTGAATGTTTTTGTGTCACTGTGACTGATTCTAGGCCATATATATATATATATATATATATATATATATATATATGGTAATCGAAAAACTGTTTCCGCACGGCGCTTGATTATTGATTCCGTATTTAAGAAAATCTTGCGAAAACCACCACCTTATTTTAAGTTCTGTGGGATAATTTTCGCCTTAATCATGATAGGTCAAGGGAATCAACGTTAAGATAACAAAAACAGCACTGTCCTTATGAGACAGAAACATTTGTCAATTTATCAATAAAATAATTGACATGTTGTAAGTTTCATTACGCAAAAAACACAGTATACTTATATACTGCACGTGAAATTAGAGAAGCCTAAAAAAAATAATGATTAACACTGATTATATAGTCTCCGTTTTTTAATTTCATGTTCTAAACATTCTAGTGACATTCAAAATACTATTTACGTTGTAACAGTAAGAACTGCCGATGATACTTGATACTAGAAACCAGCAAAATTTTCGTGGTTCAAATAAGAATACGAAAACTGATGAAGATGAGGGTTTGTTCCATTCTAGAAAATATACGAGCAGTTATTGTAACAGTAGATAACTGGTCCCTGTAAATCGCATGAACCGATTGAGGACGCAAAGATGAATGGCATGGACGTATTTGGCATCAAAAACAAACAAGAAAATTAATTTTCATTTCATTTACACTGATCAACGGTTAGATTTGTACATATTTTAACTGAGCAGTACTTCATATTAATCAGTCAATAACTTACTGTATGAATGCATACTTACAATATCATAAAATTAATCATCTATATAACCAACAGATTATAACTAATATAATCACTCCTTCTTAAAACATGATCACACATTACAAACGATTGGAAAAAAATCAATTGAGTACATCATGCGCACTGTAATAAATTACATCCTTGCTCATCGTATTAGTTAATAGCTGTGCTAGTAAATGGTAATGTTTGGTTGGATCAGTGTTGAAATAAGAGTGTTAAAGCAATAAGTACATTTGCATATTTTTATTTCATAGAATTGCTGCGGCATAAAAACACATTTTGGTGTTAAGATCATATTCAAGTACATTTGAATGAGGTAACACATAATCACCTGATTTAATTTAAAATAATAAAACAACAATAATAATGATTTGTAGATGTAAAAAGAAATATTTTCTATACAGAAAAGTTGCAGGAATCAACACATCACTTAGTATGCATATATATGTAGAGTTAATGCAGCCATTGTACGGCCATAAAGTTATTAGTTTATACAGAGAAATAAACAATGTTACTACTATGTTTACAATATACATTACGTTTTTATGTAGGACTTATCACAAATGAATGTACTTTCACCTTAGTGTTATTACTCACAGCTATTAATTCAGTCTTGAATACTTACAATGAAGGGAAGCAATTGAGTTACTAAAAATTCAGTGTTATATAGTTTGCTTGAAGACAGTTCATATAAAGATTTATTTTTTAAACATAAAAAAGTGGTTTTTTGGTAATGACCATCGGCTTTTTATACTGTGAAATAAAGATGCTTCTTTGAAGAATAAGTTAGCTGAGAATAGGAAGTTATCTTTGTTTTTACCAAATTCAGTGTTCCAATTAATTCTTTTATACTATACAGTCTAACTGTATCAATAAGATAGAGGAAATAATTTTCGGATTTTTTGTACATGCATATTGAAACACGGATGATATATGGTGGGAATTTTTCAGAGATTAAAATTTTGTATTGATACTGTTAATGAATTATCCTGAAAAGATTATGAAAGTGGCATGATTAAAACATTCAACCGAGAATACTTTCCACCAAGAAAAAAAAGCCCGTTATAACAACGATACTGTATACGATGGAAAAATTAGAATGATAAACATTGTAAACAAAACAGTTAAACAATAATAATAATCCTAAATTATTGAATTGAAACATCAAGATTAAAATTGATGGACTGCTAAAAGTGGCCAGATCATCTGCGAATCCCAGATCCTCCAGTTGCATCCTGGCTGTCCATCGTATACCATGTTTCCCTCCAGATATTGACGTCTTCATAATCTAGTCGAGAGTAAGTAACCTTGTCTGACACCGGTCTTCACCTCGAATGAGTCTGTCAGCTGTACTCCGTGCACGATTTTGAAGTTTAATCCATCATAAGAATTCCGTATGATCTGAAGTTATATCAACTCCTCTCTTGGTTCTCACGTCCTTCTGAACCTATTATTGATACAGATATGGTCGATTTGGTTCTGTGCAGTGTGATCCGGTTAAATCCATGTAGCTTTGTGCATACGTTTGTGTGGGAATACTGTGCCGTCGGTGACCAGTTTTTTGAAAACACATAAGTTTGCGAATCTCTCACAATTTCCGTTCCTTTCTCCCAGTCCCTGTCGTCCCATGATATCTTCATATCCATTATAGTCCATTTCAACCTTGGCATTTAAGTCTCCAATCAGAATAGTCAAATTCTTTTCTGGGCATTTCCCCACGATTCACTGCAGCCTCTCGTAGAGTTGATCTCATCGTTGTAGTCATTGGTAGATTCGAAGCATCGGGTGACGTTCATCATAATGTCCTTTCTTTGCTTTGAAAGATGCTTTGATGATCCTGAGTCCATGAGATTCCCATACTATCAAAGCCTTCTGTGCTTGTTTGGACAGTATCAGTGCGTTCCCTTATGTGCGTGAGGCATTTTCTTCTTCATGGGATGGGGACGCCAACCTCATGCCCAACCCTCCTCCATTATCCAGGCTTGGAACTGGCAGTCGCCCCAGAGGGATTCCAGGCAGGGTTTCTAGATAATAGTAACAATAGTCCTCACGACTTACAAAAAACAAAAAATAACTGCTTATCGTTAATCTAGTAAATATTAACTCAGAATTTAGAATCTAACTCAGAATATTTTTGATTAAACAAAAGATATTTTAATCAAAATCTTAATTAAATTAACAAACGAGTTCATTTATTAATTAGTTACATTAAGTACGATTATTCACCTTCATAAAAACATGTCTAGACAAGTTATAAAATTTCAAATAATTAAACAAAGAGTACAAACGAAAGAATGTAAGTTAATATATGAAGCAGTCTAAAGTGAATGACTGTAAACATATAAATTTTCAAGTTAAATCTCACTACATAAGTAAATAACAAGGCTTGATTTAGAACGAAACTTGTTAACTGATTCACCTACATCACAAACATCAAATAATAATAGCACTAGTTCTAAATACTGGGCTTTGATACAATTCATGTTTATTTTCGATTCTTAATACAGTACAGGTGTTGCGCGAAAATGATTCAATTCGATAAATCGATAATATTAAGATATTATATCAGTTTAATAATTTCTTGCCCATTGGCAATGCCAATTGTCCAATGGATTCTATTATGCAATGATAATAATCATGAATTTATAAAATGTCAATAGTTTTTGTTCGTTTGATTTTCTAACATACTAGTAATAACTTCAACTCACTCATCGGATCGGCAGTTTAAAAGTTAGTCAATTTCAATCAATTAAACATATATTTCTATGATGAACATTATCATGACTGATAAAGGGTGGATTTTAAATTATCTGCAGATGAATCTACACAACGAATTCTGATATTCGACAGTTAATCATGATCAAATAACTTAAAACCCTCCAAGAGATGAGCATGTCCAGATAAAGACTAACAAAAAGGATAAGAATTCCGCTTAGGAAATAAACAACAGAATGTGATACAAATTTTTGTAAATAATTTCTAACCATCTCAAAGTCCGTTATTATTATAAAAATCAAATACAGACAAGAATTGCCGATATTAAAACTGAACACCTTATGAATACTGTATGAACAGTTATGTTATTCGTATTCAAAGTTAATTTGAAACATATGTAATTAGACAGTTCATAAGCTGGAGAATTGTTTAAAGGATGGATTTGTAATTTCACGTTCTACATAAGAAAATATCTACACTATTATTTAGGTCATTTACTGTTTTTTAATTGGTAACCAGTTCAGTGTCATACACAGTTACTTAGTGAGCTATTTAGTGATATCTTGAATCGATAAGCCAGTGTTCCTCTTGTAAAAAAAATAAAGTATTGTGAAATCTCATGTTATCAAGGTAGTAAAAAGAAAATTTTGATCATGAAAATCAAACAATAAACTCACTTATTATTTTGCGCATATTCTTGAATGATAAGTATTCATCAACCATCTTATATTTGGAAGGAAAAAAAATGGAAACCGGGAGTTAGAAAAGTGGGTTAACAACATACATATATTGAGTGATGAAATTACTTAATAATATGGTTGAATAGAAGTGTCGCCCAATATTGTACGTATATTTAACGGACAAATAGTGCATGGATTCCTAGTTCGTTACACCTATAACCAATTTGGATAGGATTGAAATTATTTATGTAGTTATATGTATACACGTGAAATATGTTAAATCCTGCACGTAGGGTTTGTATGTTAGTCAAGGCTAAAATAATGTGACTAATTATCCAATCAAAATATGACTCACAAATCTTTTTCTTCCCAGAGTGTTGCACAAACGCTCTACTCAGTGCTGGTTGGACAAGATATTTGCAGCCTTTTTCAGGGCTACTGGTCTTTATTTCGAGGGATATTTTTGGGCATACAAAGATCCACGATCAAATTCATAATTCAACATTTCAAGGTGATTGGACAATACATTACTACAGTTATTCTGTTAACCCTATCTATGGTAATTTCGATGGTTTTACTGTCTCGCTAAACAAATTATCCAGTAAAAAGTACTGACGTTTTTCTTAATTTGCAATAGCTGAAGTTTTTAAAAGATACAATTTTATTCAGATAAAATATATCAAGTAAAACAGAAAATGGAAAAAAGTATTCAATAAGAAATATGCTGTTTTAGCAGCAGTATATTCTTTTCAAAAAATCATTCCACCTTTATGAAATGATTTTCTCTGTCAGTTTGTACATCTGTATGTGAACTCAAAGTATTTGGAGAAAAATACTTTTTCAACACAATAAAATGGTCTGATTGTCGTCGTTTTTGCGACTACAATAATTTGTAGTATTGATGGAATGTATTCGGCAATTCATCAAAGCGCTTAATACTTAATTTAATAAAAATAAGATAAATGATGAGACACAAAAGAGAATGTTGTTGTAAACGACAGTAAAAACAATATGTTCTCAAAATAATTTTCAAGAATTTTTAAAAACAAATCAAATATCACCATTGATAATACTCTCAGTTAAGGAACCGGTAAGAATCGCCGAAAAATGAAATATTTTTCGATAGATCAGTCAATCAGCCGGCCGGCTGTAACCAACGTAAAGCTCAGCACCAACATGAATTGACACAAGCTACTCTAAGTTTGAATCTATCAACAATACACACTGATGGCCTAACATGATGGATCATAATTCACAAGGGCTCAGGTAGGTTTCAGTATGAACAGTTGAGGATGTTAGTGTGTTGTTGAGGGTAGGGAATTTGATCAATGATCTGCATTTTCAACTGCAACTAGTTTAAAATCGATAGGAAATAGTCTGACTAAATGTGAACCATTTATTATCACATTTCATATTCAAATTTTGTTGACTTTGCGCGGTGTAATATATTAAATAGAATACAAAAAATTTTTATTTGGAAAAAATGTCACTACTACTAGTGAATAGTTCTAGATTTGGACTGTGTAGAATTATCACTTTCGAGCAAATGAAGTAAAAACATGTGTATAGTATACAATTTGGTTTTCCAAAGATCTACAAGTATCTTTTAATTGTGAGATGAAATTTATTGACATTTTTATGTGGAAATTTCATACAAATACAACACAAACCATAATAATATACTTACATTAGTTGAATCTGCCACTGAATAAAGACTATCAGTTAGAGAAAAACTGCTTCCAGATTGAACAAAGCCTGTACCACTTTCTATAAATATAATTATAAACATATAAAACAGCATTATTATCACTATTTTAATGATTATTAGTGAATTCTATGGTGAATATTTCAAATATTTTTGAGGCTATAATTTTCACAGAAATGACTGTTTGCATCAATCTGCAATATTATATATGGGCTGAATACGCAAACAATTTTGCAGTTTGAAAACCATACAAAATGCGTAATTTAATAAATTATCATTTAATGAAATACACTGTGAACATTTGAACTCTTGTTAAACAAAACACCGACATTGACCAAGTTCTACGAAAGCTTATTAAGCTGAACATAGAACTATTTACAGAATTTAACAAGGCGTCAACAACATTTTCCAATTCGTATTAGACTAGTCTTGCAAACTGCAAAATTTGCTAGATATATTGAAATTTTTTGATTACAGTGAAGCATTCCCCAGCTCCAGTTTGAATTTAACTGCGATTAGTTTATGTTACAGTGGTAGGTTTATCATTAAAACTCATAATGTAATAAATATATGTAATATAGTCAACAAAAACAAATCTAACATAACAAATTTTCTTGTGAGTCATTTGTACGTGAATAAAAAACTGGCTAAGAAGTTTCAGTGGCCTAAAGTGTTACTTTTCGATAACAATTTTCCATGATTTCAATACGTGAGACAATCATTAAATCGTATTATTATAATTGTAACCGAGAAAAGTTTATAGTCAGCAGGAGATTTCTAGTCAATTACTGGATATGATACCGAATGAAAACGAAAGAAACAGAGAATCTTTTGTAACAAGCACAGAACCTTTAGACGCTGAGTTCATATTTTTAATTTTAGTCATTTTGTAACGTAAATGTCAAGTAGAGAAAGTAGAAAGTTTATGTGACTAATCTAAAGTTAGAAACTAGTAGACTACAAATTTTCATATCATAAAGAAAACAACTTACAAATTCTATGCTAAATGAAACAAAAGAAATTGAGTACCCAATCATACGACACACCACCTTGAATACATAGAAAGACTAATATGTAAGTAATTTTTTTATTGGAACTATGAACCGATAATACAGGCTTAGTGGAGAACGTAATCGATTTCACAGACACATAAATACAGAGAAACAGAGAAAACACAATGGTCAAGTCAATAGAATAACAATCAATTATTCCATGTATACATCTATGTTTAAGTACTTTGTGCAACTATAATAAGAAGTGTTATTAACCAAAATATGTAGAGTCATAAAACCATAAAGTAGATATATGATTTTGCACGTAAACACAAATGCACAACACTAACATTATATACAAATTAGTGAAAAGGTATTATTAATGCCAGAGATATACACAATCGTAACTACACACATACACACACACAAGCGGACGAGATTGATACAAAACTACTCATTTTTCAATATTTTCACATAGTTTAACAAAGTTGGATATTTTTAATCAGCATTATATTTTAACGTAAATATACATAGATTTTTCAATTGAAAAAATGTGAGCTATGTTTGACCAAAACAAAAATAAACAAGAACTAATTGTTTAACTGATACATTTACAAAACATGTCGGGTTTTCATGTGCATTCATTACGTCAAATGAAGCTGAAAGTGACCGAAACTATAATTCTCAAGTAACATAAACGCGCTTACTAATTTCGCCATATCGTAATATACACACGAAGGCCTTGCTAGCGCTCATATGTGATTCCAATGAAAATACAGTAAAGTCGAATGTTGATATAACTTAATAGATAAATATGATTGAATGGATAAAATTGAAGGAAAATTTATATCAGATATTACCTACATCAACAAGATTATATGAATTAGTCAATACCATTGACTACCTAGTATTCGGATCTGATCTAATCCTATCGATCAGATAATAATGAAGTTCTGAATTTGACTTAGTCACGGTGTTAATAAGAACAATGTCCAAATCTGATGAGGCACAGAAGACACAGTTTACCGACAAAATATGTATACCTAATCTTGAAACATCGACTAGCAAGAGAAGTAGATTATTGGCTGTACTCTCGTACCTGCCATCTGAACTTCGAACTAAATAGATCACGCCATGCAATTCGACCGCCTTCCGTTCATCTCGCAGGTAGGTCAGTCAGTTACAACGTAGGACTCCGAAGTTTATACACGTTCAGGTTGCCATACCACATAAGCACAGAGACGCAATATTCGCTCCAAATCCCATAGTAGGAGTGTGATGCGCGCTACCTATAAGTAGTACATGACGTGAGTGTAAACGTAATGTCCGGCAGCAGAAGATGGGGGAACATCAAGAAAGGAAGAGTGGGAACACAATGGAATTTGTATGAAACGCATGAATAGTGAAATGTCAGACAATGGATTGATGATGGATTGAAGATGTGCAAATTAACGGTTACGATATGGTTTTCCTATTTTACTGAGTAACTCTGTAATTTTCGTTAAATACAATTCGGTTGCCCTCACCTGTGTTCTCCTTGACTACAGTAGATGTAGCAGAAGTATTATGAGTATTCGGAGAGATTACGTTTCGAGGATGTAAATCAAGAAATAGGATCTAGTGAAATAAATATGGAAAGAGAAAGAAGTAATGAGGAGAGTCCAAGCTAAGGAAGCATGCTGTCCGACTCCAACACCACAATGGTCGTACATTCATGACAAATGACTCGAACACCTCAACTGATGAAGTTTCAATACTTCATCTATTGATCTGCCATGCCTGCATAGTACTCGTTTCCTAACGACATCAATGCATACTCGGTTGTCCAAGGACATACAAGCAATGCTTCGAAGACATCTATAATCGAATACTAATAACCAACGAGTGTCTTCTACTCTTAATGTACATGTTTCACAGTCATAAAATAGGACGGAACGGACTACTGAGCAATACATTCGTCCTTTGGTTAGCGAACGGATATCTCGCCAACAACATAATTGATGCAGGCTGGCAAAAGCCAGTCGAGCTTTCTGCATCCATGTCGAGATTTCGTCACATACCAGATCATCGACAGTGATCAGACTTTCGAGATATGTGAGGCGAGCAACACGTTCAACTTCTTTACTCTTTATCACCAGTTGAGCTGCATAAGCAGGCCAATTGTGAAGCAACATTTTGCACTTCGACGATGAAAACCACATCACAAACATGCTTGCATTATTCCAGAAGGTGTTCAGAAGACTGCATTTTGTTAGCATCTTCGCCTAACAGAACTATGTCATCAGCATATTCTAAGTCTCCTGGTAGAAGGTCCCTGAAAAGTCCCTATCTTCCCGAGTCCTTACTGTCCCGTTCAGTCCGACAGTGCACAAGCGACTATGTATACCAGCGAGATCCCGAAAAGCATCGTCAGGGCTCTCAGATAAACGAACGGTAAATCGAGTTGCTTCTTTATCTTGAAATGGTGAGGTCAACTGAATGACGCTACTCGGATCCTGTATACGCGTTTCCAAGACTCAACATACATCGATGGCGCGAGATTCTAAAGTGCTAGCTAAGGAGGCCTGTTGTCCTATTCGATACAATGTCCGTACAATAAAAGCTCCAACATGTAGTCTAGAACGTGGTTCCAGGGACCAGGAATAACTTTTCGTGAACTCGCATCGTTTGAATCAGCGATGCAAGGTGATAAAGGGATGTGAGTAGGGTTAGTAGTGGAGATAATGGGGATTTAAGGGGGTGTAGGAAGGATTTGATTTCGACCAATTCGGTCTCGTTACGCTGTTACAAGTGTGAGGGCGGATGTCACTTTCCGGCTGCCCACACCGTGGAAGAGTGTTTCTTGAGAAACCTGAAAAGGAAGGAAGATTAGTGTCGGTCTTAGAGACCTGGGAACGTAACCGCAGAGCCGAAGGGACAGCTGCTTGACGCCGGTCACGCACGGCACATTTATGAGAAGATTTCGATGTGTTAACTACGCTCTCGTTCAAAATGCTCAAGGCCCGAGACGGGAATTCCTGAGGTAAGTTGAGGTGTGACATTTTTAGAGTCAACCTTTCCTAGCCCCTTCCTTCCATTGTGAGATGGCGCCATCGCTGCAGATGCCGGTTGTTCGAGGGAAACACCTTACTGCTGTCAGACTCCTCTACAGTCAGCAGTACGACTTCGCCCTCGGACCTTCAGTTACTGCTTTCAGTTTCATCGTTCTCCAATCGACCTACCTGGCATGGTAGAACTTACAGCCAATATAGCTTGGCTGGGTCATCACGATAGGCAAGCCCGATCACCAACGTCAAGATAACAGCTACTATCAGGACAATGAATAACTGTTGTTCATTTGTACGGTAATTAACGGAAGGGTCTCACTCATTAAGTACAAATCACTTACCGCAGAAAAGTAGCTTCAATGAACTGAAATATGTTGATGATGAAGTTTATTATAGTCAGGGATGAGTCACACTTCTGTAAGGGTCATTGGTATGACAGTGTAGATTATAACGACAAAGAAAAGACATGAATCTATAGCAAGTGAGACTGGATTCCTCCCAGGTACTGTGTAGTTCGCTGAGCCACAGTAATATCCGGACATCTGGTCTGTAACTATGATAAACTACCATTTAGCAAACATACAACTGATTTGTTTCAAGTTACGATAAATACTCCGGTGATATTATTCAGATTACGTTGTATCATATATCAAAATCTGTAGCCCAAAACATTTTACCTAATCGAACAAAAGCCTTGGATGATTTCTAATTTACCCACTTAATACCAATTACCTCAATCCAAAGTGTGTGGAAGAGGGTTCAGGTATGAAGCTGAATGATTGCGAGGGAAGTACTCTAACCGTCAAGTCATTGTGCAGTAGACGGAAAGGATAGTGTAGACCAATAAAATTAGTTTTATTCGCAGTTTCCAAATCATTAACGCAGTAGCAGAGCATTTTACTGCAATAACATTCAATTTAGACGTAGAAAAAACATGCTTTATAATTAAGATAAACACATAATTCAGTTTGCAACAAAAGAATATAGAGCTAAGGTATTGAAAGATCATCTCAACGACTATCACTTGACTATAATATGTAAACAAGTTAGTCATAAAATAGTTTGATTAATTATAAGCAACGAAGAACCAGGTTCATAGAGGCATCAGTTCAAGATGCCACACTATTTCAGCTCAGTGACATGTCACAGTAGTAAAATTAATAACATTATGTGTGGTAAAGCAAAAGATTTGGCATAGACAAGATGATTTTAGAAGAAATAATAAATTCGTGAAATAAGTTTGTTTAATACAGTGTTCAGAAGATGGAAACTACTAATTCTCCAACAAATAAAATCAAATACTTACGACTAATTTCACGACACAGCATTGTTGCATCTAAACATGTTGAATTCATACGCACACCAGCAGTCGAGTTTGCAATACTGGAATTTTTGTCATCAACAGTGCCATAATAACTTGAGTGATTGGTAAAATGTTCATTGCCGTTTATACGTGGATAAATGACACCATCAATCAATGGATCAGGAGATTTGCCATCATATAATCGTAAATAAATCGGATTATAGGGAATCGACAAAACGGTAGTATCATAACCAGCGTTGATTAATGATTCAGTTATTTTATCTGACGAAAACAATAGATCATCGTTTATTTCAAATTCAGTTGGATAGCTGTTTGACAGAAAGAGCAAAGGAAATTTTAAAAAAAAACAAAGTTGAAACTAATATTACTACTATTAATCAATGAGGGAGAGACAACAGATAGAAAATAACATTGATCAACTCCAGTACAAAAAGATGTTAGCTTGAAAACAACTATGAATTGTGAGGGTAAACGATGTCGACCTCAGATGACAATGTATTAAGATAGTACTATAACTAAACCCAAAAATAGGAACTATTGCGATTTAGACTGTTGGTATAGCAGTCATCATTAGAAATGAGGGTTATGAGTTCTGTTCTGAGTGAATTAATGTATGCACAGATGCGCAGGAGCGCTGATGTAGAAGTGAATTGAAAGAAAGCTCAGGGCGGCAAAACCGACACGTGGCATCAATCTATGGGGTCATTTATTGTTAGACTGACACATGTTAGCAGATACAGACCACCTTACGATTGTCGTAACCAATGGTTGAAGAAACGGAGTGACATGTCTCAGAATCAGTTACAATGGCGAAGATACATGTTATTTCTTTTCCATTATTTCTTGGGTTTCGAAAAAATTTCATAATTTTTATCCCACGAATTCGATATTTCTTCTAAAATCATCTTGTCTATGCCAAATCTTTTGCATTACCATACATAATGTTATTAATTTTACTACTGTGACATGTCACTGAGCTGAAATAGTGTGGCATCTTGAACTGATACATGTATGTACCCGGTTTATTATTTCATTGACTGACTGATTCGATTAAATGTAAGACAGTTTGTCAGTAGGAAATGGTAGAAGCTGAGTATTATTGAAAAAACATGACCGGATTATTGATGAATCCATGTTTCGGTGGAATACTTTGTACATGGATAACACACATAACATATAGTTGACCTACTATTTAAGCTTACTATCTTTAAAAAAAATAGCAGGTTTAGATTCAGAGCTAAGTTACATGAGCAAACCATCGGTTATATTTCAGCATTTCAACATCAAATAGTGACAACATAGCATACACATTTTCAAAACTGTGACAGCGAAAAAGTGTTTAAGGGCGTTAAGCACTCAACCAACAGATCAAAGAAGCAAACCCGTTCCATCTATTACATTTATAACTTACGCTCTGAGAGAAACAGTAGTGTATCCCTGATGAGTCGATTACAAGTCAGTCAGTTGCAACGTAGTACTCCGACGTACATACACACGTCCAGGTTGCCATACCACATTAGCATAGAAATGCAATTGTCAATTTAGATCCCATAGTTGTAGAGGCAGTAGAATTATTACCCGATCGTAGCTGCTACCTTGACGTGGTGGTCGGCGAAAGCAGTAGAGAGGGAACAGGCAACAATGATAGGTAACATTAAGCAACTGTTTTTCCTTATCAAGGAGACTGGTACTAGAAATCCATCTGTCAGCGTAACTATCTCGGAAAATGAAGGTCGTACTAGGTAAGGATGACAGATGAATCGATAAATTAGTGATTGTTCATCAGTTGAGGTGGTTGGGATATGTGTTACATATACCTAACCACCGACTGCCTCTGTGAACGATGATGCCTGGTGTAGGGGGAGGGTGGAAGAAAGCTAGGGTTGGACAAATTAAAACATGCTTCAAATTCATGAAATCACTGACAAGTGGACTGACTCATGTTTGTAAGTGTAGACTACCTGGTCAGGGTCTGCGAGATAATAGTAATCGATTGTTAGAGACTTCGAATGATATGGCTTAATGCTGTTTGCAATGCCGCAGGTGCATTCACTCTTTGTGTTCTCTCAAATCCTAATCTTATGAATTCCTTATCACTTCCACCTTTCTATTTCTAAAGCTATCGCACTGAATTATACTTTTTGAATAATATCTTCGAACCCTAATCTCTCCAATTACTGCTAATAATTCTACTGCCTCTACAACTATGGGATCTAAATTGACAATTGCATTTCTATGCTAATGTGGTATGGCAACCTGGACGTGTGTATATACGTCGGAGTACTACGTTGCAACTGACTGACTCTAAAATACCTATTTACCAAGTATAAATTCATAAAATTGGTTTTGAGTCATACATTAAGTGTGAGGGCCATTGATACTATCCGTCCCTCAAACAGAATAAGGTTAGACGAAGTTTATGTTTGAGACCTAATTGTTTGAAGTTGAACGCTTTAGCCACTGAGATATCGGTTGCCAGCAATTTTTGATAGTTGAGCAGTGAAAGTTTTATGGATTCAGATAATTAACGCGGACGAATTGAAAAAAAGCACAAGTTGATGAATAATTTATGCATGATAACAATATAGAAACTACCTTTCCACAGTATTTGTTCGATTAAATGCAACAGAAGGCAATAACCAAGGTGCTGTGTCTCGTCTACGTTGAATAACCTATACAAAGTGGAGGAAAATAAGCTAAGCAAGAATTTTAACTAAAACACAGTGAAAAAATCGAAGTTTGCAACATATAAATGCAGTTAGTGAAGATGTATCAAATTTGAAGATCATGAATTAACATCTGCTAAGATACCACAGAAATATATAGAATAGTAGTGTGGTGCGCGCTACTTATGTCTGGCAGCAGATGGGGGAAGAAGATCAAGAAAGGAAGAGTGGGAACACAATGGAATTTGTATGAAACGCATAAATAGTGAGATGTCAGACAATGGATTGATGATGGATTGAAGATGTGCAAATTAACGGTTACGATATGGTTTTCCTATTTTACTGAGTAACTCTGTAGTTTTCGTTAAATACAATTCGGTTGCCCCACCTGTGTTCTCCTTCACTACAGTAGTAGTGTATTTTAAACTGCTCAGGATGGATCCACACACGATTGTCCTTAAAACCCCGTATTCGGGAAACCTAAGAAAATTTAATCAGGGTCACTAATCGCTTCAGAAGTAAAGTGAAGGCACATGATCGGGTCATTATGTTAATTAGGGAAACTTTAAAAAATTCACTGGTCGAAGACAGAAATCTCTGTGCATAAGTAGCATGACATTCAAATCATCAATCAATTATTGCTAGACCACCATTAGAAACCTGGAAGCACTGGACGGCCGTTCCATCCACGACTCCTGCGTCTCGCAGGACTCGAATCCAGGACCTTCGGTCTGGCGCGAACGCCTAACCTCTGGACCACTGGGCCGGCAACCAACGGTGTTAATATCTAACTCTGATCATAAGTTACATAAGTTTTTAGTGACATTGGGAATTTCCAAACACTTTGTGGCATATTCATCTACTTATCAATAGGCTAACAAATTTCCGAAATAATCATAAATATTACTGCACAGCTTCCGTAAATGATATCGTCAAAAAAATAAAAATTTTGATTCTTCGAATTATTTGTAACTATTTTTCAGTTACAGATAGGTATTAAGATAGTATTAACCTCACTAAAAATACAAAAGAAACGAGGATTTAACAGTAAATGAGATCGTAGATACAGGCATACATTTATGATAAGCAACTAAAGTTCACTTACGGTGTAAATATGTTCACTAAGTGACTGAAGGTTAATTAATTGAACAAGTAATGTTATTGTACTAGCTAATAATGCATGTAAAGCACAACGATGTGTTAACGGCATATATGTATTTTCATCAATGATTTTTGTTTGAACTGCTAAGATTAAACGAAACAATTCTGTAATAACCTGTGGAAAAATACAACAGAATGAAATAAATAAATAAAATTAAATGAAAGAAAGGAAAGACTAAAGCATGAAACATGTGGCTTGAAAACAAATCAGCAACGATGAATGTTGAGTCGAAATTCACAATTTTATAAAAGAGAATGTAATTCGTGTTTTTACAGTCATTTTTGGAGGAGTAAAACAACAGGTTTTCAGAAAATGTAATTCATGTTACATAGATTTGCTAACTGCTACATAATGCCTAGTTATAGTAACTGTAACGATATTGTACCAGGACTGTTTTCATTTGATGTTAACACCACTAATAATAAAACTTGATGGTAAATGAGAAAATCGATCTAAAGTGTAATATTGAATTCAGAAGAATTCATGACTGAGGTTTCAGATTACATGAAACACATCAGATGTAGGTATTTACCGGTAGTCGCATGTTGTATAACTAAACAATTCGACTAACTGAGTGACACTTGGGACGCTTACTGAACAGTGTGATTGATTTTATCAATTCATTCTTAATTTGAAGCTGTGAGAATTACCAGTCGATTAGACATTATCATTTAACTGACAAAAACAATCGTGATTGATTCTCATTGTTATTTGATAGGTTACGTAAAACTTTTTGATGTTTATGTATATGTAAGTGCATGATTTTTCTAAACAGTTGGGTTTGTAAAGTTTTTATTCAATTACTATACTACCACTTGCATAAAGTTCATAATTATCAAAACAGATTAAGTCATGTTTACATATTTACAAAAAATCAATAGATATATGCAAACAATGTTGAGCATAATATTAACCTGAGTCCATCAAATATCTTGAGGCAAAACAGATCAAGGTATTCACTATTAAATCATAACGAAATCATTACAATTTACACTAAACTAAATGCATGCACATGTATAGACGGATGAGATTCCATAACGTCAGTCAGTCAGTTAAAACTTAGAATTACGAACGTACGTGCATCAGTTCACGCCGCCATACCATATTAGCACAGAGAGGCAACTGACTCCTTAGATCCCATAGTTGTACAGGTAGTAGAATTATTAGTAGTAATAAGGGAGATTAGAGTTTGAGGATATTATTCGGAGACACCTATAATCAAAAAACAGTACCCTACGAATATCCTCTACTCTTAATGTACATGTTTCATAGTCATAAAATAGTACAGAGCGAACTGATGCGCAGTACACTCTCCGTTGGTTAGTAAACGGATATCTCGCCTACGCCATAAAATATGCAGGCTGGCAAAAGCCAGTCGAGCTTTCTGCAATCATGCCGAGACTTTGTCACACACTAGGTCTTCGACAGTGATTAGAATCCCGAGATATGTGAAGTGATCAACACGCTCAAATGCTTCAGTCCCTATCAATAGTTCAGGTGCCGATACAAGCCAATCGTGAAGAAACATTTTGCATTTAGACGGCGAAAACCGCATCAGGAACATGCTTGCGTTACTTATGGCGCAGGCGAGATATCTGTTTTTCTGACTGAAAGACGAGTGTACTAGGCAGTAGTTCGCTCCATCCAAATTTATGGCAGTGAAACATGGCAAGTCAGAGTAGAAGGTATACACGTAGGTTGCTTGTTTTTGATCACAGTTGTCTCTGAAGCATTGCTCGTGCATCATGGGACAATCAAGTAAGCAATGCTGTTGTTAGGAAACAGGTACTAGTGAGAATAGCAGACCAATAGATGAAGTAGTGAAACTTCATCAGTTGAGGTGGTTGGGACATATGTTACGTATGACTAAACACCAACTACCTGGAAGAGATATGTTTTGCGACGTAGGAATAGGTTGGAAGAAAGTTAGGGGTGGTCAGATAAAAACATGGCAGAAATCCATGAAGTCACTGACAAGTGGACCAAGTCAAGTTGGTAGGTGTTGACTACCTGGTTGGGGTCCGCGAGATGTTAGTAATCGATGGTTAGAGACCCTGAATGACACGGCTCAAAACCGTTTACATTGGCGCAGTTGAATTCATTTTTTTATTCTTCCACGTCCTAACCTCCTAATTTTCTCATCACCTTTATCTTTTTTTGAGTTTCTTTCACTAGATGCCACTTCTTGAATAAAGTCTTCCAACCCTAATCTCTCTGATTACTGCTAATGCCTTTATTACCTCTACTACTATGGTATTTGAATTGACAATTGCATCTCTGTGATAATCTGGTATGTAAACTTGAAATGATGTACAAACAAAGTTCCAGGATGTTGCTGACTATTTTACTCGCAAAATCAAATTGTTATTATGATACAATAGAGAAGTTATTGGCTAGTTTGTACGAATGTAGCCGGTGAGACAATTTTGATGACAGTTAATAAGCCCTCACTCAATCAGTAATATTCGAGCACATAGCTTGTATAAGATTAACGCACTTCTGTGCCACTCCTTTCAGTGATAAACACTACCATAGAACCTAATGATAAACAGAATCAAATGCCGGCATAAGGTCATGGAATATGACTGTTGTGGGACTTCTGAACGTGTCTATGTTCTAGCGCCTGACGTAGTGTGAAGATGTGGTCTATACATCGATGTCCAGGTCGGAAACCAGTATGGCTTTCTCGAGTCTGCTCTTTACGAGCTCTAGTTAGGCATCGGAGTATTACTGAAGCCAATCGTATACACTATATTAGTTGAACTGATTCTTCTGTGATTGTCACAAGAAGACTTTTGTCCTTTCTCATAGACTTGGACAACCAGTGATTGACAACAGTTGTATGGGATTACGTCCAGTTCCCAGATTCTACCTAAGATCTCAGTCAATCTAACTACTAAAATTAGACCACCATCCTTAGAAATCTCAGGGGTAAGCCTGTCAGGACCATATGCTTTCCCTCGAATTAGGTTTACTATAGTTATCTCAACGTCATTAAGAGTTGGAGGATTTATATCAATTTGCCATTCAGGTTCACTAGGAAATCGTGGGCAACCGAAGTGTGGCTGGAGGCCAGTTGAATCGATAACCAGCTACTACTAACTATATCAGAGCGCCTAACGATTTGGAGGAGTTCTAAAAGCTTTTTGTAAAGATCATCTTTTACCTCGTCTGAAGTGGAGGCGTAGGCAAATACGACGAGGAGGCAACGGTGAGTTTCCCTATCTTTAAGAGTTCGTACCGTCCCGTTTAGTCGGACAGCGCATAAGCAACTGTCAATCGGGATCCAGTTTAAGAGAGCTAGTTCTGTCCTATGAATCAATACTAAACCTACACCAGCGATGCCACGGAAGCAGCACCAGAGCTACCAGAAACACGAAGCGTGTATAGAGATGGTTCTTTATATTGACATGATGAGGTCAAACGAATGACACTACTCGGATACTGTATGCGCGTTTACGAGACGCAGCATACATCGATGGCACGGGATTCCGGAGTCCTAGCTAAGGAATTCTGTTGCGCTAATCGACCTAAGGTTCGAAAATTAAAAACACCTACATGTAGTATAGAACGGGGTTTCAGGAGACCAGGAATAACCTTTCGTGAACTCGAATCGTTTGCGCGGCCCCAGAGTCTAAGGGACAACTACTTGAGGCCGGTCATGCATAGCCTTTTTATGAGAAGTTTTCAAGGTGGTAACTACGCTCTCGTTTAAAGAGCCTGAAGGCCGGAGACGGAAATTCGTGAGGTAAGTTGAGGTGTAACTTTTGTGGGGTCAACTTTTTCTAGCGTCTTCCTTTCATCGTGAGATGGCAGCATCGATGCAGATGCTGGTTGTCCGAAGGAAATACCTTATCGTTGTCACAACCCTCAACAGTCAGCAGTACGACTTCGCTCCCACTCCTTGAGTTGTTGCTTTTTAGTCTCACAGTTGTACAATCGACCTGATGGTTGGGTTATCATGATAGGCAAACCCGACCACTACGTGAAGACAGTAGATACGGTCGTGGTTTACCACAGAAAATCAATTTTTATTAAAATATCAGGGAAATATAACAGCGTAATAGATTAAAAATTATACAAAAAAGCCTTTGTAAACTAGATGTGTTTGAGGTTTATGAAGATCATTCAATGAAAAGTTCGCTTATCGCCAAACAGTATCGTAAATCGATTGAGTTTGGAAATAAGTATCACTAGAGCTTTGACCTGATGGTCTAAAAGTTTAATTCTAACTGCGAGACCTAGAGGTTTTGAAATTCAGCTTCACGTTCGACCATAGGTACATAATGACAAAGAATCACAAAATATGATAAAACATTTCCCAAATTATCCTCTTTAATTTCGATTGCGTGGAAAAAGCTAACTTTAGAATACGAAGTTGACCAGTCAAAACGGCTTATTGTCAGTTATATGTGGGTGGTAACTGCAGTACAATTTTTTACATCGATGATGATTCTGAATCGCATTTAAATCTACAGAACACTGTAAATATCTTGTTTAGATAAAATGAAATACAAAATAAATTTTATTTCATCCTTTTAATATTTAGAATAACCTACATGACAAACTGTTTATTGATACAACAAAGATTGATTGAGCGGAGAGTCCTAGTTTTGGACGATTCATTATGTGAGCTGTACAATCGCAAATATATACTTTTTTCACATGGTGATAATTACAATAATAAATGCAATAATAAAAATTTTGGTAAACATGATAAAAGTGAGGAAAATTAGATAAAGGTGCAAAACGATATTTCGATTTAGGAATTCAGAATAATTTTGTTGAGAGCTTGAATATTCATTATCATTCCGAATGAAATTATCACCATGTGAAAAGAGTACATATTTTTGGATTGTACAGCTTCTATAATGAATTTTCGGAAAAGAGAATACTTTGGTGAACTAATGAGTTGATTAAAACGCAATTCACATGTAAGTAAAACAAAATTGCAACAACCAACCTGTTCTGCACCCATTTCTAATGCGACCAATCCAACAGTACATGACAGATATTCTAAATTGTCTACTTTATTGCTAGGATCTAATAACTGATGATAAATATTTTCAATGAATAATACACCAGTCTGTGGTAAGAAATCACAAGAAATAAAAAAAAAATTTAGGTGTTGTTGTTATCGGCATCAAATATATATATATATATATAGTGTTTAGAATTCCATGGCAGTATCGTTGTCTACTGGCTCTAAATGAATTAGGAAAACCCTTCACTGTTCAGCAGATATTAATTACTGATGGGCAAGATTGGTTTTAGACCCCTCATCACATTGACAATATTTTCCTCAGGATTGTAGATACGAACTGGCGAGTGTCTATTAGCAGAAAATTTACTTTTATGCTTTGACCGTGTCGATCGCCTCATGTTATAAAACATCAAAAACAATTTGTATCGCGATATCCTGTCACTCGGACCAGCGTGATCCAATGTCTACTCGGCGGATAGAATTTAATCAACATCGAGACATAGACAGTTAAACATCAGGTGATACTAAACATAACATAAAGCGATCGCATATCTGTTACAATGACAATCACCGGCACTGATGAGAAAAAAGCTATAGGGCAGTATCTTACATTGAATGGTTGAAGTGTAAACTAATTTACCTACTTGAAATATTATTTCAGTAGTATAAATGTTACAAAAAACTTTCAAATCAAAAGAATAAAGAGCCTACAATAACGCAGTTCTATCGCATTCATTGTACTATACCATACTTTATTTAAAATCTTTCTCATATTTCGATTATATCATTTTCATTTCCTATCTGTTTTACATCCTAAAGAGTATGTATTGCTACATGATATATAGAGACATTTATCAATTTGACTCTAAATAAAGCAATATATTTACCTTTTTCATGAATAAAATATCTTGCCTTTCAGGTTTTTCCAATACAAAATAATTGCTTAATTCATTTTCGCCGTAAATTCTTAAGCAACAAAATTAGAAGCATGAGGAAACAAAAGAAGAATGAAAATTAATTCAATTAGTAATTTTAAAGACTGGTTTTATTTCAGTGGAGTATAATATTCATATAAGCGAATAATGGAAGTAGTAAAAGCCTATTAAATTCAAGAAGAATGCAAGTGATCTGGTAGCCTCAAAAGCGCTTATATTCAAGTAACATTTGGTTAGTTGGCACTTCTGAGGATGAGTCACTGAAACAATATCAGTTCTGTAAAATTTCTGTAACCAAATTGATTATTCTGAACGGAAATCTTTGTCATCCAGTCAGTTCACAGTTTTCTTGAACATAAAATTATTTATACCGTGCTTTAAGAAAATTTGATGCAGTTTGATTGGATGTAATATGGATTGTTTTGGTTATATGGTAAAACGTAGTGTAACATTGAAATTGTATGAATAGATTTTTTATGCTTTATCAGTAAATCGATATTAGATAACATTGATTTATATCAACTGACACAAACACAGATAGATACAGAATAGAAATTTATACAATCTATACTTGCTAATAATAATTCATGTAGTTCGGTAAACGCTTGACGCAGTTCGCATCCACTGTCGACCAAGCTTTAACAATCAGAGCTGGTAATGTTACCAGGAGCTGATCAACAATGAAATTAGATGGACTAGGTCTTGGTACAGATGATCTAGTTTCTAAACATTGGATACCTTATATAGCAAGCAAAGAAAGCCGTAAATGTTGGAACGATTATATACAACTGTTGATAGATTAAAAAAAATTGATAATAAAGAATTGAAAAAAAATGATGTGAAATGAAAAAAAATGAGATAATATAGTTGTGGTGTTATGTAGTTAGAAGCTATATAAATCGATAAATCACACTAACTACTAAATGATAAACCGAATACATTTCGGTTACTTAAAAGTCGCTAGAACCCTTGGACAGTAAAGGGACAAATGGGTTTCTGTGTTATCTTGTTAGACTTTCTGAAGTGAATACGAAAGTTAAATTTCTCAACGATTGTATTCATAAACACAGTGCTACTGGAAAATTCTGCGAAGAAATTATACCTACCCTAACTCCAAATCTCTGAAACGACATGTACAAGAGACTATCGATTAAACACATTCACATATTTCGGAATTAGAACTTGATGTTTCACAAAGATTTATCACCTAATTAAACACCATCTTTTCACCGAATATGTTACTACAGTTATCAGCAAACAGTTGCAAAAACTAATTTTGGATCTCAGTATATGTTTAAAAACTACATAAACATAACACCAAGTCCCGATTGATCCTGAGAAAAATGAGTTTATTCATTCTTTAATATCATTATCGAATATGCAATTAGAAGCCTCATTTATTTATAGAAACAAAATTCTAAGATATAAATCATAAAATCAATAAAATTCATACATTCATTCATAAAATTCATTCAATTCAAAAACAAGCAGACAAATAGTCTTAACCCGAAATCTGGTCAGAAATTTCAACGTGTTAAATCGATTCTTCTTAATAATTGCAATCAGTATATGAACAAAAAACTAACAGGTAAAAGTCTTCTAACAACAGAAACTACTTAGAAACAACAAAAAACTGTTAATAATACGTCCAGGCAAAGGTGTAGGCGTAGTGCTGATACATCATAATCATGTAACTCACGAAAATATCTAAGAGTGTATAAAATCAACAGAGTCAAAAACACCACAACTAAATGGTCTGCCTAAAGTGTACAAATCTGGCCTACCTATCCGAAGAACTCTTGATATGTTCGGATTCCCTAACTACTCTGTGGTTAAGTGCCTGGAAGATCTCCTGGAACTCGTAAGAAAACGTATTTGTATACATTCTCTACATGACACTTGAATTCAACCACTACATAAAAGAAGCGAATGTACATGACGAACTTATGATCTTACTTGGTTTCAAATCACTATTCACTATTGTTCCACTCACATAGAACATTAGTTATATCTACAAATGCATAAATGATAATAGGATTAATATCGGACTACCAAAATTTTAATTAAGGGAATTACCATTGCGATGGATATTTGATATAACATTTACATTCAACGACGAAATTTATAGACAAAAGAATGTCATAGCAATGAGATCTTCCCTTGGTCCATTACTAGCAGGTTATTTTATGACCAGATTGGAAAACAATCAACTTAAAATGACTATTGACAACTTCCATTTGTATAAAAGATACATGGATGTTATCTTTATTATTTGAGAAGAATATAATTTGAGTCATTTTCGAAAGGCATTTGATAATTACCACGTGGCAGGAGTTGGAAGCAAACAAATGACTAACCTCCTTGATGTTGAAATGACAAGAAAACACAATAGAACTGTATGAAGATTTATCTAAAGGAAACCCCTATGAAGTGCTCAGTTATCAAGCTTCCACAGCGCGGTCCTCATTAGTCGAAAGTGAAACTTATTTATATCGTTTGCTACACAGACATGAGGAATTTTCAGTCCCGAAGTAAGAAATAATGAATTGACCCTATTAAACAGAAGACTTATGGAAAACCGGTATTCATTGGAATTCATTGATAAGAACATAAAATTCGAAAATCTTAAAGCACGGATAACCTCCGTACCACTTTGCGATTAGTGTTCTCTAGGTGACTACTGTTTAGTAACAGTCTACATGATAACTTATCTAATTCGACCACTTACTTTGCATTTATCAGTTTACCTGTTCATGTACAGAGGTCGCTCAATGAACATTTTATCTAGGACAAATCAAGAACATTACCAGGCCTAGCTGAAAAAAGGTGGAAATAGATCGATAAGAAGCTTTATAATTGAAGACCTTGTTCACACACACAGGTCATTCGATTAAAAGGTACTCAACATTAAAAATGCTTTACAAGGTAAGTGGAAAGCTGCAGTTAGCTTCTGTTTTCTTAGCACTACCCAAGCATTTGCTGTACGTTTGAATGAGCCTGAATTGTGTGTACGACAGAGAATTGTGCAAATATTTCTTTAATCGCGGCTTTGAAGACGTGTAATTTCTATCTTATTTTCTTCTTTTACAACCTCTGATTCTCTTTTATTTTTTTCACTATAGAATTTTTACTTCCAATTGATTTGTGTCCGTTTCTATGATATTCCTGTTTGTAGTTCATCTGAATTTCAATATTTTATTTTATCACACTTAGCCTTTACATTTCATTTAAAATATTCTATCTTCACGATAGAAATTCAAAATCTAAACAAATGCATTATTTGAACTTTTTAAATCACGAAGTGATGTTAACTAGACCAGCAGTGAAAACTTGGAAGCACCGGACAGCCATATATTCCTAGTGAGAATCCATGACCAATGGAGTTTAATATGTGTTCAATAGGAGACAGTTATTCGCCACAAACAATGAATGAAGATTTGTGCAAAATCATGGATTCATTGGAGTTAAAAATTAACATTATTGTATAACAGCTCAGTAGTCTAGGGGTTAAGTGTTTGCGCGCGAGATCGAAGGTCATGTATTCGACTCCCGTATGCGAATTCCCATGTTAGAACGAGGCGACAATCCAATGTTTCTAAATTTCCTTTAGTGGTCTAGCTAAGATTACTTTGTGGATATTCAATTGTGAAAAGAAAATCTCTATAAACTTCCATACTAATAGCAACGTTATTAGTAGTTTCCTAAATAAAAAATGACAGTTTTATGCCTTTGGTGTGTATTAATTTCACTATTACTATGTTTTGAAAATTGATGGCAGCTTATGCTCCATTGGGAGTAACGGGCGTAAGTAAGTAAAGTAGTGTTTCGCAAAATTTCATTATTGCTAAGTTTATAATTGCGACTTTACAGCTTTGATAAAAAGTAGACAGGCATACATAATCAATATACAGCGTGGCACAGATGTTCATTTCGAAAAAGCTAACAAACTTCACTAAAATGATGAGATGAAAAAATCAAAGAGAATAGGGTTTGAAGAAATAGAGGGGTATAAATGAATGGAATGAATGAAGGGATATCGGAATTCAAGATCAAGAGCGAATCGATCTGGGTCATTGTGAGAGATTTTGAGCCATGTCACTCACAGTTGCCAACCACTTATGGTAGTTATGTCTCAGATCTCAAAAAATAATGTGCTTCTAACAACATGGGACAAACAAACAGCTCACGACTTTATAGACTGATACCAAGTTTCGGTTTGGCCTCCCTGGCTTCCTTTCCAACCTGTTTCTAACGGACGCGAAAATTTCGACAAACAAAACATGATGTTGAATATTTTGGTGATGCACATTGTCTACAGCACAAGCCAATTATCTCAATATTTATTATGCGCCATTGTGAAGAAATGTACTCTATTCTACCACACAATTATTTTGATCGTTTGTAGGAAAATGATATCCTATGAATGTGATTAGCGCAATATATGTACCTTTTGAATTTAGGCATTCAATGTTGAAATAATTACGACCAATATTATATCGGAATAATCTTAAGCTATTTCAACGTCCTATTCTAGTTGAAACCGAATGGAAAGAAACTCATGTTTATATAAATAAGACTTGGTTTTGGTTCATGAAGTGACTATGTATTGAACTGAGTATAATACGAAATTTCATTTTTTGAATTGTAAATGACAACTGAAACTGGCAGTCTTAAAAAGCCCATATTAAAACTGATGCAACTCATTTTATTTTCATTTTGGATTTTGAATATTTTATTATTTTGTATTCCTTCATTTCTTTATTTCGACTAGTTTCCGATTCGTCAATATGTTATGTTTAACTCTGTTAGTGTGCATCTATTTACTATGGAGAGTACCACAACCGACAAGCACACAATACGTGTAGAATAATAGGAAATTCGATAACATTCATCTTACCGAACAGTCAACAATTGCTCTGTATTACCATGTCGGTCAATTAAAGTATGTAGTATTTTCTGTACAATTATTCGTATAACAGGATCTGGATCAATAGCGACACCACGTAATAAAAGATTTAAAAAATCCGAATTCAATGCATTTGATATAGCTACTGTTTTATACTGTGTGGCGACAGTTAGCATAGTTTGTAATAGGACCATAATTAACGGCTTCGGACGATCACCATACTCTGGATGATAACTATTAAAATAAAAGAAATATTCAAAGTATAATGGATGCAGAAAAATTAAAATCCGAAAAAAGCTATGAATCAACGTAGACCCTGTTCATAACGGTGCATTAGTTCAAGTTGCATTACCACAATAACGCGACAAAATGTAGTGTGACATTAAAGCAAGCAAGAGAATAGTATGATTTTGGCAATCGAGTAAATATTAATAACTTTCAAGCAACAGACGTAATTCATATCCTACTTGACGTATGAATCAAATAACTAAAGATCACTTCATTCAGTTTCAAACAAAATCCAAGTGCATTATTACACATTATGTCATGCACATAAATTGTTTGATCTAATATATGCATCCCAATGAAAATTTCTTCAAAAAGCAAAAATACTATTACTGAAGTAAACTCAAAAACTCGTTATATGTACTGTGAAAAAACATGTCGATTATGTTGAATAATATTTGATTGGTTACTGATCAGTATTTTGCGGAATTACATGCGATTCGAATGCAGAACTATTTGAGAAAAGTGAAGATTAGCTCTTTAGAGCTGGTAAGAGACTAATTTATCTGTGCTATATAAATCTGAGTGCTGAATACTAGAGATATTAATTTCCTACCCACCTCTTATATTCCAACTACCTAATAAAATTTGGACATCAGATAAAAATATGTATGTAATAATATACAAAAGTGTGGTAAGTTTTAATGTAGATACGAAAAAAGCATAAATATGGTGTTATGGAAACCTTCGAAAAAAGATGTTGAAATGGTTATTGTTCAGTAGGTTTGATTAGAAACTAAAGTGGAAAAGTACAAATACATGGACTTTTGTGATTTTCCAGAAGCTCTAATTGCCTACCTGTAAATGAGTTGGGATTTGAAAGAACTAAGAAACTAATATAAAATGTAAAGTTATTCATGAGACTTGAAAATATGTAAGGATTAGATACTGGTTCCCAGATGCTCAGGTATGGCAGAGAATGAGAAGAGTCTGCTCTCCCCTTCCAAAGGCTATCTGGTTGTAGACCAATACGGATATAGAGCCATCAACTTTTTCTGGCAGCGAACGCACATAATTCGCCACGTGGTGTTGGTTGACGGTTAGGGATACAACACAATGTTTGTGTTTAATTAATAAAACTAGATCTCACTAGATCAATGGTATTGTCTTTACATGGCGATTTGAGAACTACCCCGTATTTAAATGTGCTGTTCACATTAATGATAAGATCTAAAGTACGGCAACATAGTTATTTAATACTCTTCAATTTTCAAGCTATTCAACTGATGACGTCATAGTTCGTGATAAAACTTAATTCAACCTATAAAAAGTCACCAAAAAAATCACGTAACACTGTAATCCAATAATCAACTGAGAAAAAGTCGCCTGTACATCATTACATGCCAGAAAATCAGTTCATTCGAAATTGCATGACTATTAAGAGAAGCTCATAAGATAACAACAATAACCGTTACTAAAATTGACCGATTATAACTTGGCATCCTCTTATATAAAACTGCGGTCTCTATAGCTTTAAATAAGACAATCAATATTTATGAGAAAAAGGTGAACGAAAGATGGATTAAATCAGACAGCAAACCAAATGATTTGATGCTTCTGATCACTTCACTTCTCAGTATGTACAGCACAACACAATACTTGATATGGTTATTATTCGGACATTGACTATTCGATATTGTAAAACAAAATACCATTCAAGAATTTTTTAAAACCCCAATCGTATTCAAAAGCTATTGTATGAATTATACACATGTATATGTTCTGGATATACAGCATCAAATGATTAGTTTTCGATAACAGTGGCACTATACAGTACTATGTAGTTATACAACACGATACAAAGAGACAAAGACACTTATTTAAAAACGTGAGTGCAAATTGTGGCTATTAAAGGACTTACTTAACCATTGGCTCAAAGTTCAATATAAATTTCAATATTTCAATTTTCTGCGTATCTGGGAGATTTTTAGCGAATTCGGCTATAGTGTTGATAATTGCCTCTTGAAACTGACGTTCTCCGGATAATTTCCGATTAGAATCATTAAATGATTGATCAGGATCGGATATTTGTGAAGTTTTATCAATACTGGCTTTTAAGATCTAAAGAGCGCGATGTTAATTGGAATTACAGCAAGTGAAAGAATAAAAAAAAAGTCTATCATATGTATATCTATACCCTAGCGAAGTAATTTGGAGGATTCTTAAAAAAATTTACGATTGGTATTCAAAGACACATAGCATAAATAATTTAAGAAACGAAGAGATTTGAGTGCTTATACGAAGCAGTGATAATAAATCATCGAGTTGTAAATTTATCTAATCCCACAACTGCGTATAAATTTGTGCACCTAGATACGGGACAGGGATTTTGCATCAGGCTTAATAAGACTACCTTCCTGCTTGAATTACAGAAAACTGGACGATGTACGAAAATTTGACTAAAATTAAAAACGTTGAGTGTTCTATGTAGAGAGGCTATGCTTATAATGAGCATAGCTGGAGGTGGGTCTGATCTTTACCGTAATAACTTCTTACTTATGTAAACCTCAATTGAATAATATTTCCAAATGATGCACATTTTCACATGAAATGTCAATACTAAAATGGACTGAAAATGTCCAACTCTTATTCTGTTTTATCGATGACATCATGATTGACCAGTCATCTTTTGCATTTATCAACAGTAAATTGGATTTGTGTATTCAGTGGTACCGTGAACATAACAAAAATACATATTTAAAAAACATCAATGACATAATGTTGATAAATTTCTAACCACAAAAATTCCCTATTATCGGCTGATAATTAATAATTCACCGGTAGTTGATAGCGATATTCGTTTGAAACTATAAATGCATTTATAAAATTACCAGTCTTTTACATCGCAAAAGTAGTTAGCACAAAATGTTAACTACTAACAAGTAGGTTGATTCAACAATGTAAATATTTACCACTGACATGATCAGGTGCATGAATCTTGATGTGAGGATTAATAATTTTCGCTTTTATTTCTGTCCTCATATGATAGTTTGATTGCATTTTATCACCGTAAATGCAAATCAGATGTCCCAATCTACCTAGATCAACAGAGATAATGTGAATGATAGTACTTAAAACTTGACTGACGAAACGATAGATTCAAAGTTTCAGAGAGTGCAACTGTTAGAAGAATAGAATCCGCCATTAATCAGTGATGGTCGACGAACCAAAAGGACACCACAAGTTTATTATGCAGGTTCCATAAAAGCTACAGTACATTGCTATTATTAGTGTTTGGAATATGTATGATGATCCTCAGTTTGTCCTAGTTCTAATTTGTGTATAATTCAGTGAACTGTAACGATGAAAGTATACTAGACAAGGGAAAATTTAGCAAGAACTAATTCAATGTAAATTATCACCCATATACATTATCATATTTATATTGGTGTTGTGGACTTTGGACTGGATGAGTTAGTTGTGAAGCTTTTTATTGTCTTTCTGAACAACACCCTCTTTCACCATCAGAATCCCTTGCTTCTTCTCACAGAGGACAAAAAAATATTGAAGAATCCAGCCAAGTAATAGAAAAAATATTGCAGTTACTTTTTAAGTAACCATAACGCGTCGTTTATTTGAACTTATAACTCTAAAACATAGTGAAACAAAGGCAAAAACTATTTAAGAACTTTTTTATGCATTAGTCCAAAGACAATAGAACATCATGTCTGTGACAAGCTACGAAATAATACTTATAGACATTACGCAATCGACACTACGTTAGTTATAAATTTAATGTATTTCGATAGCTGTCCAGATTATATTCTTCTACAGAATAGATTAATTGTAACAAATGGCGGAAACTAGGATGGCAATCTCATCTTGTTTCGTACTCATCAGACGGATGCTTGTTTATTTTAGTGATGAGGTTTACACTGGGACTTGAATTTAGTATCTTTCGCTTCAAATGGTCAAAGCGTTATGCACTGAGCTATTAGGTCGAGATAGTGGCTAACTCGTTCCACAGATATGATGTTTAGATCACTATTATGTGAATGCATTGTCACATAACTTATATTAGGTCACTTCTACTCACTTTCTAGAATTAAGTGTAGATGATGATAGCAATAATAACAATGATAATAAATGTCTTTTCTAACGATATCTAAAACAATTTTTACTATATCAGTCAGAACAATGAGAATAAAGAATTATATATATAAATTCCACTAGCTACATACCAAATATAAGACAATAATTGCTAATGACAAACTGATTATTAACCTTGAAATGATGATAGAAAATATCATTTATTTAATACATCACACACACACACATGGGGGCGTAGCTTACTTGAAGTAACGACTTAAAATTATGAAACACATCCGGTCCAATTGCTCCCTTCGCTAAATTAATCACAACTAGTCCAATAACCTATACAACACGAACAAAGTTTTTTTAATAAACAGATGATTAATAATTAGTCAAATAAAGGTGAATTGGATAAATTAACAATTTTACATTGAAGAGACAAATTTCAACGAGCCATTGATAAATATATGGATAAATAATTACTGACACTGAAGTAAGTTGGTTTATTGAAGGGAATGTTAGTTCATAATGGGAGTTTCTGCTCAGTCTAATCACTCAAACTAACAATGCCTTAGTTAATGTACGATGAATGGAGGAACTGGACAAGTTTTGTGAGTCAGTAACAAACACGTATACATACATATATGATGGAGATTGTCAGCTTAGAAACATACATTTGCTAATGTTGAGGACTCTGAGTAACATGGTTTAAGCAAAAAGCTTTCACCGTTCTTCAGAAAAACATTATTAATGATCATTTTATGGATATGTATAAAACATGAGATAAAACAAAGAAACTTAGTAAGGGTCCATGATTTCTCATAAACATTCAAAGCTGTAATTGATCAATCTTTATGAACATATGTACACTCAGAGTAGATTACCTCAATACCGAGTTATGCCAAAGGTTTTGGTTCATTTGGTATGTGATTATTAGTGTAATCCGGGACGCGCGTTTCGTCCTTTTCGAGATTCATCAGACAGACACACCCAAACCCAGAACATTCAACAAACAAGTATCAAACAAGACAAGAGGCGTTTCTTGAATCCAACTACTAGATAAGTGCTATATATACTTTGAACATTTTTATTATGTACAAGTATGATTTTTGAAAAGTATTCTGATAGAAATAAAACGATAAGCATTAGAAGTATCAGGATTCACGAAAATACAGTCAACTTAACTAACGATCAGCATTCGTTTTATACATTTTACCAATCCCAAACCCCTTGTGGTGGCCGGTTCCTTACTAGTTTCGTGGCGGTCGGCACTCGACATGCTCCTAGACTTCGTATGCTGCTCGTCCAGACAACCGTGACGAAATAACGCCTCACGGTTTATAAATCAGAAGACGAATACGAAGTGTTGAACTCCACAGTTAGACCACCATACTACAGGCACACAGATAAGATCAATAAGCAAATGCCAAAGGGCAAGCAAGCGAGCGAGTGAACGAATCAATTATTAAGAAAAAAAATGTACATATATATATATATATATATATATATATATATGGCCTTTCTTCGGGATACCGTAAAACTCAACGAATTCAAGATAGCCCTCACCAATAGGTTCCAGGCCTTTCAGGATCTACTCAATGGAGAGGAAGCAACATTGGAGAACAGTTGGAAAGGGATTAAGGAGGCAATCACTTCAACATGTCAGGAGGTCCTTGGTCGCAAGAAGCACCATCACAAGGAATGGATCTCTGTTGATACTCTCGCAAAAATTGAAGAAAGGAGGAACAAGAAGGCAGCAATCAATGTCAGCCGAACAAGAGCAGAGAAAGTTAAGGCGCAAGCCGAGTATACAGAAGCAAACAGGGAAGTGAAGAAGAGCATCAGAGCTGACAAACGAAAATATGTCGAAGATCTAGCAATGACGGCGGAAAAGGCTGCAAGAGAAGGAAACTTGAGACAATTGTATGAAACAACAAAGAAGCTCGCCGGAAACTATCGTAAACCAGAACGACCAGTGAAAAGCAAGGAAGACAAAATAATCAGCAACACTGAAGAACAGCGAAATAGGTGGGTAGAGCACTTTAAGGAACTATTGAATCGACCAGCTCCACTGAACCCACCCAACATCGAAGCAGCATCCACGGACCTCCCAATTAATATTGGCACACCCACGATTGAGGAGATCAGTATAGCCATCAGACAAATCAAGAACGGCAAAGCAGCAGGGCCAGACAACATTCCAGCAGAGGCAATGAAAGCAGATGTGGAAGCAACTGCGAAAATATTTCACATTCTCTTCAAGAAGATTTGGGATGAGGAACAAGTACCATCAGATTGGAAAGAAGGATACCTCATCAAAATACCAAAGAAAGGCGATCTCAGCAAGTGTGAAAACTACAGAGGCATCACTCTTCTTTCAATACCAGGCAAAGTCTTCAACAGAGTATTGTTAAACAGAATGAAGGACTTCGTAGACGCCCAACTTCGAGATCAACAGGCCGGATTTCGTAAGGATCGATCATGTACTGACCAAATTGCTACATTACGGATCATTGTGGAACAATCAATTGAATGGAACTCACCACTCTACATCAACTTCATCGACTACGAGAAAGCATTTGATAGCGTGGATAGGAAAACACTGTGGAGGCTTCTTCGACACTACGGTGTGCCTGAGAAAATAGTCAACATCATACGGAATTCTTATGATGGATTCAACTGCAAAATCGTACACGGAGGTCAGCTGACAGACTCTTTCGAGGTGAAGACCGGTGTCAGGCAAGGTTGCTTACTCTCACCCTTTCTCTTTCTCCTGGTCATCGACTGGATAATGAAAATGTCGACGTCTGGAGTGAAGCACGGTATCAACTGGACAGTTAGGACGCAGCTGGACGATCTGGACTTCGCAGATGACCTGGCTCTTCTATCGCACACTCAACAACAAATGCAAGAGAAGACGACCAGTGTAGCAGCAGCCTCTGCAGCAGTAGGTCTCAACATACATAAAGGAAAAAGCAAAATTCTCCGATGCAACACAACATGCACCAATCAAATCACTCTTGATGGAGATGCCTTGGAGGACGTTAACACCTTCACATATCTGGGCACCATCATCGACGAGAAAGGTGGATCGGATGCAGATGTGAGGGCGCGGATTGGCAAAGCAAGGGCTGCATTTCTACAGTTGAAAAATATCTGGAACTCCAAACAACTTTCAACCAAAACCAAAATCAGGATTTTCAATACAAATGTCAAGACAGTTCTACTGTATGGAGCGGAAACTTGGAGAACTACCAAAGCCATCATCCAGAAGATACAAGTGTTTATGAACAGTTGTCTACGCAAAATACTTCGTATTCGTTGGCCAGACACCATCAGCAACAACGAACTGTGGGAGAGAACAAACCAGATTCCAATGGAGGAGGAAATCAGGAAGAAGCGGTGGAAGTGGATAGGACATACACTACGAAAAGCACCCAACTGCGTCACTAGACAAGCCCTCACATGGAATCCTCAAGGCAAAAGGAAAAGAGGAAGGCCAAGTAACACACTACGCCGAGAAATAGAGAAAGATATGAGAGTAATGAACAAACATTGGACAGAACTGTAGAGGGAAGCCCAGGACAGAGTTGGTTGGAGAAAACTGGTGGGCGGCCTATGCTCCACTGGGGGTAACAGGCGAAAGTAAGTAAGTAAGTAATATATATATATATATATATATATATATATAAGAAAATGGATGGGTCATCGAAATATTTAACATCGAAGCGAAAAGGATGAATATGCGCGTAGTCAGTAAGCGATGTTCAGTTGTACCAGCTCATACAAACCAGACAAAAATAAAAGCCAATGGTACACCTAAGTTATTGGTATACAAATGACTCGGTGAAATAAATTAATCAAAAGGTTTAATCAAATTAAATATGAACGAACTCATACGTATGTGGAGGAACTACACCATTCATCAAATAACGAAATTCTTTTGCATAAAAATTTAAAGATTATAAGGTTGAATGAATAAAATTGTCATAATTATGAATATTTGAAGTTACTTATCAACGAATCCGCATTTTAAAGAGTTATGCAACAGACTAAGGCTTGCGTAAGTAATCTGACTAATAAAATGATCGCAGTGAAGTATTTCTACTAAAGGATGACTACGAAACCGCACCTAAGATACATAATAATCGTCAGAAGCATAGATTTTCAAAGAGGTTTGAAAAGTGAAACTCACTGATCTACAGGTAACACGGCCTCTTCCGACTTTGCAAATACTTTAATATATTTTAATGTTTTCATTTTTTCTAACTGGATAATTCCTATGTACGCAAACATTCTCATTAAAAAGAATGTTATCTATCATTAATCTGATGCCTATTAAATTTTATCAGGACCATTATGATGATTTTCTTCTCGAATGTTCAACCAAAAAGACTGGGAATGCTTATACTGTAATTCATGCATGAAATATATCACATGATTAAGTAACCGTTTTATAAATGTACACCCAAATGAAAAATGATTGCAGACGAAAATGAATGCAAATTAATAAAAGATAATATAAACTTGCCTCTTTTCATACCTCGTGAATATGAACAGTTTGCATGAACAACAAAATGGGAATTTGTGGCAAGATTGTATATTAATGCTGAAAATTTATTTACTGTAATTGACCATATGGTATTAAGTAAACTGATTGTTATTATTACTATAACCGACTAGATTTGAATGTCCTGGGTTAGATCACTGGCGTGTACGTGAGTACTCAATGTTCAGGAGTCACACTTTAAGATGAAATAGCTAGCAAGTGATCTCTCGTTTTCAGTTAATATTAATTCATGATGTTTCACAATACAAACGTTTTTTTGAAACATTAGATAATCAAAGAAATATATCAAAATCGTGTTAATCGTTAATAAGTTTTAGTTTCTTACCTGAACTAAGCTTGTACGTTCAGCCAATGTGAAATCAGATTCATGTACACTGAGATGAGCAACTAACTGTTTGACTAAACTATGCGCCACCTGAGTTGTCTGAATAAAAATAGAAAACAATGTTAGGAAGCAAACAAGTAAATGAAAATTAATAAATAATTTATACTAATTTTGTTTGGCAATATTGAAGAAATTTAACTATTAGCTTTTAGTACATGATTGACCGATATCATTCGACAGATAACTAAAAAATGAACAATCGTTTCTTATAGACTGCCAAATTTTGATCCAAGATACGGGCGATATCGAATCGTTCCTTCTCTAGCTTATAATAAAATCAATAATAATGTTTTGTGAAGATTTATTTCTTTAAAAAATTGCCATCTAATGAAAACAAAGATATATAAATGTTCATCAGATTATGCATTTGTAAATCAAAAGTGATGTTTAAAAAAGGATTGGTCAATATCAACTGCTGTCGCACCGCTCTGCAGTCAGCAGTACGACTTTGCCATCAGACCTTGAGTAGGTTATTTTAGTCTCATCGTTCTCCAATCGACTTTCCTGGCATGGTAGAACCTTTAGGAGCATATGTTCCAGCCAATATAGCTCGGTTGGGTCATGACGATAGGCAAGTCCGACCACCACGTCAAGGTAGCTGCTACGGCCGGGGGTGTGTGAAGAATCTGGAATGAAAACTTTCGTGTGAATATATTTGCACTTAGATGATATTATCTTGGGACGTCGTCATCAGATGGGAAAACTGACAGTAGCCGTGAGTGGTCTACAGGTGGAGTTGACTTCCAAAGGAACTCGGTGGGACGTCATAACGTTTCTAAATGAAGGCTTTACTGCGAGTGCGGAGTTTAAATCATTTGAAATGATTTTTCTTGTTAGCGTATGTTTAGCAAGTTAGTTTAATACGGGTTGTTGGTCATCAACTCAATGCCTAACCCTCTTCTTTTATCCTGGCTTGGGACAGGCAGTCAACCTGGAGGGTCTCCAAGTGGAGTTACTCACCTACGTACTCACGCCCGTTACCACAAATGTAGCATAGGCCATCAACGAGGATTCTCCATCTTATTCTGTCCTTCACCTTCCTTTCCAGTTCATTATATTCATGTCGGCTTCCGGTTCTGTGCATAATGTGTTCTTCGGTTTTCCTTATTTCTGTTGGCTTCCACGTTATGACTTGCATTGTATGGGTCCGAATTATTTTGCTGAGATGACTGTTAATGAACACCTGTGTCTTATGAATGATTCCTTTCGTGGTGACTTCTGAAGGAGCTCGGCTTTCCTCATGAAGCGTCATAACTCTTCTAAGTGAAGACCTTCCAGTTGCCAGGACAGAGTTTATATCGTTCGAATTATTTGTTCTGTTTAGCGTTTTTTTAGCGGTCTGATTTTCTATGGGATGGAGTCGCAAACCCTCTTTTATCTGGGCTTGGGACCGGTAGTAATCCTATAAAAGCTCCAGGCGGATTTTTTTGGTGCAAGTGACTATAATATCCGGCTATGCAGACTGTGATTTTTTGATTAAAATATTAAGGCTTAATAAACAGATTACTCGTCTATATTCAGACAATTAAGTGATAAAAAATTTCAACTGATTGTAATGAATGAAACGTGTACAGATTTATAGTGAAAGTCTGATAAAGCAAAGTTAGGTTTCGTTTTTATTCTAAAAAGGTTTTTCTAAGTGTATAGTTAATGAATGTAAATTCATTTAAAGAAAGAAATGTCAGTAGGGAGTTATGTTTAAAGTTAACTATAAGAGCAGTACATTTAAGAGATAATTAGAATATTTCAAAAGATAATACCTCTTATACTCATCACGATTTATTTTCCGTAATAAGCCTATTAAATTTGGAAATTACCCTCTATAATAAAACTGGATTTTTTTTAGTGTACTTTTAGTTCTGTTGTGGATCATGTGATGATTGATCATATCAAGTGAGAACAGAGTAAACATTAGTTTCACTAGCCTTAAACTGACACATTACATTTTATCCCACATATTTAATTGTTGCTGTCCTCCCACGGTGTGGGCAGCCGGGAAATGACATCCGCCCTCATACCCGTAAAAGGACACGAGACCGAATTGGTCACAATCAAATCCTCTCTACACCCAAATACTATCTCTCTTATCTCCACGACTAACTCTACTCACATTCCTTTATCACACTGCACCGCTAGTGCAAACGATTCGAGTTCAAGAAACGTTGTTCTTGGTTTCCTGAAACCTCGTTCTAAATTACTTGTTGCTTTTAATGTCCATACATAGTGTCAAATAGGGCAACAGGGTTCCTTAGCTAGGACATTAGAATCTCGCGCTATCTAAGTGTGCTGCGTCTCGGAAACGAACATACAGGATCCGAGTAATATCATTCCGTTGACCCTACCATGTCAAAATAAATAACCATGTCGATACACGCTTAGTGAATCTAGAAGTCCTTATGCTGCTTCCTGTGGCCTCGCTGGTGTAGGTATAGTATTGAATACTAGAGCAGAACTAGCTCTCTCAGACTGGATCCCGATTGACAGCTGCTTATGTGCTGTCCGACTAAACGGGACGGTACGAACTCGTAAAGATAGGGAAACTCACCGTTGCCTCCTCGTCGTATCTGCCTACGCTTCCACTGACTGCAGTTCAGACGATGAGTTTTACAGAAACCTCTCTAAACTTCGTCGAACTGTTAAGCGCTCCGATATAGTAATAATGGCTGGTGCTTTCAATGCTCAAGTAGGTAGACTCAGCGAAAATGAATGACACCGGTGTGGATCTTATGGTGTCGCGGCTCAGAGGATAGATGATGGCGACCTTCTGCTGCAGCTATGCTCAGATAACTGCCTATTCCTAGCAAACACTAACTTTAAGCCTAAGGTAAAACATCTTTTGACCTGGCGACCCCCGAAGCCGACCCAATGATTGACCTAAACAGATCACATCGCTATAAGCCATCGGTGTAGAGGCTCTGTTGAAGACTGCTGCTCATTCTGGAGCACTTGTTTAGATTTAGACCATGCTCTAGTGCAAGCGCGTATTTGTTTGCGACTCACTGGACGAAAGAAAGACACCGCCAGAAAACCTCTCAGAGTTCTACCTAAAGATAGCATAGCTAAGAATATATTTCAGTAGCAATTAGAACGACAGTTGGGCAGTCATGTAGTAAGTGATGACCACCCTGAGGCAACTTGAAATGAGATCAAAAAGGCTGTGGAATCACCAGTGATATCTGCTAGTAAGATAAACCATAAGGATAGGGAGAAGTCGTGGATATCAGTAGCATCTACCGAACTGATGGATGCTCGAAAGCTCATCCCTCCTGGCTCTGAGTACGATGAGGATCGGAGTAAGCTCAGGCACTGGCTGATAAAAAGCCTTCACAATGATCGAGAACAGTGGTGGGTGGCGAAAGCAAAAGCGATGGAAAAGGCAGAGGCCATAGGCAACAGTAGACAGTTTTTCCGCCTTATAAAGGGAACCCGTGTTACAAATCCATCTGTTAGCGAAACTATCTCAGGGAAGGATGGTTTTATCATTGATGCTCAATGTCAGCATGAATACAGAAGGCTCGATTGGATTTTGCCATTTTACGTCATTTATGGCGTAGGCGAGATATCCGTTTCCTGACTAAAGGACGATTGTACTGCGCAGTAGTTCGCTCCGTTCTCATATATGGTTGTGAAACATGGCCGGTAAGAATAGAAGATATTCATAGGTTATTAGTATTTGATCACAGGTGTCTTCGAAGCATTGCTCGTATATCGTGGGACAACCGATTAAGCAATGCTTGGGTTAGGAAACGAGTACTAGGTAACGGTGGTAGGTCAATAGGTGAAGTATTGAATTTTCATCAGTCGAGGTGGTGTGGACATGTGTTACGAATGCCCGACCATCGACTGCCTTGACGAGCTTTGTTTTGTGGTGTAGGAGTAGGTTGGAAGAAAGTTAGGGGCACCCAGACCAAAAAATCGCACAAATTCCACGAAGTCACTGACAAGTGCACTGAGTCATGTTGGTAGATGTAGACTACCTGGTTGGGGTCTGCGAGACTTAGGTCACAAATGGTTAAGGGCCTTGAATGGCATGGCTGAAAATCGTTTGCAATGGCGCAGGTGCATCCGCTCTTTGTGTTCCCTCAAATCCTAATCTTCTGGATTCGTCAACACCTCTACCCTTGTCTTTCTTAACCTATTTTCACTGAATTATACTTCTTGAATAACATCGAACCCTTTTACTACCTCTACTACCGTGGGATTTGAATTGACAATTGTGTCTCTGTGCTAATGTGGTATGGCAACTTGAACTGATGTACTTACGAACGAAGTTCCATTTTGTAATCGACTGACTGACCGATATATTTAACTAAATTCAGGTTCATGTATATGGTTTTTGCTTTTGTATAGATATTTTTTTGTGACGACTAACGATACTTGTATATTTCCTTAACTACAGTGGATAGAATGAGGTTTTATTGAGCTGATGACTTAGTAATTAACAGTTAAATCCTTGCAGTATCAGGCTATTACAATGATTATATTCCATAGAAAATATCGCTTATCAATCAAATGTATTTTCTGTCAGAATGCTTTTAGAAATCGATATTTTCCTTCCAATGAACAACATCGAGAAAATTGTAGAGTATGTTCATTTTACAATCTTTCATTTTTCTTCTGTCACTTGTCTTTTTGTTATTCTTGTTTTTTGTTGTTTCATACACATTCTCAAATGCCTATCGGATAATATATATACATATATACATATATATATATATATATGTATATATATATATATATATATATATATATGTTTGTATATGTATATATGGGTTTACATTTGTATCGGCATATTTGTTATTCTATCCAACCAATTATAATTGTAGTCGAGGTCATTCATATATTTGAATAGTTTTAAGATGATTTTGCAGTTTTGTCATGAAACTGACATTAAGTGAAGAACCGCTGAGACTGGCTCATTTACCTAGTACAGATTAATGTACTCATTGTTTGTGTGAGAAATGACTATTAACACCATCTGGTTACTCTGATCGAATTAATTAGATGGTTTGAAATCTTCTGGTTTGATTACATGTTTGTTAAACTTGATACATTTAGTTTATGGTAAGTAAAGTAAATTATAGTAGTGCATGCTTTGTGTATTGATTGATCTTTATGGAATTGAATAAGTTTATTTCAAGTTGAACTATGTGGTGTTTATATGTATTATAAAATGGCCTAGCATTATCTATCCGTTCAATAGTTGCTGATAGTTATAAAATATTGAAATTTTTCACTGAACATTAACCTTATGACTTTAATATATTAGTAATCACTGGTAAGAAACCTATTCATTTTTGTCTATGATTTTATTATGATATAATCTTATGTATAAATTATCATTACTGTTATTATTACAGTTTAGTTTCATATAAACGAGATTTTTTTTAACCTTAATTATATTTGAATAATGATAACTAGAGTAAATTGGAAGATGAATTCACTGTTAAGATGACCGGTGATATTAATTTTTATTGGAAGAAAAACGACTTTTGTGTAGCTACGTTAGCTGATATTTACTTACTGATCGTCTACTGACGTCAGATTAAACATAAAAGTGTTGTTTTGTAGACTTCGATATTCTACAGATGTCGTTAATCGCTTTGGTACATGAAGATACTGGGCTTGATCTTATTCTGGATTGTAGGCGTGGATAGCTGAATGAAAAGCTAGAGAAATAAGCTGTTATGTTCTCCTTAGTTCTGAAAAATTAATTTTATGACCCCGTTCCATTTGCTCATGTCAGTCAGTCAGTTAAAACGTAGAACTACCAGCGTACGTACATCAGTTCACGTTGCTATACCACATTAGCAAAGAGAGGCAACAGTCGATTCAAATCCCAGAGTGGTAGAGGTAGTAGAAGAATGAGCAATAATCGAAGCGATCACAGTACAAAGATATTATTCCAGTAATCTACTTCAGTAGAATAAATCTAGAAAGAGAAAAATAAAGGTGATGAGCCATTGCAAATGATTTTAGGCCACGTCATTCAACGTCTCTAAACATCGGTTATTATCGTCTCGTGGACCCCAACCAGGTAGTCTAAACATAAAAGTATGGCTCAGTCTAGTCTGTGACTTCGTGAAGTTGTGCCATGTTTTGGTCTAAGCGCCCCTATCTTTTTTTCCAACCTACCCTACCTACCTACCAGGCATCATCGTTCGCCGAGGTAGCCGGTGGTTGGTCATACGTAACATATGTCCCAACCACCTCAACTGATGAAGTTTCAATACTTCATCTATTGATTTGCCAGCCCTACCCTACCCTAACCTAAGCATCGCTCACTCGGTTGTCCCAGGATATACGAGCAATGCTTCGAAGACATCTATAGTAGAATACTAATAACCTACGAATTTCTTTTACTTTGACTGGCTATGTTTCACAGCCATAATATAGAAGAGTGCGAACTACCGCGCAGTACACTCGTCCTTTGGTTAACAAACCGATATCTCGCCTACGCCATAAGTAACGTAAATTGGCAAAACACAGTCGAGTCTTCTGTATCTGTACCGAGATTTCGTCAGACACCAGGTCATCAGCACTGATGTGACTCCCAAGATAACTGAAGCAGTCTACACGTTCAACTGCTTCACTCCCTATTACTAGTTCAGGTGATGATGCATGCTAATCCTGAAGCAACATTTTACATTTCGACGGGGAGAATCTCATCCCGAACATTCTCGCATTGTTGTCAGAAGAGTCATCGGTCTCGTGACTTCCGAAGGTCAATTAACCAATCAACAGCAACGTAGAACTTCATACGTAAGTTCATCAGTTCACGTTACCATACCATCCAGGTGTATTTCCTTTTCGCTGAGAATAGCTGCAGCAGAAGGTCGCCATCATCTATCCTCTGAGCCGCGACACCATAAGATCCACACCGGTGTCATTCATTTTCGCTGAGTCTACCTACTTGAGCATTGAAAGCACCAGCCATTATTACTATATCGGAGCGCTTAACAGTTCGACGAAGTTTAGAGAGGTTTCTGTAAAACTCATCGTCTGAACTGCAGTCAGTGGAAGCGTAGGCAGATACGACGAGGAGGCAACGGTGAGTTTCCCTATCTTTACGAGTTCGTACCGTCCCGTTTAGTCGGACAGCACATAAGCAGCTGTCAATCGGGATCCAGTCTGAGAGAGCTAGTTCTGCTCTAGTATTCAATACTATACCTACACCAGCGAGGCCACAGGAAGCAGCGCCAGAGCTACCAGAAACACGAAGCGTAAACCGTATTGTCGCTATCTGCACTAGGTGAAATCAAATTGATAATTTTACTCTGGTCTTTATGGGCGTTTTGGGAACACAACATATATTGATCGCACGGGATTCCAGAGTTCTGGCTAATGAAGCCTGTTACCCTATTTGACACAATGTATGGACATTAAAAGCTCCAATATGAAATTTAGTATGGGGTTTCAAGAGACCGGGATGAACGTTTCGTGAACTTAATCTGTTTGCCTGAGAGGCGCGAGGTGATAAACGTTCGAAAGAAGGGCTGGTCGAGGAGATAAGAGAGTTAATAATAGGTGTAGAAAGGATTAGATTATGACCAATTCGGTCTCGTGTACGTTTATGGGTATGAGGGTGGATGTACCTCCCCGGCTGCCCACATCGTGGAAGGATGTTTCTTGAGGAACCTGAAAAGGAAGGTAGATCAGCGCTGGTCTTAACGACCTGGGAGGGTGACCGGAGAGTTCAAGGGACAACTGCTTCAGTCCGGTGACACATGGCCTTTTTATCAAAGGTTTTTTGAGTATTAGCTCCGCTCTTAAAACCCCTTAGTAGCAGCCCTTACTGCCGAAGACGGAAATCCGTGAGGTACGGTGAGGTGTGACATTTTTAGGGTCGACCTTTCTTAACCCTTTCTTCCTTGTGAAAAGGGTAGCATCTCTGGAGATGCTGGTTGTCTGAAGGAAACACCTTACTGCTGTCGCACCGCTCTGCAGTCAGCAGTACGACTTTGCCATCAGACCTTGAGTAGGTTATTTTAGTCTCATCGTTCTCCAATCGACTTTCCTGGCATGGTAGAACCTTTAGGAGCATATGTTCCAGCCAATATAGCTCGGTTGGGTCATGACGATAGGCAAGTCCGACCACCACGTCAAGGTAGCTGCTACGGCCGGGGGTGTGTGAAGAATCTGGAATGAAAACTTTCGTGTGAATATATTTGCACTTAGATGATATTATCTTGGGACGTCGTCATCAGATGGGAAAACTGACAGTAAATCTTGAAAAGCCGACAAGAATTCTAAAACAAGGAGAATTTTACATGTCTTTACTTCTGTATTAGAATACTTTTGATCGATTTAGACCCTGTGTTCATCGGTTGAAAATTAGCTTAAAGTCAGAAAGTCATCATTGACACGAACGTATAGCTTAGTTACACCTTCAGAGCTTCTGAGCTAAGACATGTAACCAAATAGTTGGGAATCTCTAAATATTAATACATACACACAGAAACCTCCACATATGTTGTCTATAAAACGAAATAAAATGCTAGATCACGTTCTATACGACAATAAGTATCTATTATATATTAATTCAGTGAAAATTTTATTTTTTATCTCCACTACTTTAGCTGTATGTGCTATTTATTGACTAATCACTAAGTAGTGGTGAAAAAATATATAATTACATGTGGATTTGGCTAAAATCACAGGAACACATAAATCAACACTGACTTTATCTTGATTTTCATTATTAATATTCGTGTGACATTAGTGTGACCAGCTTAGAGTCATTCACAGATAGGATTGCGTTTTATAAACTTTAAATATGGTTTTTTATAGAATGAAATATTAACAAATATGTACATCTATTCATCGCATGGTGTGACAATTAATTAATACTAGGAATGAGCTAAGAAATAATACCAAAAACCTTTTTAGTATTCATTCACTTTCAGGTGCAGGTCAATTCTGTACTTACTTTACTAGACTTGTCTACATATTTACATGTATATATTAATTAATCTGTTATGAATGAAACACAACTAATTAATTTAGCGTAAACTTTATATCCAATAAAAAAAGAAATGACTTTTTCCAAAATTAAAGAAACTGATAATCATCAGAAAATAAGATATACTTTATCACCATCAGACAACAGTTAGAAAACGGTTGAAATGCACCAAGTACAAATCAATTTTTCAGAATAGATCGAGACTCCTGGACAGTTTTTATCCATGACCTTATATTGGACCAGGCCAAGGATATTCTTATCTTGCAACGAGCACGGCACCATCGACCTATGAAGCTGACTTATCGATTCAATCAAGTAAAGAGTGAAGAAGTTATAATCAACCAGAGTTAGAGAATTTTTAGTATCAGATTCTGAACAGGCTTGTCGAGACACAGAAAAGTTCTCGACTTACTCCTAAGTTTGAGTGAGTACCGTATAGACGTTCCAAATATTATTTGATTGTGCTACCTAGATTTTAACAGCTCTGAAGATTATCCCAGTTTATGATAAAAACTAAATTCTAAATTATACAATGGCATAATAGAAAAACCCCTTACATTACCTTGAGGGAATCCAAAAGATATTGAAATATAAGTAAAGGAAAATCACAAGGATCCCACAGTTGATGATTGTCTAAATGCCTAAAAAAGTATTTAAAAACAGCAATTGTCAGTACATGGATTTATTAGTTTTCGATACAAAAAAAGTATTTTAGCATGAGTTTTATCTGGTTGAAGATACTAATTTATTAAATACTGAAATAATTCTTGAACGGTCAATAACTAGACTGATAATGTAAAATTGATTGATGTTCACCGAATCAAAAAATAAATCCCAAGCGAATAAACAAAAAAAACATCAGCTGCTCGCCAATGGATTAATTATGTGTAATTAATGAACTACTTAGATAACTTACATGAAAAAGATGCACCTAAGATGATATTTTGATTCTAAAAAGAATTACTTATTTCGCGAAATCCGATTTCTATAAATACCAGAAGTATTGCACGTAAGTGAATAATTCGCAAGTTAGGGATAAACAGAAACATTTGGAAACCATTTTATATGACAGGTTATAATCAATTCCAATTTAGCCACACACTAATGTTTGCCTTCAAGACAACATACTATTATTACCATTATATACGTGAGACGATTGAAATTAGGGAAAAAACGAACTTCAGATTACTTTTATAGAACTCATACTATAATTTATGAGCTAACGAAAAATATGACAAATTGTTTTAATTCATGAAAGAGACCAGTATTATTATCGATTAAAATTTGTTTTATTTACGAGTAGGCACCAAAATTTAAGTGTGACACAATAAAAGCGAGGTAATGAAGAGATAGAGAAATAACGGTGAGTATAACATGAAAAGTGAATAGAAATTAGTGTATGAGAGTGAAATAGTAATAATAGTGAAAGGAACAGTTCAGTTGAAGAAATTACTTTCACTTTATGTGAAGAAAATTAAATAAAGTTACAGCAGGACCGCCACCGACCTTTATTCTGAATCATATCTGATAACGTCTTAAGCCACTGAGTTGCACTATGTATGTCTAGGATCCTGAACAGGAGGGTCATGAAAGATCATCAGAACTCAGTCCTATACAGCACTTTTTTCATACCAGTGACAACCTTTCCGCTTTTTCTAACAATATTCAGAGTTAGAAAATAATTCACGATGAGGTATTCACATGTACAAGCTACTGGAGTCGGTGTTTGAAGATAATGGTTTCATTAGCATGAAGAGAAACTTTTCTAAGTGATGCACTGCACCCCTGACCTCTTAAAGCCACACTAGCATCACGAAGGCGCTAAAGATAACTCAGATTGGCATAAGCCGCTTTGGTTTCCACCATAAGTGAAGTGATCTCATCACTCACACCACTACCAATAGTTACACAACTACCCAGGTACATGAACTTTTCGAATACTTCTATTTGCTCGATAACAAGGAAGAATGCATGTTCAGGATCCTTACAGTTTTGTGAAAGTTCTTTGCATCACATCGCTATCAGACACTGATCAGCAGGTAACGTAGAAGACTGCAGCTCATTCGGGAACACTTGTTTAGATTGAGATCATGCTCTAGTCCGAGAGCGTATTGGTTTGCGTCTCAGTGGACGCAGGAAAAACACTGTAAGGTAACCTCTTAGGGTTCTATTTAATGATAGAATAGCTAAGGATGTATTTCACGAGCAACTAGAAAAACAGCTAAACAGACATGTAAGTGATGCCTATCCCAAGGCAGCTTGGAACGATATCCAAAAAGCTGTGAAAACAGCATCGATATCTGCTAGTAAAGTAAACAATGAGGTTAAGGAGAAGCAGTAGATATCACTAGCATCTATCGACTTGATAGATTATTGAGAATGAAGAGCAAAGTCAGCTTAAGCGGAGGCTGATAAGTCTATGCGATGATTACGAACACCGGTGGGTCGCAAAAGCAAGAAAGATGGAAAAGACAGCAGTGATAGGTAACAGTAGACAACTGTTCCGCCTTATCAAAGAGATTGGTACTTGGAATCCATCTGTTAGAGAAGCTATCTCGGAAAAGGACGGTCGTTCCATTCATTCTGAACACAGGAGATTGGATCGATGGGCAGAAGACTTCATCATCATCAACAGTGACAGCAACGTAGAACTTCGTACGTAAGTACATCAGTTAAAGTTGAAATACCACATTAGCACAGAGATATAATTGTCATTACACGTTCAGACGCCTCACAATAGTAGTATCTAAATCTCTGGCTTGAAAATACATGCTGCTATTACTAAGCATAAAAAGCTAACTGTGAAAACCATTCTAACATTATACAAAACCAAATAGTTGTCTAATTAATTATATTCATGCATAAAAAACTCACGTTAAAATCGAGGTTACCACAGGTTTAATATTTGTGTAAGAAGCTTGTCGAACGATATCTTCGAACACATATACAGCTTCTTGTGAAGGATCACATTGTGATTCATTTGAATTGGAATCAATCTCAGACCTTTGAAATAAAAAGTTTAACAAAAGGTTGGATCAGAATCTCATCTGTAAACGAAATTCATATCTAAAAGTATTTCGATAAAACCTGTAATATAACCATGCTTCATGCAAGGTTAGACATTATAGACAAATATTAAGACTAGATCAATATCACAACTGCTATGTGCATAGTTGTCAAAAAATTCTAAGTTTATCATTCTTTTAAATATTTATCTTAAAAAAAATGGGAACAAAGGCTAGTACTGTATTTCATACGAGCAACTACCTTTAAAATATAGATAAATCATCAGAGTATTTACATACAATGGTTTCAGGAGAATGTTGTAATTTAATGGTAATAATAATCCTTACAGTATAGAACACTAATCTATCGTTATACAATTTCGACAGTGAGTGGGTGATTTCATTTGATTTATCACTCATTAGGCGAATGTAATCACATTCGAAGTCACTACTTTTGTTTCTTTTGACTGACTTTTTTAATCACTACGGAGCTTATCGGAATTTCAGGCAAAGAAAATACCTATTTTAATAACTTTTGTACCATATGTTAGTCAGCCATTAGTAAAAATAACCAATTACAAAAATAATAAACTGGAAGATAGAATTTCAAGTGGTATCATCTGATTTAGTATGAATAAATACAACTGATGACCTCATTCCAAACCTAATGCCTAATCTCAAACCACTCGATACCACCAAGATCTACGAACCTAAATGAGAGGAACTCGGTTGGCACAAGAGACCTAGTGGATGAAATTCAAACGCATTTGTCACTACAAACCTATTTTTACCTTAGCCTTTACTAGATTATGGCGCTGTAATGAAATCGTAAAACCAGTAGATTTTGTATTGATTAATGTAGTTTGTTATATTCTCGAACCATTTTCTTGCTTCGTAAAGATTAAACTTCCGAACAAATATAAATGGTTTCATGACTTGTTAGCGAATAACTTTGTTTAGCATGCAATCATTAAATACAAACGTACGTATATCGACTATTTGGTAAGAACTTCTGAGGGCTACGGGGAGAAGAATAGCCGCTTTATTCAAGTTTGAGACCTTACAGAAGTTTGTACTCTCAACTTCATCAAGGATTAAACCCAGAGTATTTACATACTTTGAGTCAGAAACTGATAATCCTTATCAAGTTGTGATATATCTTGCAATATGGATGATTGATGTTCTTCAGCTTTCAATTGTTCCCTAACTAAAGAAGATCTGTGGTGAGAGCTATTTGGAAATAGGAGTGATTTAAATATTTGACTATCAACTTATTTCGAGGTTAAATAGAATAGACTGTCCACATTTATTGGAAAATTCAGTTGACGTGGTCGGGATATGTATTACGTACGACTAACCGCCGACTTCCTCGGCGAACGATGATGCCTGGTAGGTCAGTCAGTCAGTTGCAACGTAGAACTTCGTACGTATGTACATAAGTTCATGTTGCCATACCACATTATTAGCACAGAGACGCAAATGTCAAATCAAATCCCATAGTGATAAAGATAGTAGAGGTATTAATGTTATAATAAAGAAGACTAGGGTTTAAGATATTATTCAAAAAATATAATTCAGTGAGATAAGGTTAGAAAGACAAAGGTAGAGGAGTTGATGATTCCAGAAGATTAGGGTTTGAGAGAGCTCAAAGAGTGGATGCACCTGCGCCATTGCAAACGATTTTGAGCCATGTCGTTCGAAGTCTCTAACCATTGGTGACTTTCGTCTCGCGGACCCCAACCAGGTAGTCTACATCTACCAACATGACTCAGTTTACTTGTCAGTGACTTCATGGATTTCTGCCATGTTTTGGTCTGGCCGCCCCTAGCTTTCTTCCAACCTACTCCTACACCACAAAACATAGCTCGTCGAGGCAGTCGGTGGTTAGGCATACGTAACACATGTCCCAACCACCTCAACTGATGAAGTTTCACCACTTCATCTATTGATCTGCCATCCTTACCTAGTACTCGTTTCCTAACGAAAGCATTGCTTACTCGGTTGTCCCACGATATACCAGCAATGATTCTTAAACATCTATGATCGAATACTAGTAACCTACGAACATCTTCTACTCTTAACGGCCATGTTTCGCATCCATATAGAAGAACGGAGTGAACTGCTGCGCAGTACACCCGTCCTTTGGTTAGCGAACGGATATCTCGCCTACGCCATAAGTGACGCAGGTTGGAAAAAGCCAATCGAGCTTTCTGTATCCGAGCTGAGATTTCGTCAGTCAACAGGCTATCAGCACTGATGAGGCTCCCCAGATAAGTGAAGTGATCAACACGCTCGACTACTTCACTCCCTATCGCTAGTTCAGGTGCCGATGAAACCCAGTCTTCAAGCAATATTTTGCATTTCGATTGGGGAAAACCGCATCCCGAACATGCTCGCATTGTTGCTTATGGTAGTCAGAAGACTCTGCATTTTGTCAGCGTCTTCACCGAATAGAACTATGTCATCGGCATATTCTAGATCAGTAAGCGACTTTCCTGGTAGAAGGTCAACCCCTGAAAAATCTGACGAGCTTAATGTTAACTCTAAGAGGATGTCTACGACAAAGTTAAACAAGAATTGAAAGAGTGGACATCCCTGACGGAAACCACTTGAAGTAGAGAATTCAGATGACAGTTCGCCATATGCTCTCACTCGACCAGTGGTGTTCGAGTAGAGAGCTTGTGTAAGTTTAATGTACTTCTTTGGTACACCTTTCAATGACAGACACAGCCACAGAACCTCACGATCCACTGAGTCAAATGCCGCCTTAAGGTCCAGGAAGATAACTATTGTCAGACGCCTTAATATGTGTCTGTGTTCCAGGACCTGTCGTTGAGTGAAAATGTGGTCTATACAACCACGTCCGGGTCGAAAATCAGACTGGTTTTCTCGAGTCTGCTCTTCACGAGCTCTAGTTAGACGTCTAAGTATAATCGAGGCTAACAATTTAGTAACTATATTAGTTAGACTGATTCCCCTGTGATTGTCACAAGAGGACTTTTGTCCTTTCTTGTAGATTGGGACAATTAGCGACTGAGACCAGTTACATGGGTTTACGTCCAGTTCCCAGATTCTACCTAGGATCTCGGTCAGTCAAATTGTTAAAACTGGACCACCATCCTTAAACCTCTCAGGAGTAAGCCTATCAGGACCTGCAGCTCGCCCTCGCTTCAGATTTCCTATAGCTTTCAAAGCCTGGTAGGTAGGTAGGGTAGGTTGGAAAAAAGCTAGGGACGCTTAGACCAAAACATGGCACAAATTCACGAAATCACAGACTAGACTGAGCCATATTTTTATGTTCAGACTACCTGGTTGGGGTCCACAAGATGATATTAACCGATAGTGAGAGACATTGAATGACATGGCCTAAAATGGTTTGCAATGGCGCAGGTGCATCCATTCTTTGTATTCTCTCAAATTCGAATTCGAATTCCCCATCACCTTCATCTTTCTCCCTTCAAACTTATTCCCCTGGATTATACTCATTGAGCAATATCGACGAATCATAAGCTACAACCTCTATCACTGTGTGATTTGAACTGACAATTCCATCTCTCTATGCTAATGTGGTATGATAACTTGAACTGATGCATGTACACACGTACGAAGTTCTACCTTGTGGCTGTCAGTCAGTCAGTTGCAACGTAGAACTTCGTACGTATGTACATAAGTTCATGTTGCCATACCACATTATTAGCACAGAGACGCAAATGTCAAATCAAATCCCATAGTGATAAAGATAGTAGAGGTATTAATGTTATAATAAAGAAGACTAGGGTTTAAGATATTATTCAAAAAATATAATTCAGTGAGATAAGGTTAGAAAGACAAAGGTAGAGGAGTTGATGATTCCAGAAGATTAGGGTTTGAGAGAGCTCAAAGAGTGGATGCACCTGCGCCATTGCAAACGATTTTGAGCCATGTCGTTCGAAGTCTCTAACCATTGGTGACTTTCGTCTCGCGGACCCCAACCAGGTAGTCTACATCTACCAACATGACTCAGTTTACTTGTCAGTGACTTCATGGATTTCTGCCATGTTTTGGTCTGGCCGCCCCTAGCTTTCTTCCAACCTACTCCTACACCACAAAACATAGCTCGTCGAGGCAGTCGGTGGTTAGGCATACGTAACACATGTCCCAACCACCTCAACTGATGAAGTTTCACCACTTCATCTATTGATCTGCCATCCTTACCTAGTACTCGTTTCCTAACGAAAGCATTGCTTACTCGGTTGTCCCACGATATACCAGCAATGATTCTTAAACATCTATGATCGAATACTAGTAACCTACGAACATCTTCTACTCTTAACGGCCATGTTTCGCATCCATATAGGAGAACGGAGCGAATTGCTGCGCAGTACACTCGCCCTTTGGTTAGCGAACGGATATCACGTCTACGCCATAAGTGACGCAGGTTGGAAAAAGCCAATCGAGCTTTCTGTATCCGAGCTGAGATTTCGTCAGTCAACAGGCTATCAGCACTGATGAGGCTCCCCAGATAAGTGAAGTGATCAACACGCTCGACTACTTCACTCCCTATCACTAGTTCAGGTGCCAATGCAACCCAGTCTTGAAGCAACATTTTGCATTTCGAGGGGGAAAACCGCATCCCGAACATGCTCGCATTGTTGCTTATGGTAGTCAGAAGACTCTGCATTTTGTCAGCGTCTTCACCGAATAGAACTATGTCATCGGCATATTCTAGATCAGTAAGCGACTTTCCTGGTAGAAGGTCAACCCCTGAAAAATCTGACGAGCTTAATGTTAACTCTAAGAGGATGTCTACGACAAAGTTAAACAAGAATTGAAAGAGTGGACATCCCTGACGGAAACCACTTGAAGTAGAGAATTCAGAT